CTTTTTATACTCTCGCAACCTGTTGCTACAGAGTATAATAGTTTTGTTCACCTAACGGTTGTTTGTATCACCTAAAACTAATCTAGTTAGATAAAGGGTTATATATATATAAATGATCAGGATGAAGAGACGAGTTGAAATCCGGGTGACTGTCTGTCCGTCCGTCCGTCCGTGCAAGCTCTAACTTGAGTAAAAATTGAGATATCTTTATAAAACTTGGTAGACATATTTCTTGGTACCGGGAGACGGTTGGTATTACAGATGGGCGTAATCGGACCACTGCCACGCCCACAAGACGCCATTAATCAAAAACAAATAAATTGCCATAACTAAGCTGCGCGATAAGATGCAAGACTGATATTTGGTACACAGGATCACATTAGGGAGGGGCATCTGCAGTTAATTTTTTTTTAAGTGGGCGTGGTCCCGCCCATAATAGGTTTAATGTGCATATCTCCTAAACCGCTAAAGCTATAATAACAAAATTCACTGGAAGCAAATTTTTTTAGAACCTCTACCTACAGTGTGAAAATAGTTAAAATCGGGTGGCAACTCCGCCCACTCCCCACATAACGGTACTGTTAAAAACTACTAAAAGCGCGATAGATCAAGCACGAAACACGCCAGAGACATTAAAATTTATCTCTGAGATAGTATGAGATGACTTTATAGGAACCGCGTTCAAAATTAGATAGTAGGCGTGGCACAGCCCACTTTTAGGTGAAAACCCATATCTTGGGATCTGCTTAACCGATTTCAACCAAATTCAGTGCATAACGTTCTTTTCATATTTCTATGTTATATTGCGAAAATGGGCTAAATCAGACTACAACCACGCCTTTTTTCCATATAACACCATTTTTAATTCCATCTGATTCTTTCACTTTCCACTATGCATATCAAGCAACAATGATTATATCGGGGTAAAACTTTGCGTGAATAATACTTTTAAAGTGACTAAAAATTACCTAAATTGAACCAAAACTGTTCAAGCCCCTAGGTACTGAATATGTGGATGCCAGTGCCTATAGTTGACCTTCTACCGAAAATATCAGTCAATCCACAAAGAAATCTCAAACGAGTATACCATTTGACTTTGCGAGAGTATAAAATGTTCGGTTACATCCGAACTTAGCCCTTCCTTACTTGTTTAAATTAACTTTAATGTAAATATCCGAGATAGGAAGCAAAAGAGAGTAATGAAACTAAGTGAGTCTATAGTATGATAGTTAAATACAAATTGGATTTCAAACCAATCATTGTTTTATCGAAAAATTAATTTTGAACTTGCAAATTTTTTTTAAATATATACTTGTAGTTAAATATTTCCCTTCCTTGGAAAATCGCGAGAGCATATGTGTAAATGTTCGGTTACACTCGAACTTTCACCTTCCTTACTTGTTACAACCTTCACATATTTCACATGCCTTTTGTCCTTAGAAATTTAAGAGTTTCTAGTAGTCAGTTGCGTCCGAATCTAGTATTTTCTTATTTGTTTCTAGTGTACCTGTCCTTACTAATATGATAAAACGACTGCTAGGGCAAAACGCTGTAAAGCGTATTGCGTGAGTATATACAATTTGTTAATCATCATAGGTGTATATAGCAAACCTAAAAGCGGAAAACAACACAAATACTTTTGAGAATTGAAGGATAACATAAATATGTTGAAAATTTCGCTCTCACTTATTTATTCGTATTACAATACAACATACGAAGAGATAAGTAAAATATTAAATATATGATACGTACATATATCTACATGATTTAGATTTTACATTGTCTGTGTACACTATACTTCTAACATAGATATGCTTACCACCATTCCACAGGGCCAGGATTCGATCACCGGTAAGGTGATTAACAACAAAAACGCTTGCTTATATTAAAATGCTTGTCATAATATCTATCAGCCATGTGATGGCGATATACTCAATCTGTAGGATTTTCCATCTGGCGGATAAAACCAAGGTATATGTATGTAACAACAACTAAGAAGAGAAACTCGGGGGAGCATTAAGCATATTTTATATGTATATATTATATTAAACGGGGAAACTTTAGTATACCATCCCACGATTTCACGGTTAAAATTGATATGGTTGGATAGAGGAGATTCTCCAGATTAAGAATATATATAATTATAAACAATGTAGTGAAGTGTTTATGAATAATAAGTGCATAAAATAAAGGAAAAATATCTAGAAAATTATATATGTGCCCTGAAATCGTGAGATGGTATGCTAAAGGCGACCATATTAAACTTACATATTTGCCTATATAAAATTTAAACAGTTTTTAAGGAAAAGGTGACGTCATTTTCACATTCTCGGCTGCATTCATTTTACATAACTATAAACATATACCCGTATATACTTATATAAGTATATCGTGGTTGAAAGCATTTACAATACTTATGAAATCTCTTACTCATATATACACTTATATACATATGTACATGTGTGTTATATATGTATGTATGTGCATATAATTAAAGTTTTGGAAAATTATTTGAAAACACTCCGGAATAGGAAGCTTGAATATTGATTTTAATATTAATTAATATTCTTATTTTCATATAAAACTGGCGAATGCCTTTTTAGAGTTTTCTCAAATATCCGTATCTGCTTGGCTTTCCGAATTGTTTTTTATTCCCGACTGCTCAGCGAATCCCGTCACTTTAGAAATCTTAAAAATTCACTCAAATTATTTCAAAAACATTTTTAAATTAAATTTTCGTTTCCTCTCCTCTTTTTTGTGCATCCATTTCCCTTTACCATATTTTGTTAAATTTTTATTTTGGACTCTTCTGGATATTTGAACAAACATACATAATAAATTCAGGACTTGGTCCCGAACGAAAATTAATAACGGAAAATATCCTAGTCATTCTTTAATCTACAATCAGTTTACCAGGAATTTACATACGAACTGAAATATTTACTGAAATATTGGACAAAGGAGCAAGTACAGTGAAAAGATACGGAGGAAGTTACGAGAACATACATACACACATACGTCAGAATAGTTTAGTATGTCACGGTTTTTTACGTTATGGAAAAGCCCGGAAGATGGCGTAAATCGAAAGTCGGATAAAGTTTCAAAATTTCTACTCGACGTCAATGAAACTTTTAAAATGTAAGTATGTATATTAAGCTAATATATTTTGATGTGAAATTATTTGCTTGATATGAAGATTGTGAAGGATTAAATATGATGATATATTTCGGATTTCTTTATTGCCTAAAGCTTCCTGAACAGCTGTAGTTGGTTTGTTTATGCCGTTGCCGCCTTTCTCATCAGTTGTTGCATTTACTATTACGTGTATGATTGCAAGCGTCGCTTAGAGTTGCGGCGCAGACGGCAAGAGGTTCAACGCGCTAATGAAAGGTGAATTAGCTTGTATACTATATCACGTGTTACTAAAGTTATAAACCTATTATCACTTATTAATTTAGAGTACCACAGAGAAGGCGACCGGGCGCTGTATACAGGGATCATGAGATCTTTCGAAATGTTATGCGCACCGTTCGGCAATATATTGGTCACACAGAAGATAAGACTCAAAACAAGCCTTATATGCTTCGTCGCACGAGAAGTGGTGCCATCTATGGACGATTTTCTACTCCCGAAGGTGTGGGCACATAGACAATAGAACTTTTGAGGCTACACTCCTTTTGTTCTGATGATTTTCGGTGAAACTATTCATATATTAAGCAGTCTAATAAAAACAAAATGTACAACCAAGCGTTTGTGCCAGTTTCCATTTGAACAATGTGCTCATATTCAATGCTGATTTAGCGTTGAATTCCCGTAATCGCGTTGTAGGGTGGAAAATCACCAGCTCAAACCCCACCAATCGTTTTTCCACCTTATCCGACTCTATATTAGAAAACCATAAAACTATGTATGGATTCAATGCAAATAATTCTACAAATAGAAAGCCATCCGACATCTGAATTGTGGATTGTATAATTGCAAAATTTTGGAAGATTGAGCAATATAAATTTTCACGACGAAAGATATAACTAAAGTTTTCATATTATATTATCGCTGGAATTAGCATTTCGTGTACATATATTATGATACATATTTGTATATGTATATAAAGAATATCTGAAAGGTCAAAGTCGACGTTTTAATAGTAAAAAAACGAAATCTTGTCTCCATTATCATTGTGCATTTTTGTCTTGGCCTAAATAAATAAATTCTTAGGCCAAATGTGCACTTATTTTTTAAGTAAATGGGTTTACTATATAAATATTTATGGAACACATTTGTGATTATCCCAAACCCAATTGATCAAGCAATGGACAAGCCTTTAGCGACTGAAATTTCATCGAAAGTCTTTGGGAAGATATTTCATGAACATTCAAAATCGATTAATTCTGACCATTATATAACTCATTTAACCTGCTTTATATAACCTATTATCCACAAAAATAGGTTAATTATGCAAAGGTGGAATCACATCTTCACTAGTAGGACTTACACATCCAATGTTTTATATGATGTATGTTAATTTTGGGGTAGCCGCTGCACAATATGGAATACATTTTTATGTACATATCATATACTTGGAGTACCATTCTAGCCATTTTAAGGATATGCCCAAGGCCTGCAAGCACACTGTTGAGCAAGTGAACACGGAATACCGTCAAAAATAAACAAATCCATGTGCCCTTCACACCCCTAGCAGACAGTAACAAGCTTTGCTTCCAGTGCAAACTAGCTTTCACGAGTACTCTTTGCAGTATGGCGCATGCGCATGTTTACAATTTTGGCATCGAAGGGAGCGAGACCGCGCAAAGCTGTTACGGACAATAACATTAACGGAGCATTTGACCTGCACTACGGGCGATGGGAATGTGTATGCCAACAAAAATTTCGTAAGAATTCTCATATACATTGTTGGGTATATTTGAATGCATACATACATTCACATTGGATATGTGTTCATGTTAGCCAGCTGCTATTATGACTTTTCAGGGTTCTGTAAATACTCAGTTGATGTTGAGGCCCAAAGCGGTTAAGTCGGGCGCGAAAAAGGATACACGCAAAGCAGAGAATGTGCGCGGTTATGACAATGGTTGGTGGAGAAAAAATTAATGCAGCCAAAAAAGTAAATGAGCTCTATATAGACAGCCTTCACTGCTGCAGCCGACAACGCTGCTGTTGCTGCGGTCGCTATTAGTGTAAAGTGCCAAAAATATAAAAAAATCGATAGTTTAAATGAGTTTGTATTGTGATTGATTGCAAATAAGTTCGAAATATAAATTAACTAGTGATAATTATTTACTTCACATAACTATACAATTTTCAAGTGAGAAACTCACCTTAACATGTGTATATCTTATGTATAGATATATACATGCATATATGTATGTATGTGTGTACATATATAACTGTCCATATATACGTATATGTAAAATATATAGTATGTATTTAAAAACTGGTGCGCAGGTAACAAACTAAATGTAGCGAACAAAGCTCCAGTTGGAAAGACTAACGACTAGACCATCAGCTAATAGCGTGGGTGGCGACGCTTCACGGTCAAGATGCCATCCTGCACAATCTTAAAATTGGCGTGTAACTGACAGCGATTGGAATAATTAATTAATTTTAAAAAAAATTGGTTTTATTGAAAAAATAATAATTAGAAGTGACAGAAGAATTCGCTTAAAAAAGAACTACATTGCGCTAGAGCAAGAGTTGAGGCTTACAAAGCAAACGAGTGATAGGAAAACAAAATTAAGCGGTGAAAAATAATGAAGTTCTATTAGAGGATTTGGCTTTAAATTTATTTTTACATTCGGAAAAATACACATGTACCATAAGAACTTTTTCGATTATTTGCTTCAGCGTTTCAATTTTTTAAATTTTTTTTGTTGTAATTATAAAAGCAGAAGCGAATACCAGGAGAAATTCACATTTTGGTCTATTAAATGATAGCTTATTGATTCAAACAAATGTCGGGATTGAAATTTGTCTGCCACAAAAACATACCATACATAAGTAGTATGACGGAAAACAGCAGTGACAACAAAAGCTCATTATTGTAATCGTTTGATGCTTAATAATGACCGCTTTTCGTAAACTCTATCTAATTTTATTCACAAATTCTATAAAAGTGTGTATTTTAATTACAGTGCAATAAGCAAAAATTGTGTTACGACGGTTTTATAAGACAATTCATATATTCTAAGCGAAAATATCCTAGCCAAGGATACTAACTTAAATCGCTGTAAAGTATTGGCCACTGTACTCATATGGTAAATGTATGGGTTAAAGTAAGTAATTCAGTTAGTCTTAACTAATTAACGAAGTTAAACAGATAACGTTTAGATAATAAATACACTCATATGTGTGTATAAGTGTTTCATGATTATTTCGCCCTCCCAGTAGACAATGCCAATCCATCGAAAAACATAATAAATTCAATCAGCTACCGTCTGTTTACCTTTCCAGTAACTTCTTCTTTTTACGTGGCAATGTCTTACGAGATGTCTCATACTATAGTAGTTCAAAATAAAAAAAATATCATTAATTTTTTTAGTTTAAGTTTTCTAACATTTTCAAAAAGGTTCAAAGGTTCTTATGCTGGGAGTAGAGATCAAAATATCACGAAATACCTGTAAGTTTTCGGGAAATCTTCAATATATGTAGATAGATTTTAGACTAAAAATGTGAAGCTATTATATACAAAATATTATCACTATCTTTAAGTGAATAAATGTGTTATGGTATCTACGATTTTCTTGTAACATCAAAAATTGTGTATAAAAATTTCTTAATTCTAGTTTCTCCAAACCGTACTAGTCACCAATATCTACATATAATAAATACTTGTTACATATTTTGTTATTTAAATACGTTATGCATTAGAATAAGGATGTGATTTCTCTCGAGCCCCTTCCACCTCCTTTATTGATTAAACAAAAAGGAAGACGAAGACAGCGAATGGTGAATTAACGAAATTTTCCCACAAAATCCTGTACATAAATATATATATACCTATAGTTACATACATACATATATACCATACATAAATCATGGTGTAATAGCCCAAGGTAATTCACAGATGGCAGATATGAATTGCAATATCCGTTTTAATCCGTTTTAAAACTATTAAAAATATGGAAACAATTTTCCTTTAATTTGGAAACATACACAAAAAATGAATGAATGAACAGTTTCTCGAATTCATTATTTTTCCTTGAATTCCATTATTTAATCCTTAAAGGTGGATTATTCGAATAACGCGTGATTGATATTTCCTTTACAGAAAGTGTAAAAGAATACAAATTAATTCGACTATTGAAAGAAAATTTTGTTTCTAATATGTGAAATGTTTTTTATTGTTGCAAAATTGTTTCTGTTTTTTATGGACAAGCACGATCTTATCGATCCATCAATGTTGATAAAGAAAAAAAAACATAAATTACTTCTACAATTTGTATCTATTCTTGCTTTTCCGCAAAGTTGGAGGTAGGCAAATGGCCACTTATACTTACCTATGAACATACATGCATACATATGTATGTTAAAATTCGCCTGGAATAAGCAGGAAGCAATGACAGTTCAATTGTTTCCCAATAATTATTGTGATACGAGTAAAGAGCCACATGGTACTACAGATGTTCAACTGTTAAGTAGCTCGTTGTCAACAGTGACAAATTGTCATATGTAAAACTCGAGGGTGAGAGTCCACAAAATGTCAAGTAAAACAACATAATTTTAAAACAAATAATCAAAAATCGGAAACTTATAAAAAATTGTAAAAATAATCGAATCAAAATAGTAATTGTGATGTAGTCATAGTGTAAAACAATGATTTTTGTGCTCTCCATTTTCATAGAATTTCAAGAAACTTTTTAACTTTTCGAGAAATAAAGTGGAATACACTCATGAATTGCATTGTTCGTGAAAATTAGTTTTTAAAGTGTATATATGCATGTATTTAGATAGATATACATATTTACATACACATGCATGTAAGAGGTGCATACTTTTATATCACAAAATACTACGAATTAGAAAAGGTAGACAATAATAAGTTACAATTCAATTTATGCCTAAGCGTATAAGTATTTCAAGTCAACTCCTCGCCAGGTGGTTCATAATTCTTCAAGTAGTCAATTCTTTATTCAAGAAAATGCTTTGAGAATAAGACACAGAATTTCATCAGCTCCAACTGAGGTGATATGCAGAATAAAATCTTTGTTTGGGGTGGGCTCCCTTATAATTGGCTCATCATCGGTAGTGATGGTATAAAAATATTTGTATATATTGTGTATAGGGCACATATTTAAACATTTTTGGGATGTCGTTGATTATTGACTCACAGTGCACGTGTATTACTATATACATTTAAATAATTCGTCGCTAATTATATGTGTATTCTTACACATAATTGTTGCATGCATGTTTTATAAAACTTAAAAGTAAATGGTTTAAAGGCAACTGGAAAGTCGAAATTATTGGCATCAGGACAAATCATTACTATGACTTTTCCTGCTTTCTGAACTGTAAAACTAATTGCTTCTGACAAGTTTCTTTAGTGAGTTGTCGCACTCTTAGTAGTTTTCAATATAACCCTTATAAGGGTGGTGGCCGATTTTCACACTGTATAGCTGTTTGGTTTATCGTTTAGCTTTAGTGGTTTGTGAGATATGCACATTAAACCTATCAGAGGCAAGACCATGTGCACTTTTTAAAACTTTTCCTTACTTTGATGTCCTGTATTAAATTACAGTATTGTATCTTTATTTGTTGCTTAGTTATCTCCCATCTGCAATATCGAACTCATCAGAGTACCCAGGAACACGTGTACCAAGTTTCAACAAGATATTTCAATTTTTACTCAAATTACCGCTTGTACGGGCAGACGGAGTCTATCGCAACTTAACTCGACTCGCCACCCTGATCATTTTGACGTATACATACAAGTATAACCTTATATCTATCTCGATTAGTTTTAAGATATACAAACCACCGTCTGGTGATCTAAACTCTGTGGCAACATGTTGCGAAAGTATAAAAATTGACATCCATCCAGTAATTCGACCTCTCAATTCCATTATGGCTTAACAATACAAATTGGCAATAGAATTTATTGCTTATTCGAAAGATAATAAGTTCAAACCTCCACACTTCACGTATACGCCTCAAATATTCATAAATAATTAGTTACTTTTTTATTAATCAAAGATATGTATTTGTCCATATGTACACATATGAATGTATGTATTTACAACATTTTCGGAGCATCAGAGAGTTGATCATCAAACAGTGGTCACAACCTCGGCGAGCTCTGTTGCGCCGTCAACCCATTAGCCTTTAGTGCATAAGGATACGGCATAGGGGTTCGCGGTTTTTATGGAAATGGAGCGCTGTTATGAATTGTGTGTAAATAAATTCAAGTGTTTCCCTAGTGCAACATAAAACATTTTGTGCGCACTTGAGTGCAACCCGCTGACAACTTGTGAAAAGCAAGCCTCAGTCAAAATAAGTATGTACATTTGTACATACTTAAGTATATGGAATGCGCTTCGGTTTCTAATCCTATCTGTTTTTTCGAAAATGCTTTCGCATAAAGCTCGCTTCACATAGCCACCTGTTGCACATTTTACACGTCAGCTCACAATTCCATTGCAAATCCCTTCTCTTTTAGTTAAAATCCATTTTGATGCCCATTACTAGTTCCTTTCGGCTCGCATCGACGTACATAAGGATAATTAGTATGTATTTTAATATGCATATATTAGATCTAATGATTTTGATAAAAATAAAAACCCGAAGTGAGACAGTCGACAATTATTACTTCTCTGGTTAACGTACCTAAGCTTGCATTTACTTATGTTAGTTTTCATGTCTCATCAGTACACTTTTTTAGAATAAAGTTTTGCTTCTTTTAAATGACCTAAGTTCGGAAGGCTGAAAACGCGATTAAGTGATTTATTAAAACCAATTGGTCGTATCTCATGTCCTTCATTATCGGCTGAAGTGATCATTGTACCAGTCAATGTAGTTAAACAACATCGTATTTATACGGCCACCTAATAGCAGTCTGCAAGCATTAAGGCTGTCCTTATCTTTAATTGAGCGTTTTTTGTATAGTTTAGTATAAATAAAAGCATATGTATGGTGGTGCATATACATGGGTTTGAGTGCAGTATGAGCTGCTGCACAAAACGCACATGATATTATTTTCGTATTCGATTCACGACGATTGAACCTTTGTTCAACACTTAAGTTGGCAAATTCGTACATTGTCCAGGCGATAATTGTGGTCCATATCTTTGGTACCTGGGGACTTTCAACACTTTTTAGTGCGGAGATGGCACACCTTAAAGGCACTATTTGTGCAAAAATTTATCCCGATATATTCATTGGTGCTTGATTTGTATACTGGAAAGTGAAAGTATCAGATGGAATTTAAATTATAATTTTAAAAGAAGCATCTCATCTGATAAAGATCTTTTTTTAAGTTAGATCCTTATTTTTAGGGCAAAAACTGAAACTTCAGGGGCGTGTGCAAAAAAAATCAACGTGAAAATAACGGATACCGTAATGCACATATACGTACATATTAATGTCAAACATACGCTAATGTATCTCTGCTGTCACATATTTACATACTTACATATTTCCATTCGTGTATGAGTATGTATGCGAGATTTCAGTTTGCAAGGGTGCATTCCCTACAAGAAACTGCTGCTCAGTTTTTGCACAAGGCTCTTAAGAAAATTATAGAAACTTTGTTCTGTGCGCTGACAAAATTTTTTCAGCCGTTTGTTACTGTTACTGTTCTTGCAGGGTTGCTTCTATTGCTCCGTCGCTTTCTATTTATGTTTTCACACCATGCATTTTAGCCGTAGACGCTAGGCACGTGCATATGGATTAGTATGTACGTAGGTACACATCTATAATCTTTCACATATCAGTGAACACCACAAAATCAATAGCTGCAAATATGGTAAATAATGACCAGAAATACATAACACGCTTTGGTCACATCGCCTTTGAAAAAATTATTAATTTGCTGTAAGTACAAACATATGTACATATATACATACATATCTATTTATGTGCACATTTGTGTATATTTCCAATTTCTGTTAAATGACCGTAAAATTTTGTCAAAACACTGGCTTTTTTCTGTTTTGTTCTAAAGAAACTGTTTAGAAATTAATAAGGTGCCGGTAAAAATACGAGTGCGGTCCGATAATGACTTAGCCTCAGCACTCGATAGCGCTATTATCGCAATAGAATCAAAGAGAATTATATAATATTATCGTGGGCGATTACTGTCAATACTTCAGCCGAATCGGACACGTAATTCCACGATCTGACACTGACAGACTGCGGTATTTTGTATCAGACAGGATAAAGTTGGAGAATGTGTCAAGTGTATCGAAATGAAAGGAAGCTATGTTAAAAAATAAATAAATCACCATATTCCAACAATTTCCTTTTTCTTTTCTATTCTAAATAGTTATTGAACCACCCACGTATTATATTGTTGCTATAGTCTTAATTAAAAGCCAGCACAGAGTACGCTGACCTGTAAGAGTGCGCTAACACTTAAAGACTTCCGAAGTAACTTTTATATTTTCATTTATATTTTCCTACTCCTAAAATAACATTCGTCTTGGAATTCATGCAATTATAAATTAACCTTGCACTCAGCTGAAGTGATTAATTACTAGAGCTACATACCAAGACACAGATATTTGCAAAGGTTTGTATGTTTGAAAGTTTGTGATATGTGTAGCGAGCACTCATTATTCAAAGAGGATACATACATACTTCCACACAACAAACGACGTACAAGTATGTAGCTCAATACTAACGAGTTGATGACTTTTTGATGATATAACTGCATTGATTACCGGAGCTCGTATATTTCAAGCCCCGTCACCGTTTGCTACCGAACCATGGCGCCACAAAACTAATTAATTATTACGAAAGATTTGCATTATGCACCCAACGTCACCCGTGACGATCTCAATATTACGGTGATTCAAATTCTCGAAGAAAAAAGGACGATAACAAGGAGACAACGGATTTTTTCTGTTTACAGTTTATTGGCGCAATGATGCAATGCTAAAAGTGTAAGTGTGCACGCTTGCTGATATTCAATTAATGTCCATTACAAGTGACGTAGGACATTGTGCAGATGCTTGTTGTGCTTCGTCCCCCTTCCTGGAAGGATTATTACTAGGTGTTTAGCGAAGATTTTCTTTTAGAAGTATGTCGTAATACAAGTTCAAGTGGTACATAGAACATTTGAAAAATGAGGCTGAACCTGGTCCGGCAGAGTGATAGAGTGCCGTTCTGTATAAATGGTACATACTTACTTATACAACTCACACCTTGCATTGGGTAAATTTTATAATTGATGCTAATTAGATATTACCAACAAGTATGTTAAGTAATTTTAACCTTTGCATGATTCTTTATAGTATATTCTAATAGTAATATTTATAGTTAGCAGATTTTTTTGTTTTCATAAAAATATGCATGTCATAAAACACATATTTCATGATTATTCAGTTAAATAAAATATGATACCGGTTTGAGTGTAAATGTTTGGAAACTAGTTTTCGACATGGTTTGCGCTTTTCTTATTGTATTTTATGGTGAAGTCTGTTTTATATTATATCATAAATTATTGACAGATTTTATAAGGTAAAATTATTATTAATTAAGGCTATGTGAACATCGTATAACTTTCGTTAATCAAACTATTGATAATACTAGTAGCCCATGTATTCCACGCATTTCTTTTTCTACTAAGTGCTTAGCTGCCTAAAAAATGCATCTAAAAATGTTAAAGATGAATATTTTTCTATATGGTAAAATAAATTTTGACTAAACGCGACTATTTCCTTTTGGTTCGTCTTGAAAAGCAATTATATACACACATAACATAGCTATTTGATAAAAATTTGCTTAAACAGTATAGAAATCAGGACCATTTACTAATGTATAACTTTTTTATTGGCTCATTTCACACAGGTATCTGACAGGAAGCAATCACCATCATTAGACGGAGACTGGTTACGACAAGATCTATTGCCTGAATCATATATGTAGATAAACTAAAACAACCATAATCGTGTTGTCTTTGATATTTATGCTTATTCAAAGTGAACATTTAAGGCGCGCAGATATAAGAAATAACACTTGGCATATGCGTACTTACATACATACATATGTATGTAGCTGCTGATCAATCGTATTCAAGAGGCATTACCACTAAAAGATACATCCGTACAAGTATTAAGTATAAACATACATACATATGTATATTCAAATAAATACCAAAAATAATAACAACAACCAGAAATATTTAGGTGCTGTGCTCTATTTATTATACAAATATATAACTAATATAACCGTTACAAAAATAGCTTATTCTAACTGTTTGCTCATTAGAAGCAACAAATCAAATTCTTCCATAACTAAAGCGCGTAAAATTATATTTAAGACATTTTATTAACCCGTCACAGACAAATCGCGGTGCCAGCAATAGATGTACGTAGTAGGTCGTAATTATTACTAAACAGTTTTGATTTTAATTCCCTTTCGCGATAATTACATTGTAAGCCAAACATTCGCATTAGGGTGCGTTTTTTATTGAAATTAATGTTTCCGTGACAACTGCGAATCTACTAATCTACAGTAATTTAATAAGAAATACCTTAATCCAAATAGTAAAAAACAAACAAACACAATTAAGTGATCATGTAAAATAAATATATAAAAATATAAAAATAAATACATACAACATTTATTAGCGCAAGGAAATTATAGAGTTATGTATTTCTTAAAAGAAGTTAAGAACTTTGTATAAATCATATGAAACTAATGCCCTTATTCAAAGTGTTGTGAAATTCGAATAAAATCGGAAATTAAATGTAACCAAAGTAAAATTACAACGCAATTAACTTATACATTTTTAATTGCTTATGTTTTAAGCATTTTAATAGTTTGAGGAACACAGTAAAAGTCATACAATTTAAATAAACAAATGTAATCAACTTGCTTAAACCGAACATTATCGAGCTTCAGAAGATTAACGCGACACCGCACAACTGCGCTGAATCTAAATTTAAAAAAAAACTTTAAGTAAAAGCATTTTTTAACAGAAATAAACAGACAAACATAAGTATAAGTAATACAAAAATGCATACACTCACTTAAAGCGAAGCACGTCGAAACTGAAAGTTCACTGATATTTGTACTCAATCTTAACCCTCTGTGACGGTAAGAAACGCCTTCACATAACTGACTCCACCAGGTATCTTCATTTTAACCAATAATCCTACATACATACATACGTACTGAAAATGCTTGTGCTTTAATGAGCGCTTTTTTTCGAGTGCTTATGTGAGTGGTTAAGCAGGTTAAGATATAATTTGCCGAGTGCAGCTGTATTTGGCTGTTTGGCTGTTGGCCAAATAGGCTTCATTTTAACAAGGCACTTGCCCTTCGAAAATTAAGGGAGCATACACATACATATATATACATATATATATATATTAACGAAAGTTATATATATATATCCTAACGGAAAACGACCTTCGCGTGCACTGAAGCTTCGTGTCGTCTACGCTTTGTTGAACTATTCGCTTTAAAGTGTGGTGAGACAACTACTGGAAAGGCAGGGGTACAAACCTGCGAGTACAAGGTGAATACTAACCCACACCGCATCGGAAAGCGGACAGTTGTTTTGAAATTCGAAATGAGAGCGTCATGAGTGAATATAAGGTTAGCAGATATTTTGAAATGTCATACAATAAATGAGTACTTTGATAGGAATATTTTGAAAACTTTCTATTCTCTCACAGGCCATTCAAAAATGCAGGAAATGAGTTACCTGCAAGATAATTCCAAATTGGAGGCACTAACGAAAGCTGTACTCATCTCCATTCTCGGTGTCGCCATCGTCATATCGAATCTTCTCATTATAGCCACTTATGCAAACTTTAAAGGTGGGTTCTTGTTAATTATTGTTAATCACCCCCGAGTATTGTGTATTTAACAAGCTCAATAAATTAATTTTGCAATTGAAATTTGAGAAAATTATGTATATAAATTATATACTTATGTATGTATACTATACTATATGAAATTGTAACAGGATGCTCCGTAAATGAATTTGGAAGAAGGTACGGCGTAGCGCCGATGCATGGACAATAGTAAAAATGTTTGGTTGTAGTTTAGAAAAGCAATTATGTACATGAGTTTTTATTTTGATGTGCAAAACAAAATAATGCTTTTACAAAGAATTTACACAACAATCTTTTCATTGCTCATTCAAAAATTTGTATATGTATATAGAAAACATCCTTCATTATCTCGATTACAAATGTTGTAATCTAAAAATATCCTAATTAAAACGAAACTGCTACGAAGTAATGTATGGCGTCCGGCTCTCATCAGCGATACAAAAATCTGCTTTTCGCATAGCATTACACAAATGGTATTACTTTTGCAGATGTACTGAATTCCTTGATTGATCTATGAAATTGCATTTTTCGATTTGAAAACATCATGCAGTTGAAAAAACATGTAGTCGCAACAAATTTCAAATAGCTAAGAAGTCAAATTAGGTATTTAGTGAAACTCTTTTATAAAGGATAAAATCGTGATATCGTCATCGTCATAATTAATTTTTCCAACTAAAATTACTATTGGAAGATATGTTATTCAATTCTACTATATATTCATTTGCAAAATTGATTACTTATATATCAAGTGGTTGTTACTTCTTCTTGAGCCGCTTCCTATAAGAAAGTATGCGAGTACATCTTCACATGTTGGAACCGAGATGCAATCAAAAATTGTCTTCACTAACTCATGGAATACCTAAAACTGATTCCCATACAAGGTTCTAATAACCTGCTTAATATTCTCTTAAAATAATAAACGCTAGCAATTACGAATCAAGCAAAAAGTTATTAACTTTCCAAAATCTTGTTGTTTCAACAATTTTTACGCGGTTAATCGGTTGGTTTATGGCGCTTCTTTATTTATTTACTGTTTTCAATACTTACTTGTCTACTGTGTGTATAGTAAAAATCAAATTCGTTCAAGCATGAATCACTAATTTCATCTCCTCTGGGTTGGCTATTATATGCCCTTAGGTCCCACAGAGGTCATCAACTACTATCTACTGTCACTGGCTGTTGCGGATCTACTTTGCGGTTTATTGGTTGTGCCCTTCTCTGTTTATCCTGCATTGACTGGAGAATGGATGTATGGCGATATTGTATGTCGCTTCACCGGCTACCTGGAGGTGACACTGTGGGCCGTATCTGTATATACATTCATGTGGATCTCTGTGGACCGATATTTGGCCGTCCGGAAGCCTCTTCGCTATGAGACTGTGCAGACAAAAACGAGGTAAGTATAATATACTCATATGTACAAACAATTTTTCACCTTCCATAGAAATCTACAAACTGTAATTAAATTTTTTCACCTGCACATATGTATGTGTGTATGTACTTATGAACATGTTTTTGCAGATGCCAATGCTGGATGGTGTTTACATGGATTTCGGCCGCGTTACTATGTTGTCCACCGATTCTAGGCTACACGAAGCCCATCACGAACAATGTGACACATATTTGCATGCTTGACTGGGGCAATATGGCGGCGTACAGTGCGACTTTGGCAATTTTAGTTTTAGGTCCTAGCGTTATATCCATAGTACATAATTATGGTTACATTTTTGTAATGATACGAAAGCTTAAATCGGGAGAACCTATACATGACAAAGAATATGCAACCGCATTAGCTGAAAATTTATCGAATCCTAGTCATATGATGTCATTCGTATTAGTGTTTGCATTCTGGATGTCGTGGTTGCCATGGATGGTGCTGCGCTTCTACGAAGTGGTGACCGGTGATGTTATCCAAAGTACTCTTATTCATTTTCTGGTCGTTTGGATTGGCGTGCTGAATTCATTTTGGAAAATCATCATTATGACCAGTATGTCGCCGCAATTTCGGATCGCACTTAGAGTATTTTGTTTAACAATATGTTGTAAGACTAAGGGCCGTTTGCAAGCAGAACTAATCGGATTGGACCCAGATGACTAGAGTCGTTAGATTTTCCACAGTATGAACAATTAAATTAATTTTCACAATTGGCTTACCTTTCCTTAATTTTCCTAACAATTTCAATTGCAATTCGAGATCACGCTTTTGAAAAATCATGATAAAGCACGTCTTTATCAATCAGTAACAATCTGATTAAATTAACAATACATATAATACTTAGTAAGGCAATATTTACGTAATTGCATGCTTGATCTATGGATGTAATTCAAATGTGAATTTTTTTTTAAATATTCAATTCTGTGAAAAACTTTGAGCATAAAGCGGTGGCAATGATAATGATATCTACAACTTAATTATTTATCGGAGCGTATTAATATATGTACATTTGTATACATATTAATATATGTATGTACATACATATGTATGTCTGTGGGTGCATATGTATGTATCAACATTTATAGCTCTGGTTGTACATAAGTTAGTACGCACATATTGAAACTTGTGAAAATCACCTACATTTTCTTGTATTAGTTTTCAAATGCGATATACCAAAAATAAATTATAATTTTCGTTTGTTTTTCTTTCATAAAAATACATTACATCGTAAATTGTACTATTCAAATTTAAGTTAGCTTAAGAATTCGACGTTTTAAAAAAACGTTGCGCATTTCGAAAAGTGAATGTATCATAATATACTACAAATACTTATGTATGCACATATAATAAAATTAGCGCTAAGCTCTTTTCAGAGATATAGGAACGTACATACATACAACGTGCTACGTAGATATACCGTTTGTTAAAAATCATTTTAAAAAATATATTACATCAGACATTTCACATGATTACAAGCATACTTATGTTGTTGTAACTGTTGTTTTTTCCATAAAATGTAAAAGCACATTTTTATAAGTTTATAATTGGTTGTAAATTGATTAGTAATCCCTGAATGGACCGGCTTATAGGAATGGACTGAGTAGATTTAAATACAAACTCAACTACTTAATGGAATCATTTTTTCTAAAACCTAGAATGGCGATATCCTACAAAATATAAAATTTCGGTATTTGGTCTGAAATGTCACACTGGTATGGAATGATATACATGTACATAAGTATATAAATATGTATTTACTTAATTCAAAGCACTCAACCAATATTCAATCGGCTACCTTTGGTTTTCAAACACCCGTTATCCGTTATAAAGATCACCGTACTTTTGAAAGAGGAAAAAGGAGACAGATTGATTTTAACTATTATCCTTAGCTTGCTCATCCTTAATTACCAGAGAGTGCTACCGGAGATTTATGTAGAAGGAAGAATAATGAGTTGCAATGTGTTAGTTTTCATACTAATTCATTCAATTTATAGGAGATAAGGAGAAATAAGATCGTTTGGTGGAGCAATTAGAAAGTATCATTTATGTTTTCATGATTTTTCATTTACTAGCGAGTTATAAACGCATTATTTGCACTCGCGCTGTGCTTCTGTTGAAGCACAAATCTTACATGAGATACGCGTAACATTTTATCCTTTTTCCTTAGTGGGATAAATACAGTTTCCCTTTGAGTGCAGCATTGCGTTTAAAACAGAAAATTTCAATCATTTGTTAAATACTTATATATGTACATACATATGTATGTATGCATGTACATTGTGTATGGATATAAACATAACTACATTTATATATACGCGTTTATATTTACGTGTTTACGTTATGTTACGTATTTTTCAGTATTTAAGGTATGTTTTTGTAAAATTCGAATTTATTTTTAGGACAATTGAAGTTTACTATTAAGAATTAAGGATTTCATGCGACTGTTAAACTGATGAGTATTTAATAAACAATTTTATCATCGCGTTGAACCATGTATTGTTTTAATAAAACTGGCGTATGTATTTGTATTTTTATTAATATTGACGATATACGAAACTTCCATGAGTAAATCTTAATTTAATATCATATCCTTCATTTTAAAAGATAGTTATTTTACGTGAACAAAACAAAACGAACTTTATCAATAAATTAAAATGAAAGACACATACATATGTACATATTATAATTTATAAACTTACAACACCACACATTTTGTTCACAAATACTATCTATTATTCATCATTATTATTTTGACATTAATACGCACTAGATCCCCATTTTAAGTTACTTTTTCTGGTAAGAATATGTATGGAATATAATAAAAGCCGCATCAAAGTGGTATAAAAAAGTTTAAAAAAGTTTTCCATACAAAGACTTGAGTTCGAATTCAGCACGTCACGCTGATCATTTATATATATACCTTAAAGGGTCTCCGACGTTTCTTTTTGGATGTTATAAATATCGTGGCAAACTTAATATACCCTGGGTATAAAAATAACTGGTATGGTGTGTGATTTCGACTTCTTTACCCTCTCATATTTCACTTGCAGATGTCGCTATGAAATATTTGCTATTTATTCTTCCTTCTCTCGTTTGAAGCAATTAAAGCTGGAAGCACTATTGGCAATAAGCAACAGAGAATGTAGATTAACAATGTAAACAACGGTAGTGCGAGCGAGGCAAACATATTCGAATAGCATATGTGAAAAATTAGAGAAAAAGTTTTTCGACGAAGACGCAGCGAAACAGTCACGCGAGGCAAACATCAGCAAACTAAATAATGTAAATAAATATATTTTTAATAAAGAAATCTTAATTATGTTTCAAAATGATGGATATGTGCAAAAATAGATTTTAACCGCAGAATTTATACCCCATGTGTTATGTGATTAGTTTTTACGCGGCGCTCTAACGCAACAACGATCAAGGTTTAACTTTTTCTTCGTTTTTAGACAACGGTTTGCATGTGTGCGCGACGTTTTATGGAGTTAAATTGCGTAGCGTTTGACAATATAACTTACAACTTTCTGCATTATACATAATTACATATACAAAATTTCAGCAGCCATATCGTCAAAAAATATGGAGAAGGGTTATTTTCTAAGTGAAATCCAAAGCAATAGACATATTTTGTATATTCACTTAAACAACAAATTTATATCGTTATAAATCACTGGAAAGTTACAAAAAATATATTTATTTTATATATAATATTCCAACTCATCCTCGAAGAAGTTTATAAGGAAGAATAGTAGCGGTCTTGTAAATCAGTAGTATATACAAAGAATTACGTTCGGCTTATATGTGTATGGTATATAAAACTTCCTCCGTGATGTAGTATTATGTATGTGCATTTTTTTGGAAAATACAAAAACGAAAATACTGATCGTTTAACGGTTGATACAACAGTTATTTCTATAAATTACTCTATTCGGAACATTTCAAAAGTTTTTTGCTTCCTAAATTTTGCAGAATCGTCAAGTGCACATAAATATGTGCATAGATATATATGGTTCATATGTTCAATTAGTAAATCCAGTGTAAATCATAATGCTGAGGTTTGATATACACTGCTTATTCCGTTAAAATAAAATTGGAAGAATATGGTTTTCGAAATTTCAACTTTTCAAATTATATAAAGCAAATCAATTTACCATTTAAATAATTATAATTAAGGCACACAAATTGCATACAGAATGTTTTGAAATAGGAAGCAGTAAAGTAAATACTAAGCGTAAGCAGTAAAAACGGCAGCTGTTTTTGTTTACTTGAATATAAATATATGTATGTAAAAGCTCTCTTCACGTTTTTCTCTTCGGTTTCTTTCGTATTTTTCTGGAATGGAATTGTGGAAAAACACACATGTGCATATATACTTTTACAAGCTTTGTTTAATACATATAAGATTTGTGTACGTGCCTGTTACGAATTATATACTTATATTTAAATGAGAATAAATTTACCCATTTCGATAACCGGGTGTTAGGATATGGTATTTTAAAAACGGGAAAGTAGGCATTCACACATCTACATATACATAAAAAATATATAATAGAATATATTTAAGCCGTATTCGGATTCCCATTGCTATTGCAGTGGGTATTGTTCACTAATATAATTATAAAAGGAAAAAATAGTCCTAACAATTTTCTTGTAAACATTAAAACAGATATACGAATAAAATGGTTAGATCCGGTAACGTAAAACCGACTGCTGTGGATATTGCTTTATTGAATCTAGTTGACAAGAAATATAAAAGATGAGCTACATTACTCAGGAAAAGCTTGCTTACAAAAATGGTTAACAGTTTTTCTAATATCAAAATAGTTTCGCCGAATCATCTATTGAAAGTATTCACTCTTTGAAGTTAGTTATACTTCTTTTCATAGTTTAACATGATTTCCTTACGCTAGAACTAGTCGAATACTTATTTGACTTAAGTAAACCCTTTTTGGACCGTTTCGTTTGAATTTGTTATGTGGGGATCTCCTATTTTGATTTTGTTCGCATACTTTCTGACTATGGTACTATAGTATTAATATAAAAATGTAATTCAATGTTATTATTCTATTCGAAGTCCATCTGCTTATGTTTGTCAAATTAACTATGAGAACGTTACTAATGTGTTATTAATTAAAAACATTTGGGCACTTCAAGGATTCCTATAACTTTCTGTATTATCAAAATTATTTGAATAGAAACAAACTCATATATAATTAAGTTTTCATTATTATTAATAATCTTAATATTAATAACAAGTAAAAAATATTTTTAATCAATACCTAATTTTAGTTGTTTTCTGATTAAAAACAAAAAAAACTTCTAAAGTCAAATTGGAAAACAATTGAGTAAACAATGCACAATAGCAAAAACAAATATGTATCAGTTAACCTGTAATGACTGTCAAAATATCGTATCCAACTTTTGAAGGATAACAAAACTGCAAAATTATTACATAAAAAAGTTAAAGAAACCAATAAAAATTACATTTAAAACGACGGCCATTCCGACCACGACCCCGATTTTAAAATCAACGAAGACCACGACAAGGCACCCACCGCCACCGACAATCCCCCCGCTCAGCTGATTGTTGAGGTGAAAAATGTCAACGTTCTTAAACAATTTCTTCCCAGCAGGTAAGTGGCATCAGTACTTCTGATAATGTAGCAATGAAGGAAAATATAACCTAAAGTTACTGCTGTTTTTAATTTAATATAATACAGTTAAAAATGTGGCATATGTGCTAACATTAAAGACTAGGGCAGTAGCGCACAAAAACTCCTATCACAAACAAAAACATCCTGGATAATTGATATATACACTTATAAGTACATTCTACTTCGAGAGCTGGACTATAATTTTCGTGTGCAAGGTTAATGATGTCATTTATTTATTCTTATTTAAACAGCATACAAATGTATTAGGCACTACCATTTCTTTAAAACGTTCTTCCGTTCAAAGTATCAAACAGTTTACTTAAATTAAATCATGAAATACAGAATGTACTAAAGATTATGGCAACAATCAGCTCTTATGCAGGGGCTCAGTAGAAAATCATTCCAACTATCCATAATAGAATTGAAAATTAAAAGAACGTTTAATTCGGTAAATTTTTAGATATAATTGTTGTTATTAACAAAGACGGTTCAAAAAGAATTATACATACAATATATATATATATACATATACTTATAAATATATATACATATACTTATAAATATATTTCACCTACCTACCCTTTTCGATCAGCTTAGTATTTTTAATTTTTTACGTAATTTGCGTAGTTCGCAAATCTAAAATATTTTATATCGAAATCGAAGTTCGTTTCTTTGATGAGTATAGTTTTATATTTGTAAAAACGGTTTAGCGTTTTCTCCTCTTTTCAAAATTAACATTGCGCATATACTTATAAAATTTTGCCGTTCGGTTATTTGGCCCTAAAGTTCGCCAATATCATGTACAAAATAATGTATACTGGTAAGCTATTTTTTCGTCAGTGAGCCGAAAAGCTACCTACGGTATCGTTTTTTTAGCTAATGTAGGCGTTGACGAATCTTGTTATATATGGTATCACTTTATATACATACACATGTACTTATATGATACAGTCACAAAACCAATAATTTATGTATATGTGAGTTTATCAGTTAAGTCGTTAACATTAGCTTACATTTTTACAAAACTTGTTTTTTTTCTTTAACTCTGCAACAAGTAAGCTCGGTTGTTGCCCAAGCAAACAGTTTGATTCAGCTGTTTCTGGTCAAATATCCACATGTGTATATATTTTATACCCGAATGTGCATATTACAAATTATTTTTAGTACAAATGCAGTGAGTGTAATTTTTAGATACTTATTCAATTGTAATTAATAAAGACAAGAAAAACAAGAAAAAACGTTAGCTTCGAAACTATAATACCCTTCATAAATACAAAGGTTTGTATGGCAGCTATATGCTATAGTGGTCCGATAAACGGCCGTTCCGACAAATGAGCAGCTTCTCAGCGAGGAAAGGACAGGCGCGACATTTCAGATAGACAGACATGGCTAAATCAACTCGGCTCATCATGCTGATCATTTATGTATATATTTTATAGGGTCTCCAACGTTTACCTTTGGGTGTTACAAACTTCTTGGCAAACTTAATATACCTTGTTCAGGTTAGAGGGATAGTTATAGGGCTATATACATATATATAAATGATCAATATGATGAGACGGGTTAAAATCCAAGTGACTGTTTATCCGTCTGTGCAAGCGATAACTTGAGTAAAAATTAATATATGTATCTTATCAAAATTTAGTACACGTGTTCCTTGGCAAAGGAGTGAGGACGAGTTCGTAGATGGGCGTAATCGGACCACTGGCACGCCTACAAAACGTCATTAATCGAAAACCAATAAAATGCCATAATTAATCCGCAAATTAAGATACAAAACAAGAATGGGTACAACGAATCGCAATAATAAGGTTTTTAAAAGTAGGCATGACCAAGCCCTCAAATAGGTTTAATGTATATGTATATCTCCTTAACTTCTCAAACTATATCACCCAAATTTGCACAGGATATATTAGTTCGACACCTCTTGCGAAAGCATGAAAATAGGTAAAATCGGATGATAACCAAACCCACTCCCCATGTAACGGTTTTATTAAAACCTACTAAAACTGCAATAAATCCAAAACGAAAGCGTCAGAGACATTAAATTTCACATCCGAGATGACACAAAAGAGCTTTATAGGAACAAGTGTCAAAATTGGACAATGGGCGCCGCTCACATATCTCACTCCATCAATTTCAACCAAATTTGGTACATAAGATTTTTTTGACATTCCCATGTTGCAATCTGAAAATAGGACAGTAACCACGTTTAATTCCCATATAACACAAATTTAAATTCCACTGATTTTTTTAATTTCCAGTATACAAATCAAGTACTAATTAATACATATATCGGGTTATAAATTTGCACGAATATTTCCTTTAAGGTATGCCATCTCAGGTCTAAATATTTTCGAAATCGGACCATAGCTATTCAAGCCCCCAGATACTAGAAATGTGGACCCCAGAGCCTATGCCGAAAATATCGGTCAATCTGTGAGATATATTATTGAAATTCGTGAAAAAGGTTTTTGTAAAAAATAGGTTGAATCGGATCAATACTTCCCTTAGCCCCCATATATCCATTTCTATGCCCCCAAAGTAAAATATAGTAATAAGACTAAGTGAGTCAAAATACCATAAGTTAATATGATACCAAAGGAACAAGGAAGTTGAACCTTTTTGCTACATTTATTAATATAAAGTTTTTCCAACACCTGAAGGTATTTCCCCGCCTTTGATCCTTGCAAGTTGCAAGAGTATGAAATGTTCGGTTACATCTGAACTTAGCCCTTCCTTACTTGTTTTGTATTTTGAGTTGTGGTACCTTACTTCATTGAAATCTCCATTTTCATAAAAAGTCATTTTAGCACGTTTGAACACCAAGCTTTTGATATGTTTCTGGAGCGTTCTTGCAAATAAGCACATATTCAGTATATTAAAGTTGTGCTCACTAAGAGAAATAATGAAAAGAGCGTAAAAAACAGGCAAAAAATGTGGTGCAGGTGGAAACAACCAATTCGATTTTACTCTCCACGAACAGAAAATTAAAAACTCTGATTATATGCTTCTATGATCGCTGCCAATCTGGAATTTTTCGATATTGGTTGAATTGATTTCATTTTTCAAATTTTACGATGTATTTCTATTTTTTGGAGCAATTTACATATATAAATAATAATTTAAAAAGCATCAAAAACAGATCAAATCTTAAATTTTAACTATACAATATTTCAGACACAGCTGCAATGGATCCGATTTTTTATCCCCCTTCGAACGGAATTCCCTCAGAAAGTAAACTTGCGACGTATATGGTAAATAATTTAATTATTTTAAACTAAATACGAATGAAAGTAGTTTATAAAATTTTACGATCTTATTAGAAGATTTTACGATCATTTAGAGTAATACATTTTTTGGGGCAACTAATTTTGCTATTTGGGTAATGTAGGCTCCATCCAGTTCGATGCAAGACATACAAGGGATGGAGCCATCTTAAGATCTGACCTGGCTTTAGGACGATTATTTTTTCTCGAGCACTGCCATATGTTGAAAGGTAGGCAATGCTACGCTTATTGCAAAGAGTATCAAAATAGCTAAAGATAGCCAATATGACTCACAAACGATTATACTACTATCAATATTTAAAAAATGTAAATATCTTGTAATACCTATTATTTTTTCCCCTAGTTAAAGAACTATGAGCATGTTAGTCTTGAAAGTCATGATAACTAAAGTTAAAAGGCACTATGTTGTAGTAAATGCAACAATTTACAATAGCAAGCATTTGAAAGACGTATATTTATTTAAAATTAAATCAGTATATATACTTGTACATATAAATATACAGCGGGGGCCCTAAAAACTGCCGCGCCTAACTTTCCGCAATAAATAACAAATGTATTATAAAGTAATGATAAAAATTGTGTTATTTATTTGTTAAACTATAGACCTGCATTATGACTGTTATAATTCAAATCGTTCGCCTTTCATTGCTTTTTAAAGCTTCACACGGTTTTGGAAACTAGTACAGACGGCAAGTACAAATTCTTCTTGAATTGCTGTGCAAACGGCGCTAAAAGTGGTCCACTTTCAGGTTTTTTACATTTGTTAATTTCCCCATCATATATCCCTATATACAAGAATCCAAAAGATTCAAATTAGGAGAAGAACGGGGCTAATAATCCGCCGAAATTCCGCTGAACAATTCTTGCTTTATGGGCCGCGGAAGAATCTTGTTGAAATCAGTTTGAATTATTGCTAAACATACTGGAAACATGAGCAGAGAAGTTTTTTGTTTTTGCGTTAAGTTTTACGCCTTTATCAATGAAAAGGAGAGGAGGTTTTCCTTTTGCAGATATTTCTCCCCAAACCATAACAGAGGTTGTGTTTCGATACTTTTCAATAGCTCCTTTATCAGCTGGAACCTCAGACATACTGGTTGCATAAACGCGGTCATTTTATGAGTTTTTGCGTGCCGCCGAAGGAGCAAATCACTCTTTTATCTTCTCATTTTCTTTTGTCATCCCGTTAGACCATGAATTCGTTTTTTCTTGTTTTCTCAGTTATTTTGCGTATATTTCGCGATTTCAGTGTATGTTTTTGTTTCTTCGAAAAGTTTAATCTTTGATTTCCCTTTCAAAAGGGCTTATTTCTGTTCTTTTAGGCGAGATTCGATATTCTAAATTTAATAACAAACTGAATAGAACAAAAATCTTTTTAAACTGTTACTTTTACCAAGTAAAATTATAACTCTCCGACAATTTTACATTTTGTTATTACGTAGGGAATTTCCATTTACTGCTTGTACGCAGAAAATTAGCACTTTTTGGAAATTTGTTTTTAAAACTAAGGTGTAAAATTTTCATTGCTTTAAATGTTATGGGATTATGCAACAGACTAGTAATAAAGCACTTAATATGATTATGCTCTAAAATTTAATATTATATATAAAAGTTATTTTTTAACAAAAGAAATTTTCTGGCGCGTGTATATATATTTTTTCTGAATATTTAGAACTTCCTCTATCTGTACATACCCATTTTAACATCAAGGATCAATTGATGAAACCTTAAATTATATTGCGTATATTCAAAATATACATATGTGAAATACAAGTAGAAATGTGTAACGGCAAAATGTTAAAACTTACTTGGCTCAGCCTAATGAAGCTGCAAACAAATGCGACAGTTATAAGGGCCCATGCTATATATATGTGCATACATGTATATATACAATACTATATACTTACATACATTGCGCGTCACCAGGTTAGCACACCTTCACCAGCTTGTTTTCTGATTTTCTCATCTTTGTATAAACAATCCCTGGTAAAGAAAACATGCGATAAAATTGTCCCATTATATGGTTTTTGCTATTTGTATTTTAATCGAAAAGTATACTCTATTTCTGTGTCATGAGGTTATCAAAGCAATTTGTGCTTTGCATTTATCTTTGGATTTAAAATACATATTGACACCAAATTTTTGTATTCCTTAAAAGCTTAATTCTTTTTAATGTGTTAAAGAAAAGTCGCTATCGGTTGAAGAGAAATCAAAAATCGAAGCTTATGAAGACATTATTAGCTTTCAATAGTTGGCAGAAGTCGAAAAGTTATAAATAATTTCCTTAAATTATATTGTAAAATTGTACAAATCGCCACTCAATAGGAACTTTGAGATCATTCGCAACAAGGCGGGATCGACTCATTATTAAAATAATATACAAACGCTTAAATTGGTTAATACTTAAGTTTAAAAATATGTTCCAGGCTAAAAAATGATAGCAACATAAAAAAGTGATGGCCTAATTTAAATTGTTAATTTCTTGTTGATTTCGAAAAATATATATATTACAAAATAAACGAGAAAGGTAAAACACTAATTGTTGTTTAATTTAGTAGAAAATTGATTCGTTAATATTCGCTAATAATTTCAGAATTGTAGCTTCTTTAGTTTTGATAGAAATTAACCAAAATTATTTAAACCTGAAGTGTGCTAACCTGATGAAGTGCAATGTGTGTAGATTGTATACAGATACCAATATAAAAATTACTTGTCAAGTTTTCTCCGGGGTAAACTCTTAAACTACTGAACACCCCGTGTTCAGCCAATTTAATCTAACTTAAAGGGTAAGATAGTTTAACTCTAAATTATGTTAAAAGGCAAAACAATTCATAAGTAAAAAATATAATTCTAAACATATGCTGTGTTCAAAAAATAAAAAAAATAAAATAATTATTATATATATATATAAATAATATTTTCACTGTATTATAATAGTACAAGTATTTAATGTATACCATATCCACAACAAGGCGTGGCCGGATCTTCTAGTATACGTTTGTGTGTATTTACATACATATGCACATATATAATTTTAATAAGCACGCCTCTGTGTATTTTATAAGTTTACAACTTGTTTACCAGGTTACCCCGCAGTCTCCCGAATTCATTCCAACTCGCATAAATTCGTCCCCAAATTTCTATACACCTTATCATACTCCGATGCTGAGCAACGGTCTTGGCAGTACCGGTATCAATGCTGTTGGCGGCGTTGGTCCATCTGTAGGGAAATCGGTGAATAGTACTCCTTCATCTCTGCTTGGTCTGCAGAAGGCAGCTGCCGCCGCCGTTGCACAACAAAAACAACTGCAACAGCAACATCACCATAAACATCAACAACAAGCTCAGCAGCCGACTCAACCGTCACACGCCTTGGCAAACGGAGTTACGACAACTCAGCCACCGACTGGGACGCAATCATACGTGAACATGTCGACACCTCTGAAAGTGCGCAGCAATATGCTGCATAACGAATCGCCTACAAATCTTGTTGGTGGCGGAAGCGAAAAATCTCCATCGCGAATCACACCCCATGCCTCGCCCATACCAACAACGTTGCCGGCGAACGTACATCAGGTTTGAGAATGATTTAATTATTGATTTATTATATATCCTTCATTATAAAATTATATTTAATGCATATTAAGGAGAATGTAGGTGGAACTATCTATTTTTACCCAACTGCCAATCATACGACCGCCGCCAACAATAATGCCGTGGTAAATAATGTTGTTGACCCCGTTAGTGCGCATCACGCCCCACCTTCGGTGGTGGCACCTATACCAGCAGTACAACCTCCACTGCTATATAGTGGCCATCATGTGTATCCAGGACCAGCTTCCAATATAATTGCATTGCAGCCTAAAACACACTTGGAATCTGCCTTCTTTCTACCTGATGAGATGCGATCAGAAATTCTTGCCCGCAACGAGATCTCAAATTTAATGCTGGACCCAGCCGACGTGACACAAAATGCCCTTCCACCAGAAGTAGACAATTATCATTCATTATACCCCTTGGAACCAGTTCAGGCGCTGCACGGAAAGATCACTATTCTTTCATCCACCTATAAGGCAACACATAGCACTACTGGCATTAAATATTGCTTACGGAGATTACATGGTACGTGTAAATTATTTTACATGAAGTTAGTTCATTTTGATACCAAGTTGTCTTCACGAAAAGTAGCATGTTGATTTGAGTTCTCAGTTTTTCCTTTCATCTTGATTGTGCGTACTCTGACATCGAATTGGAAATATTACCGTTTGGAGGGTGCAGATATAAGGTTGAGAACTAATTTAATAAACAGATATTTAATTTTTAAATGATAACTTACGAAATGACAAACAAGTAAAAATAGAAGAATTATTTATTGCCGACCGGTCGCCACAATACCAAAAGAAATTTCGTTTGTTAAATGTCGACAATTGAAAACAACTATTAATATGACCATATATACAGTATTATTATTATTATTAAAACAAAACGAGAGGTAACGTTAAACGTAAATAAAAAGTCGGCTAGATTAACACCTTTGATAAAAATGTTGACACGCTGTAAGCTCTTTATAATTTATGTACAAAATGTTGCAAGACTAATAAAACTAGAACAATATTTGCAACTAGTAATAAATGATTTCTCTTCGTATACAAAGACCACTCTGGGAAAACTGTAATCCTTAGTTCGATACTCGCAATTAGAAATATTTAAATTCAAATTAAGTGTATTGAATGAAAAATTTGGTAATAACATTAGCTTTATTCTAATTTTGAAGGTTTTCGCCTCCAATCAACAAAATGTATGGCTGTAGTAGAGATGTGGAAGAAATTGCAACATTCGAATGTGGTACAACTGCGTGAGATATTCACGACAAAAGCGTTTGGTGATAATTGTATGTAAACTTATTTGCTAAAAGGCTTTCATATATAATTTATGTTTTTGAATTTTCTATATACATATATACCTATATATATGTTTTTTCATTATTTATAGCGTTAGTATTAGTTTATGATTATCATCCCGGTTCCCAAACATTGCTTACAAAGTACTTTACGCCCACACAGGAGCCCAATGGTTACCCTGATCCATTCCAAGGCGATGCGCGCCCATTCAGGTACGAAATAATTTTTTAAAAAATGTTTTACCCTAACTCAATTTTAATTTGAGTTTAATTTATTTTTAAAAACAAATGTTGTATGCAACGTACATGCATAGTACAAGTACATGTATATGTATCTTTTTTCTCCTGCAGCCACAAGAGTAACTTACAACGTACTAACAATGGTCCGTTATTGCCAGAAGCGACTATTTGGTCAATTATCATGCAACTGACAGCCGGTTTACGTGCAATCCATCAGGCGGGACTCGCCTGCAAGTGAGTCGAAGATCAGAAGCTATTCAATTATATTTGTTTTTAATAAGAAATTGAAATTTAAAATCGAAAGGGTCTTGGATCCAACAAAAGTACTAGTTACTGGTAAAAGGATGCGCTTGAGTTTTTGTGGTACAAGTGACATAGCACAATTCGACCCTAATGCAGCCAATCCTTTGGCAGTGGCTAGCATGCATCAGCAAGTATATATTAATACATTCTATTTACTAGACTAAAGGCTAATTAACCAAAATTTCTAAATTCGTTTGCAGGATGATTTGACTGCCTTGGGTCGGCTGGTATTAGCCTTAGCATGTCGATGCTTACAATCAGTTCAGCGAGAGAATGTTCAAAACAGCATTGAGATGGTATCACGTCACTATTCTACTGATTTGCGTAACTTCATTGTGTAAGATTTGATCTTATGAAATTAATGGAACATTTCCTCTCTAGACTATTTCATTATAGTTATCTATTTTCGACAACGCAACGACGCTCAGTAACTGATCTTATGCCAATGATTGGTGCACGTTTCTACACGCAAATGGATGCATTGCAAAGCCTGTGTGACATGCAAGAAGACGAGTTGGCTAAAGAAATGGAAAATGGTCGACTCTATAGAATATTGGTGAAATTAAACTGCATAAATGAAAGACCTGAGTACGTACTTAATTCTTATTATTATATTCCCGGGTTGTTTGCATGTTAGTAAAAAATGTTAATTTAAACATTTGACATATTTAAATATCTTTTTCAGTTTTAATATGGATTGTACTTGGTCAGAGACTGGTGATAGATATATGCTGAAATTGTTTCGTGATTATTTGTTTCATTCCGTCACAGAAGATGGTCGTCCATGGCTGGATCACGCCCATATCGTAAACTGTTTAAATAAATTAGATGCGGGCGCATTAGAACGAGTACTTCTTTATAATAATCCTCAATATAAATAATTAATACGATGTTGATGTGAAGATTCATCTATTAACTATTACCTCATTTCTTTTTTAGGTTCAACTAATGTCGCGTGACGAACAGTCCGTTTTGATTGTTACATATGCTGAACTCAAAAATTGTCTTGAAAATGCATTTTCCGAGTTAGTGATGAATGCCCCGACATAATGCTTTCCAATCACTGACAGAGTCTCCACCATCAGTCCTGCCACATTTGGCATCTCCATTACTACAATTGGCACTAAAAGCAAATATAATAACAGTAACAGTCGCATTATTTGGTAGCATTAGAAATTATTGTAACTGAGCAGAACTGTTAGTGTAAAGACCACCGTCTATCATGAGGGGGATAAAAAGCGCGAGAATATTTGTAAAATAGAAGAAATCCAGCCTTATATCTACAAATCATCAAATCCATCGAAACATTAATAATGTACTCCCCCTCTCTTTTTTCGAACTGCATATCTATTTATCCCTGCGACATATAATTATTAAGCTAAAAAGATTTTAAAGTGGAAACCGAAAAAATATAAATCGAAACTAAAAATAAAACAAAGTACTTTTTAAAAGTCTTGATTGGTCAGAAAGAAAAACAAAAACAAAGGCGAAAGCTAATGTAAAAATAAAAAAGGACAAGTAATTTTGCTTGTGATGTTTAACCAAGTGTTTGGCGCTGTCTATTGCATACTAATAAGTTTTGTTGTTGTTGTACAAAAAGAATGACGGAGTAAATAATCTATTTTTACAGAAGTGAGGAAAAATGGAAAAACGAAAATTGTGTTAAAATTTCCAACAACAAGCAAATATGAAATCTGAAAGAATCTTAAAGTTGAAGAAATCCGACTAGACGCAGCTTATGCGTCTGGTTTTTGGAAGCGATCTTTTTACACTCCTTTGACTGGGAAATATATGGAGACTTAATATAGTAATTTATTGATTTTTATTTCAGTTTATATTAATATAATATTTTTGTAGTATTTCGATCTACGCTGTAAAGGCCTTTTCTAAATGCAGTGTTACGTTAAAAATTCCTTATGCAAAGATAAATAGGTGAATTTCACAATTTTTATATTAAAATTTTCATTAAGATCAAATACTTATGTATTGCGTGCAGTTTCTTCCTATTTAGTTTAAAATTTTATCGTTAATACCTCAGTGATAAAAAAATATATTTAAAAAAATATTATACAAATTATCAGAATTGTAGACCCTCCTGTTCAGACATGCTTGATAAAACCAATGCAACATCAAAAAGCCCAACTTATTTCTTCTAAAAGAAAATTAAGTAATCTTAAATTATTGTAAGACTTATATTTAAAAATAAAACATATATAAAAATGCAAACGAAAACTTATTATTTGCTGTAATTTTCATTTTCGTTAGTTACAACGTGGTTGCTTACATGCAATGTCCAGCTATATTATTGGAAATCGGAATTTTAACAACTTGTACGTTTTTAGTATTATTTATTCGAAAAATGTTTCATTGTGCAGTACATGTTTATATAAATGACGTTAAAAAATTATACAAATGTTTCTTACATTCTAGAATACAAAAATTAATAGAGCTTTGTAAATTGTGCTCAGATTTTAAAATAATCCTTTTGGACGGAATGGTTTTCAAAAGTCTATATCTTATGATTACATTAATTAGTCAAGGCACTTATAAAAGGATTTTGTGGCATATAATGTGTTTTCGCAATTACAAAGTTTGTACTATTTCTCAATGTGGTGTCGTCGCAATATTCACGTTTACAGTTTTAGATGTTTAGATATTCGTATTTTATGGAGCGTAGATTCGAAATAAAAATTTTTAATTTTAATTAATGCATTTGTAGATTTAGTTCAGGCGTAACTAATCTCGTGCTCATAACTTTTTTCATCCCATTCATGATTATCTGGGAGGGCGTGATGGCGTAAACCACAAAGGCGCGGCCCAAATCGCAATATTAGAATAATGACACCCACAATAAAGAGAGCAAGGGCAGCTACAGCTGGGAAAAACAAAATAAATGCCATCTTCCTACTGTTGGTTGGTTTAGATATCGCTTTCACGCTTCTGCAGTTCAACGTATTCTTCACGTTGTCGTTGTTGATGTAATGTACGGCCTTGTGGACGTTGTGGTCTTTGTTGTTGCAATTGATGAGAAAGTGGTTCAGTTTGTATTTGCTGTTGTACGGGTACTTCTGGCGCTTCGATGTCTTCGCGAAAGATATGCGTTCTTGGCTATAAAAAAATAAAGAAAATATACATAATATTATACTTTCCAACAGGACATAATAGTTTGACCAACTTATTTCGAATATTGAAAAAAAAAATGTATTAAAGATGAAAAACATATCCCTCACATGTAAATATTTGAGTCATGCTATTACATTTTTACTAGAATCTTGTTTTCATCTTAACTCGACTCAAACAATCATTATTTGTAAGAACAAATTTGTGTAATAGAAATAGATGTAATTAATTCAATCACAAATTTTGAAGAGAAAGAACACATTAAAATTGTATTTGTGAATATTGTTAAGCTTATAGTTCTTAAATGTATACACATAAATCTGATGATCCGATAGACATTTTTAACCTAAAAAATTGTTAATTCTGAATTGAAATGGACTCAATAGTTATTTTTTCAGATATATTAACCAGATTATTAGTGAGAGAGTAAATTACATTTGTTTTTAATTTTGTGTTTCAACCACATCTTGTAACCACCCCTGTCAATACATTAAATATTTCTTGTATTTATCGGGTTTAGGATTACTTTAACTGTAAAACCTCCCTTAACTAAGGTAGATCTAGGTATATTTTTCTTCTATTTATATTCATATTATAATATATTTGATATCTGACAGAAAGTTCGGTATAAAATGTTTTTTATTCATCTTTTTTCTAAGTAAGCAATAAGTCAAAACAATTGTAGTGGTCGATTCAGTTAAAAGACTTACGTAGAATCGTTCAAAATATGAGGCGTCTTTTAGTTCAGTGAAATCCAAGGGTGGCTGCAAATGGGGCGTAGCGGACCAAATGGAAACCAACCATCGATTACCTGTTAATCCGATTACATTAATATTTTCATATTACTTTAATAACTCAATTTTAACCTGTGTGCCTATCCTGCCAATATTTACGATGTTTCGAGCAACACCCTAATATTATATTTAAAATAATAATGGTACCAAGTACGACAGTACAGACAGCGATCGTCACATAAAAAGGTGAGAAATTTCCATAGATATGTCCAGTAAAATATGGATTCTTTTCATAAGCCGTACGTTCCTCAATTGTTGACATAGCTAATTTAACTTTAGCTTTACACGTCTGCTCTAGATAGAATGAAAGCTAACACTACTAAGTTCAAAATTATCTAAAAATGTTGTCCAAGGTTTCATGTACATAAATCGCCTATTGGATTTAAATTTACTTCTATCAAATATCGTCAATATTAAGTCAACGATTGTTAGTTAATTTACTGTCACGTATGTACTTATACACACATAAGTAGTCTCGGAATAATGGTGGAAAGTATTGAGCGAAATTTTTCCGAAACGTTTTCTTCAAAAACTAGGTTAAAACCATTTTCGAAACGATCTATACGTAATATATTATATTATATTAAAAAACACTTTTTATGTTAAAACGTTAACTCACAATATCCAATTAAAAATGAAAACAACGCCCTATTCGTACTCTCAGTGAAAATAAAAATATATCGGTATAAAATCGGTAATGAATAATTTGTTAGGGATGGTAGGATTTCGATGTGGATAACACAAGTTCAAAGGCTTTATTATATGGCGTTCACATAGGGATTCTTTTGTCGCTTGTTATCGACAAATTATCTTTTGGTGTCGCTCTGTGTGTTCACACAAGCGAAAGGAGTTCTGTCATTCCTTTTCATAAAATTTTCGCAAATAATTGTGCGGTTTGGCTACGCAATGCCCTCTAAGTGTATTGTATAATTCATTTGTATGTTGGTATGGTGGTCTTATGTTTTGCTTACAAGGAATTAGCAGGAAAGTGACAGAACAATATTTACAATACCCGCTTTTCAAAGAAAATTTTATGACGGGAATTCCCTATTCCATCAGAATGTATTAATATTTTCAAGGCCAAATTTAAGACGGGAATTTCCTGATCTATCGGGAAGTATCAAATACTCGTTATTTTTTTACTTCAGTTTTTCTATTTATTACAAAACATTCATTAATTAATTATTTTTCTTGACTAAAAGAAATAAATATAATATCATCTTAATATTTTTTATGTAAATATGAAGAAGTAAAAGTAACTCCATTTCATTCATTCATTCATTTATATATAAATGTAAATATTATTACATTTAGTACCGCTAAGTGTTATTAAAAATTTTAATTAAATCTATTTTAGTATCTTAATTTTATCGTACTCTACAGTTTTTTAAAATATTTCTATCATTTTATGCATATTTGTATATCACATACAAAAAATAGCAAACGAAATTAAAATTTCCGAACATATTGTTTATATTCATTTGAAACCGAGCGCTATTTTAACCATGAAAAGCATATCATAATGAAGAAAACGAACAAGAAAACAAAGCCTTTCATCTTTTCTCGCCGTCCCCTCGCCTACAATAAACCGGCTTGAGCTACAAGGAAATGAAAAAGTTATTACACTTAGGCTGTGTGTTCATCTCGCCGCTATTGTAGAAGTTCTCACTGGTATGGAGGATGGTGAGTTGGAAACATCCAGGCTCTTTTTCCTCCACTATCCAGCTTTTGCAAGGCTGAAACTGAAACAACTCGGTAATCATACATTGGGCGGACCAGAAGACTTAGCCAAAACGGATATAAGCCGTCTCAACAAATTTGTTATAGGCTCATAGCGCTTTGTCGACATGGAAGGGTCTTTTGATCCAGCTTTATAGGAGTTTTAAGTTATCACAAGGGACCGGCGTGTAAGCTGTCCAAGTGTGGTCCTTCTTAGGATCGACCTCCTAATCTAACCTAACCAAAGCTGTGTGCCAAAAGGCAGAAAAATGAACATTTCACGGATGAAAATGAAATTTTCACATTTAACGTGGTGACAGCTTAGGAGCTAGGTAAAATTTTGACAACTTCAAAATGTGCATACATATACCATTAAAATAAAAGTGCTAATTAATTTATAAAACTAGTTGTAGTGCTATCAAACATTGTTGTCGTTTTAAAAATGTTTGATATAAAAAAATTAAATAAATACATAATAGTTGCATGTCATAAAGTATACAAACATTACAACCTTTAACGAGCTTAAAATCAATCATATGAGTGAGTGGTTTTGAAAAACGAGTTCTATGGTTTTGGAGAAACTAAATAATAATATATAAATAAGCACCTAAATCAGTTCCAGATAAGATTTTTTTCATAACCACGGATTTCTCTTTTGAATCGAAATGAATTTCAAGATAATATTTTAAAATATGGAAATCAGGATTTTAAATATAGCATATTTCATATATGAATACCTTTTTATTGCCTCGACCGTCCTACACTACTCCTGATGCCTATGTACATACGTTTATATATAGATCCTCAAAATTTTCATTCATTATTGTACAAAAATACATGCGTATATATACATATTCGGCGCATGCCCCCTACATTGTTTATATTTATAATTGATAATTTTCCAAGTTACTGAAAATGTAACAAAAATGCGGCCTATGACCCACATATGGAAGCATTTACACAAACACACATAATGTACCATATATATCTGTATTATAATGGGAAACAATCACTTGTTGCGTTTGGCCGGCAAATGCCATATGATAAGAAATTGTAAACAATAATTAACCGCAGGCGCAGATTTTAGTTGGAGCATGCGCATTGCTTCATTAGAAAGGTTACACTGGATGAACTCCTGTCGAGCTCTATTTTTCCTTTTGTAACACATGGCTTTAAATCGATGAACTCAACACTCTCGCATATAATCGTAAATTTTGTGGAAAACGGTGTAGACACAATTTTTCTTAGAAAAATTTGTTATAAAGTTATTTAATTACATCGCAGTTAGAAATAGGGCATTAAGATAATAATTATTATTTTTGTAATTAATTTAACAGTTATCTAAATATTAAAAATGATTCATAGAAACTTCCCTGCGGTAATAACCAACTATTATTGTAATATTAAATAACGGAGTGACGGATTCCTATGAAGAAAATTGTTTACTAGGTGATTTTATTAGACAAAGCTTAAAGCACAAAAAAATATTTTAAAACGGAAGATGGTGTGCAAACCGGGAATGAATTATATATTAATATGTTTTTTTGTGTTATACCCTAACGGTGCTAATTTTGCTCCCGGAGAAAAAATCAATTACAACCTGTGAGTGCATGTTATCCGTTCAATTTAGTTTTGAACTCGTATTTAATAATATTAATTTAATTAATTTCCACACAGTGCAAATTCCTGGGCTGACAAATTAGGCATGGAATTGTTCCATTTGGGTGACTTTATTACGAGAAGAAAAGAAGTTCAAGAGGTAAACAGATGTTACAACTAAGAAAATTACCATTAAAGTATTGATTTTACAAAAAAAAAGTCTGCTGAAAGAAAGTGGGTTAATTGCCCATTGATGATGCTGTTTTTAAATTATAAAAATTGTGTGCTCTGTGGGTTGTTTTTCATAGTAAGCTTTTAGAACAAAAGGCATGAACATATTTCTTCCATTTTCAATTTTTTTTTTAAAATGTGAATGTATGCTTCTACATTTGTAAGTTAATATTTTTAGAAAGTCGTATATTGCATTATCAGGTGGTTTGATATAGTGGTTCGAACCGCATTCGCAATTTTGAATTGAAGAGTTAGAAATTAAAAGCAAAAATTGTACTTACCAGTTTCATACATAGTACATATGTATGTATTTTCACGGACAAGAAAATGTGCCAAGTAATTTTATTTGAAAAATATCGTTATTCCAGATACGATTCCGTTAAGCAAATAGCAAGTTTTTGGGTTTTTGACAAAAATGTGTGTTGATTAAAAATTAGTCAAAAGAAATCATTAAACCTATATGAAAAGGATCAAATACTTGTGAAAACTTTCGTAAAATCATAGCAACAATTTATACGAACACAAACATTATATTAATTTGTAGAGCTATTTAAAATTTTTAGACTTACATATGTAAATATATAAAATATTATTGACTTTACATATTACATTTTATGAATTCTACATTTTCACAAAAAGAGTTTTAAAGAAGCACAAGTAGTATCACGATCAGGAGCCAAAATCGTGGAAAATATGGCGCACGATATAAAAATGATGATGGATTTAAAAATAAGTGCAGTTCGGGTAAGAAATAAATTTAACATTTATATGTGTATGTACATACATATGTAGTATATTGTATGTATTACACATTAACTCAACATACACATACACACATAGTAGTTTGAGGTTGTCAAATCTAATAGAATGTTATTATTTTAAGCGGATAATGGATACAGCAGAAAACACTGCGTTGTCGCATCAGAACGAAAAGGAGGATCTGTATTTTTCCTATTATAATGCTAAAGATATGAGAGAACCTGATGATCCAATACCAACACCAGCGCCTCGTGAACTGGATGATATGGGAGAACCACACATTTTTGTACCGCCCAAAGAGATTGTTCTAACACCGAAAGCTGAATTTTTCAATACGCCAGTTAATCTGAGCGTCAGTTCAGTGCATGTGCCCTTAAACGTTTTCGATCGAGGTTTGATTTCCCTTAATTGATTTTTATTTCCTTTATATATTTTACGACATACATTTTTCTTAATCATTCAAGCTTTTTCGAATACAGCACCTATTGTAGTGTATTTCTAAAAGCATACTTGCCATCAAAAACGAAAACAATTTCGTCAGGATATCTTGCGCAGACATATTTTGTGCTCATGCTGTACCTTAACGCCTCTATATATTTATGTGAAAGTATTAAAAGCTTTCAAATGCACCAAAGTGACTGCGTAACTGATTCTGACCAAAGTTGAAAGCGAGTGTGTAATCTATGTTACACATAAATGCATTAAGAAGCGACTTAACTTTTGACCGTTTACTGTAACAGTTAACCCTATTGACACAAAGATATATCACACATTTGCACATATTATTCATGTGCTTTTGTATATTCTTACATAAGTTAAATAAGTTAAATTATTTGAATCAGTTAACTATTATGAAAAAGGTATTGTCAATATATCACTGATGTGTTGAGATTTATAGTTTCAGAAAAGTTAATTCATTATTAGTAATGAATAAATATTAAGATGACTTCAAATACACCCGACTTGTACCTAACTACAAATTCGCTAATTAATCTCAAATATGCATTCCATCTTATCAATAATTGTAGTTATTGTCCAATAGATCACTGCAATGCTGAAAGATAAAAACAATGTAGGAGACATTAAAATCAACTTGAGGACAAGACGCTAACATCATTTACAACTATTTCTCCATCTGTTATTTTCTATTTCTTTATTATGAAACACAAAACTAAAACTTAACAAAACATAAATTTCTCTTCCTATAATAATAATAAATTGCAACACACATTTTTGTATCACATTCATCAATAATTATATATACAATACATACATATGTCACGAAAAATGCAAATCTGGAAATGTAATTAGCCAAGGAAGTCATCAAATCCATTCAATGGTCGGAGAATTTAGATCAAATATTTCGTGATAATTACAAAAATGATCCAACATTGTCGTGGCAATTTTATGGCAGTTCGACTGGTTTCATGCGCCAATTCCCGGCAGCCAAGTGGAAAGCTAAACCAGTCGATTTGTATGATTGCCGACTGCGTTCATGGTATATGGAGGCAGCGACAAGCCCTAAGGATATCATCATTCTATTGGACAGCTCGGGCTCTATGAAAGGACAGAGGCTAGATATCGCAAAGAAGGTTGTGAATACAATACTTGATACGTTGGGTACCAATGACTTTGTGAACATCTTCACCTTTGGGAAATCAGTAGAGCCAGCCGTCAAATGTTTTGAGGAGACACTAGTTCAAGTATTGATTTTTATTCTTATTAATTTATTTATTTGTATTTTTATAAACCGTGCATATATTTTCATAACTTATCAAATGTCAGATATACCAGTTATATAGGTGTTGTTATAAGATATTTGTTGTCAAAAGATATCAGAACATAAACTGCTAGAATTACCTATTTCCTGTTTCAATAGATTGAATTTGTACAAGCCAAAAACAAAATCGATACATACAATATGCCGATTTCCGTCTATTGGGTTGACTTTAACAATAAATATAATATCTGAAAGAATAAAAATACCAATAATTGTAAAAAGTAAAAGTAGTTTCATATCCGCAACGGGATAATTAAGTATTATGTACTTTTTATTTTACAATTTTATTTATTACTTATATTATTTGTCTGTCTGTAGTTGGTATATCCGAAGGAAATTCGATTGCGGTTGTCCAGTCCAGTTCAGTGATAACTATAAAATGTATCAAAGCTTGTAGATACTTTCATTTGTTTTCAATTCCAATTTGCAAACGAATTCATCTAGTTGGTATTATCAATATGATACATCCATACTTATGTAGGTATATATACCTCGACAAAGCTGAGAATACGACTTTTTCTTGTTTGCATTAAATTTTCCGCTATTTATTTCATACGAAAAATAGTTTTTTTTTATTTACATAACTCACCCTCACATTTACACGCCACCCACACTAACTTTTCATTCCCTCACTGATCATCAGGCGAATCTTGGCAATATTCGGGAGCTCATGGAAGGTGTTGACTCTATAAAAATTGCCAACATTGCCAATTTCACCGCTGCATTGACGAAAGCTTTTGAAGTTTTGGAACAATTTCGTACGGAACAACGCGGCGCGCAATGCAATCAAGCCATTATGATTGTCAGTGATGGCGCTCCTTTTGCCTATGAAGACGTTTTCGATCAATATAACTGGCGCGACCTACCATTTAAGCCGGTACGCGTATTCACTTATCTAATTGGCAAAGAAGTTGCAGATGTCAAGGACATTAAGTGGATGGCTTGTGCAAATCAAGGTTATTATGTACACCTCAGTGATATGGCCGAAGTGCGCGAGATGGTACTAAATTACATACCAGTGATGGCCCGGCCTCTGGTTCTAGGTAAACATGATCATCCTGTTGTGTGGACCCAAGTATATGCCGATGTTATTGTAAGTCTGGGTTGAAATTCATCAAAATAATAATTACTACATAAATGTTACGATGATTTAAGGATCCGAAAATATCAGATTGGATGTGGGAGGTGAAGCAATGCGACGATCAACGCGAAGATGTTTTAGAGTTTCGTCGGGAAGGTTACCGGATGTTGGAGCCAAACGAAGTGCACAAACGCATCTATCTTCGCAACAAAGCGGTATTTCAAGAAATACATAACTATTTTTCTTTGAACACTTGTTCTTCTGCTTCTTCTTCTGTTCATTAATAATTTACAACTATTTTTATTCAAATTTACCATCGAAGGCCTGGAATCAGCCACTCGAATCGGATGTATATCAATTCATGACCACCGTATCCATGCCAGTTTATGATCGGCGCATGAATGCTGTAAGTAACTTCATAATACTCAGTAATTTAGATTGGTTCAACTACCGAGATTCGATTCTTATTAATAAATACATTTATTCCAAAAGTGGTAGAATAAAAATTCAATTTTGAAATATCCAAAAGTCAAATATTTAATCAAAATATGACATTTATATTGCATATGCATATGCTCATATGTACGAACATAATAATACTATTTACCTACTGTATATACTAATCAACAAACCAATCGAATATTACACAAACAGAATATCACCGAAGAAGTTTTAATAAATGAGGCGCTATGGGAATTGCAAACTCGTGAGGTACCTAGAGTGATAAAAAACCACCAAACTGTGATTAATTTCGCGTAGTAAAAATCCGTTGCTAAGTTCTAAGTTAGCGTAAACCAATTATTGTTGCGTTTTATGTTTAATAAACATTATATGAATTTAATATTAATTATAACATATACGTATATACAGAAATACTTAGCTAGTGTTAAAGGTTTGGTAAATATTTACCAAATTTTGTGTAGAATGAACCAATTAGATACATACATACGCATATACTATACTGTCTTGACAACTATACATTAAAATTTTCTAACAATGCCATAGCCAATATAAGCAACATACAAATCTATACAAAGTAAGCATTGTAAGAGTAATAGGAACTTGGTACACAGCAGTTGTTATCTTTTCCAATATTAATACGGTAGAATATTTTAATTATTACACGTTTTTTGCCTTGAATTCATTCTCTTTTATTTAAACAATAGTGTTGGACAAACATAAATCAAAATAACAAATATAAACGCAGAAGTATCACTAGATAAACTGTATTTACCATTCAATAGATTTAATCTCATTCTGGACTCGTTCTAATTTAAGAAATGACCGTCTAATTTTTTATGGTGTACGGCGAATAAGGAAAAATACAAATGCAATACTTCGGCATGCTTTTTTTTTAATAATTATACCAATAGTTGACAAGGGGTTTGGGCCCCCGATTGGTACTTGCCTAAGCTCATAGTGCAATATATTAATGCATACATTTGATATATGGTAATTATTTACAAAGCAAGTGATCAGCGAGAAGGTTTGGCGGTTTGTTACTTAAGTCTAACCATTAAATGTGTTAAACTCATATTTGATGAGTTGTGTACTTCCTCTCAAATATATTTATACATACGCGAAAGTGATATTACTTATGGAGGTTTAATACGAAAAGGATTTATTTAGATGTTGCAATAACAATTGACTTCATTTAATTACTATTCCGCCCTATTGTGATGGCTTCTATTCATGTTATATTAAGTAGCCTATTGAAATCTAGGTTAAGTAATAAGTAATATTAGTTTAGATATGCTTGAGTTTTTTGATAGTTCTAGATTTTGCGGCGGTAATTTTACTGATTGCTTCAAATATTACAACACAAATTAATTAAACATTTTTATATGTATATTAAAGTCACATTAGTACGTAGAGAAAGATGAAATATCTCATTGATCGTAATTTATTAATTGGTAGTAATTGATTTATTGTGCGAAGTGTAAATGATTGTGTAAAGAGTCAATGTGCGTTATCCGCTAAATTGGTTTTAATAGTTGAAAAAAATTAAACATAATAAGTACGGCAATTTCTATAGAGTTATATAATTGAGATTACACAAATCTTATGTGCAAACATACCTATTTATCTAATGTAGATTGAATTCCCTGTTGTTATTTATACTAATAGTTGGAGTAGGATGAATATTCGTTATTTATATTCCATTTGACTAACTTTATTGCAAATGTATCCTTAGACGAAAATCGCCAATCTACTGGGTGTCGCAGGCACGGATGTACCTATAAGAGACATAAAGAGAATGCTCTCCCCGTTTTTGGTAAGTTTGTAAAGATACAAAGTTTTTCTTATTTTTTCAAATGTGATATTATGAACTGATGTACAAAGATTAGCATTGCCAATGTCATAACATACGAGTATGTATATCAAGTGAGGGTGATGTTATTATTAACGGTCGCCAGTTTTAAGTTACCATATGTACTTTAAATCCATATCCTATGTATGTTTTTATCTAACGGGATCATAAAGTCTCTCAGCCTAAACTTGCCAAGAGTGAACTGTTAATTTCAAAAATTTCACTTGTTGTAACATTATGTTCTTAATATAATGATTTACAAGTGAACATAATTGAATGTATTCAAATATAAAAATTTTAATTCAAATTGCATGATTAATAAGTGCTTATTCAATTACAGCTCGGTGTCAATGGCTATGCATTTATTGTGACAAATAATGGCTACATCCTATTCCATCCAGATTTTCGTCCAATTGTAAGTTTTAAATGATTAACAAGTACTATAAACAGGAAATAAGTAAGTCCTCATGATTCCGTATTTTTCCTTTATAGTTCCAAGGCAATATTTTAAAACCAGCATATAACAGCGTAGATATGATTGAAGTTGAACTATTGGACGATGATCGAGCACCGAGAGATTTCAATCCTGTACTACTAACGGTATTTAAACAACAATATAAGCGCTCATTCAGACAAGGAAACTTTTGTTGCTTCAACTTTGTAGACTAGGGGGCGTGAGGAAAGACGAAAGGCAACGAAATGCTCGTGCTCGAGCAACACGCTTTGTGTTCTTGTTCGCTATACTTGTAGTTCGCAGCTTCGTAATCGATACTGCTTCTCAAATCGACTCTGCAATTCAAATGAACATTTAAAATTTGTTGGGAAATTTAAATTATATTTATATATATATATACATATGTATTTATTCAAAATATGGTAATATTCAAAAATGTATACAAATATGCACAAATAACAGAAGTATTTTAGAAAATGACAAATAAGGAAAGTTAGCTAATTAAAACTATTTTTGTGTACGACGTTATATAAGATTTTGAGAAAATGATATGAAGAGGAATGCCGAAAATTGTCCGTGTGAACGGAATGGGCTCTATCAAAGATGATCTTCTGCTGATAATGAACAACAAAAGATTTCACGTCTGAATACAGATTTATAGACTTTTGAATTGACTTTATAAAAATACTTATTAACTTTGTTAAATAACACAGATTCGCGATTCGATTATTAATCAATCAACAGGTAGTAAGTGGATGTTGGTAAAAAATCACTTTGACGAAATGGTGAGCAAGTCTTTATGAAAAATTTACTCATCTGCCTACATATATGTTTAATTTCACCTTAGAAACGGGTTGCACGCATTAAACGCCAATATTATTGGAGAGCGATACCTAATACACCGTTTACTCTTGTAATTACATATCCTGAACAATACGGTGTACATCGCCTTTCCATAAAAGCAGAAAATGAAATACACCGCATGAATATTAAAGGTGAAAACTTGTTAAACTACTTTGGTGGCAAACGCTGGAAAATTCATCCAACATGGTAAGTCATATAAAAAAACCATTACGTTAGTAAAAGCATTTAAGATGTTATCAAGGTACCCACAAAGTACATACTAATTTATACATATATTGTAGATACTTAGAAATAAATCGTGAAGATTAGTTTCAATTGCAAATAGTCGCAATCGAATTTCAGCCTCCTTCACTAATTATTATTTAAAAATTCATAATATAATACTATTACTATCTCACATAACTAAATTATTAAATGTCCAATAATATTTGCAGTTGTCAGAACTAATATTAAAAACATTAGTTTCAAACTATATGACAGGCATACGCTATAATGCATTGCTGTTTCTCTAAGAGCTTTTATCATTTTTGGCAGATATTATATACATACATATGCGAGTATAAGTTAAACTTAAAATTATAAAACGAAATGTATATGGGTTTTAGCACTTTTTATGACAAATATTAAATAATAATTCGGTTGCAAAGAAACGTATACATGTTATTTATTATCAAATTTTATACAATTTTTTTCTTTAATTTATTTTTAGGTTGTATTGCAAGCACAACAACAAAACTTTTACAACACCAGAAGAGGAGCTCATTTGGTTTTTGAATAAAATGTCACAGCCTGGTTGGAGGTGGCCACTAAGTAGAAGTGCGGTGCCGCCGGAACATGCAGCCCTTTTATTTTGTAAGTAAATATTTAAAAAGAAATTTAATACATAGACCAGTTTAACTGTAGTAAAAATTTATTTAATTTTTATTATTAGAACATAAATTTCCAGAGGTAAAAGTAGGTTGTTTATACACATAGGAGAAATAGAGCCGTTATCATGCCCATTAATCGCTATTATTTACTAATATGTACAAGTAAAATGTTCAACTTTTTAAGTAGTTAAAAATTACCACAATGAAGCGGAATGTGCAGTTTTAAAGGCTCTGGAATGTCCTATTAAATTAACGATATTACAATTATGCGGTTTAATTTATGCACAAATATGATATTAAAAAAATAACGTAACGCGGTAAAAACTGAGTTATAGTCATCACTTATATAACGATTTGTCTCAAAATATTTAAAGTACGTTAATTTTCTTAAGGAATCACGTTTACTCTTGGGTGAAATTTTTTACACAGCATTATCTTTACGATCTCTCAGCTAGCGGTGAAATATTGGCCTTCTCCCCATGTGTACTTTTGATAGAATGCTATCAGATTCTACTGATATGTAACAAGTATCTTTTAAAATCTCGAAATTCGTTGAAATTTAGCAGTTTTAGAATATGAGGGCTTTCTAGACTACTTTTTACCGCACAAAATAAAATATTCCGTTGAGGATCGTTTCAATTCACAAATGTGTATATCTTTTCATGAAATAATGGGTTTTAACTAACATTAGGTAAAATCATACATATGTACATACAAGTAGGTGTGTTCTTCATGTTAAGTTTTTCGTATACAACTTTTTATCGCAATGATCATAATTTACATATGTAAATGCAAATCCACAGCTAACACATCTTCCGGGCGCATACCATCCATAAATGATAAAGAAAGTTACTATTGTGAGTAAAATTTCGTTTCGATTCTGTTTGTAATTGCTCGTAAAAAAAATTAAATATGTAAAGTAACGTTTTTTAGTTATATCGCAAATTTCACTAAAAAGCACCCACCAATTATTCGCATATTCATTCTTGTTAGTAAATTTTCAATACGTCCTCGAGCATTCACACCAGAGCACATACTCGTAGCAAATATTTGATTTAATAGTTTTAATTCCAGCATTCCACGTACATATTAACATATTTATGATAACTATGCACAGACATAAATGTATGTATTATTTATTAATACTTTGTTTTGAACTTCCGATTTTAAACAAACAGCGGTAAGTAATCGGAACAACTGTTCCAAGACAATCGGTTAATTGTGATCAATTCAGATTTTTGATACCCTGAGAATTTATCCGATGTGATATCGTAGGCGTCCTGCAAAGAGCCTATATATTATGTTAAAGTAGGCTTAAAACAAAAAATGCATGTTTTTGTTAATTATTAAGAGAAAACATAAAATCGAAGAGATCTCTTTTTATTATATTTGTATAGATATTGCATTAATTTACCAAAATTTTATTAGAAAAGGTTGACTAAGGAGTTATGAGGAAGTTTTGATTCTCACATAGTGTTGTATTTGATGATGTTATATGTACGAGTATATTTGAACAATTTTGAAAAGTCCGTACCGTTTTAAAGGGAAACACAAATTATACTATAAGCTATAAAATAGCTTCCATGTTCAAATGCCAAATTTTCAATACCATTTTTGCAGAACAATTTGCCTTTTGCTTCCAAAAAAGAATCAATGGCGGCAATTATCTCTTTATTATTGCTAAATTTGTTTTCGGTGAATTTTCTCTAGAAGTAAGAAAATGAGAACATGAGGACAGAACCGGAAAATATCATAGATGTCAAAGGAATTCCAAGCCAAACTCATGCAAATTGGTCCTGTTATTATTCCGTAATCGCCTCTTTCTGCCCATTCGTTCATCGTATTCGGAAAATCGCAAACCACTTGCGAATGGTTCTTCGTGTGGGACAGGGCCTGAATAAAACTCATCGAAATAGTTTTTATTATCAGCTTTATTTTGTATAACAAAAAAAATTTTCCCTAATACACGAAATACTCCATAATTAAATAATAATGGCTAACTACAAAACATATGGAAAAATAATTATACATATATATATGCCGCAGCAAACTACAACGTTATTCAACCTTTAGGAATTGTAAAAATTTAAGTATTACTTTGTTGTCATTCTATTGAATATCTTTAGTTACTGTTGCGTTAAGTTACTGAAATCAAAAATTCCGTAAGCCAAATATTGTTAGCTGAGGAGTTGCCAATATACAAGTATTTTGCATGCTACACTAGTAGTTATATTCATTGCCGAAGTCGCATTCATAAATTTCATATTTATTTTGAATAAAGAACTTTACCACACCTAAATCTCTTTATTTTTCACCTGCACCAATGACAATTTATATTTGCAAAAAAAAGTCCCAAATATGATCGCATACTATATATTTGCATATGTATTCAATCTTGAAGAAGTACTCACTATACTGGAAGTTACAAAGTCAAATTATACGATATAAAAACTTCTGCCCTTTTTCAACTGTTAAAAATGTAAAAGTATGAGTAGTTTTGCTAGTAAACTAAATCTGTCACATCCAGATATGTGCGTACTTAATTCAATTAAAAAGCTTTTTCAAATGAGAAATCAACTTAAAAGCTATATTCAATTTATGTATTCATTCCAGGTGATCGTCAACTCATGCAATCACTTGTTTTTGATGCACGGGTTACCGAATGGTTTTCGAAAAATACAAGCTTCAATTCCAAAGATGACAAAGGGTAAGAGGCGATTCAAATGCTCTGAAATTGAAATGAAAGAATCAAAATGATAAGGTCTTAAAATAACGAACACCTAAGCTATTGTAAATATACGGTTTTATTCATGTAACGTTAATAATGTCAGAATCATTAAAAATTAACTAAACAATGTGAAGAGAATTAAAACAGTAATTTGATATTTAATTCTGAAGAGACGCAGATAATGCTGAACCAACAAATTAGTTTTAATAAGCAATTAATAGCCGCTGTGTTTACCTTAAATTCATCTTATTTCTCATAAAAAATACAATAGTAAAACGTAAAACTCTATGAGCTTATAGAGCATATATAATATGTACATACATAGTATTTACCATATTATATGATTATATATGCAGCATATTTTTAATATTTTTATTGGTTTAATCCACTTTGAGTTATTATTTGTCACAACGATTTTGCATACACAAATAAGATGACATTCGTATTTACCTCTGTAATTAAAAGTATACAAACATTTACCTACTTCGAGTATGTTACATGCACCGTTATACTTGTAAACATAAATACATAGTCCGTTTAAATTACTGTGTTTCTTTTTCTCTGCAAAAAATGTCTTCCCTCCGTTTTCTATGTGGTTTTTATTTTTTATTTATACATGAGCTCACATTTCTTCCACCTCATTACACAAATACGTTTTTTTTTACCAAAATATATACATATCTAACTATTAAAATATGTCTGGATTAGCGCAAGCGCTTCAAGCCCAATAGCCGTTTTAATGGGTTTGTTGCCAAGGTAACATATTACATACATAATTATGTATATACTTGTTTATTTTGTGTAATAATAATGTTCATGAGCATAAATATATTGTATAGTACCTTTGAATTGGGAAACTATCTAATGGGTTTCTATTCGACAGAAATGAATTTAAACAACGATTCGGAATAACAGTGGCATTTCTAGCAACACACAGCGGCTTAACACGATGGCAAGAGTTTCATTCCAATATGGCCGAGGAAGCTGGTGCTGGGTAAGTAATATGATTATGTTATACATGCGACGATGCTACAATAATTGTTTTTCAATATAGTCCCCATTAAGCTTCGTTTTCAAAGTAGGCTTTCGTGTCAACTTAAAGTTTTTAGCGGCGAATAACTTTTGACAGATTGTTCCGTCTCTACGGTTGCCTTAATATCAAAAACCGTACACAATATCATATTCATAACTTCCCCTTACATAAATAAATCGTAAATTTTAATCGTACTGATTTTACTTTTTACCTTATACATATATAGGTCAAAAATGCAGTAAACTGCCGATTGGTACCAAGCATTGTGTCATAAGTACGCCGGTACTAACATTCCCATATAAAAAGTTATATTTACTCCCATCAGCTTTTTATACTCTCGCAACATGTTGCTACAGAGTATAATAGTTTTGTTCACCTAACGGTTGCTTATATCACCTAAAACTAATTGAATTAGATATAAGGTTATATATATATAAATGATCAGAATGAAGAGACGAGTTGAAATCCAGGTGACTGTCTGTTCGTCCGCTTGTCCGTCCGTGCAAGCTGTAACTTGATTAAAAATTTAGATATCTTTCCCACCCACTCCCCATATAACGATACTGTTAAAAACTACTAATTGCGCGATAAATTAAGCATATTTCTATGGTATAGTGCGAAAATGGGCGAAATCGTATTACAACCACGCCTATTTTCCATATAACACCATTTTAAATTCCATCTGATTTTTTCATTTTCCACTATGCAAATCAAGCAAAATATATAAAGAAATCTCAAACGGCTACATCCGAACTTAGCTCTTCCTTACTTGTTTAAATTTATATTAGATAAAGCGAGCATCATGAAATATAACATATGATATCAGTGAATTAATCACATTAAAATTTATTGCTATTTTTATTAAATGTAGCGAAACATTTAGCGAACAAAATAAACATGCTATAGACGAGATGTGGTACAAACGCGCAGTAGATCAGCATTTTGTGCACAAGGATAGTTTTGTGTACTCGGTGCCATTCGATGCAGGAGGTAATCTGCAAATAATTTTATCTATATTTTCACTTTTCAATTTCCTATTTGTTTTTTATTCGGAAACTATTTTTGATTAGATATTGGAGAGGAAATTACAGTGACTGCAAGCAACGCAGTCTTCCACACTGAAGGTGCCAAATTCGCACCTGCCGCCGTAGTAGGATTTCAGTTTCATCATTCGGCACTGGAGAAGCTTTTCCGAAATATTACCGGCAATGTAAGTAAATTAAATAAAAATCCCAACAGTTCGGTTCAATTTGCTTCCTCTATAAACAATCCAATGAATCCACTATAAATTCAGAAAGTTATACCACCACGTTTGAATCCAAAATAATCCTATGTATTGCAACAAAGAGGACTTGCAAACAAATGGATGCACATTTATATTCGTTCTAATTATAATACATTTTTTGTAGGGATGTGCTGTTGAGGATCGGGAATGCTACGTTATTGATAACAATGGTTTTATTATTATCTCTCCATATCGCCAAGAGACGGGCAAGTTCTTTGGGGAAATTAACGGTGGTATTATGGTGCGTTTAGTGGAAGAGAAAGTCTTTAAGCGTGTCACTGTGTACGATTATCAAGCTGTTTGTTTTGAATCCAGTGGTGATATTAACGGATCAAATAACTTACTATCCGTAAGTGATATAGTTAATAGTGAATACAACTGAAGCCTAATCAAATTTGCATATCTCATGTATATGATCATATTTAATTCCTATAGCCCCTCTTCCACCTCCTTCGTGCGCTCAAATGGCTGTTCCATACGGTGTTGTGGTATATTGTGCAACTTACCAATATGGCCATTGCCGAATTTATCGACCCATACATAGATGAAGACATGAATGACTACCCAAGCAATGCGAAGAGTACCGACTGGCTCCGTTTGGTGACATTGCATCGCACACGGCTCAAATCGTGCGACATGCAACGTCACTTATATCTTATGTACAATGAAAAGGATAATGTAGTTTACAATATGACAGCTCATGCGTGTGAACGGCCATTTGTTGTGCTGCCGATTCCTAATAGTAATATGATATTGTTGGTAATCGATCAGCGATGCCCACGGGATACGTCCATACAGTTGACGGTTAATCCAGGCCCCATTCCATACCCGCTTGATAAGAATCAAACATTCGCCTGCTATAAAAACGATCGTGAATTTTCAAGGGTCCGTCCGGTCAGTTGCATAAATAGACATATAAATGTAAGTACTAAATTATATATAATAAATCAACAACAAAAAAAGTTACTTTTGTTTATTTGCTATTTAATTAGGAAAGTACAATTGAATTGTGCGGTAATGCAGGAAGCATCCAAGTTAACGTGATCCTAATGACACTTGGTATATTATTGAGCCGATAACTGAAACATTAATGTTTTCCAATTAAAGTCACCGTATGCACACTTTGAATTTACTCTTCAAGGATTAAATTAAACTTAATATTGTATTAGGCTCTCCACATGGTAAAATATACTATACAAGGAAACGCTGGTACCTAACTATAATATTAATGCAATTACATAGGTACATACATTATTTATTACTATCAAGGCAGATATTTTAAATTCCTCAAAGGTGGTTAAATGAAAATCGAGCACTCAGTTCAATCACGTGCATATGTATAAAATTTACCCAAAATAGATTATTTACCAATTGGACAACAATTGTGAATACACGCAAATGTGTTTGTAGGTTTGTAAAAATATGTATTATAATATTGTATAGTATAAAATTAGATTAAATTAGAACTTGGTAAATGTGGATTGTCGAGCTGTTTCATTATGATTGGTTTAGACATGTTACTTACTCTATTTTGAAAACAATTAAAACTCATAAAAGAGTCCATATGTATATACGATTGGGAGAACAATTTCGACAATGAATAAAGTAGTCATAAGTAGCTTTATTAGACCCTCTTATCCCAATATATAGAAAAATTATTAAATTACATTTTAAGATAATTAACCACCTTTACAAAATTAAATAGATCCTTCAACTATTTCAATCATCAAATTTTTACAGAAATTTCCAATAAAAAAGCGAATTACAAGTTTAAACTAATAGATATTCTATCAGATGTGCTTTATAACAGCTAACACTTAAAATTTCAAAATTACGTGAGTATTGCTATATAAAAGTGGTAGGTTTCACAACTTCTTAAATCTCGGATTCTTGGACACATGCCTATCCATATATAACATGTAACTGTTCAAAGATCTAATGGTAATTCAAATGAATGAAACAGAAGAAAAGATAAAGATAATCATTAGATAACACCTAAGTCAACAATTATTCTAGCAATATGCTAAAGCCTCTACTATAAAAACTTGGTAAATATATTTCGTATAAAAATTAAAAACTCATTACCTTATTTATTATATTAATAAATTGTAAAATAACATTAAAAACATGTAGAATTCAAATAAAGTCCATTGTTTGAAAGTAATAATGTTCTATGGTTTTAATTACCATTATAATTTGAGTTCTTGTTCGACTAATTACACATGTAATAAGGTTTCACGCAAACAAATGCAAACTCTAAGAAGCAATGGATAAAAGCAAAATGCTAATATTTATCTAAACAAGAAAAAATGTAAACTTCGGTTGCACTGAAGCTATAATACCCTTCACAAATACATAAGATTCCTTACAAGGACTTGATTTTGATCGGCTAGTTTGTATGGCAGCTTTATGTCATTGTGATCCGATCTGAACAATTTCTTCGGAGATTGCATTATTGCCTTAAAAAATAATCCGTGCCAAATTTTTTTTAAAGATATCTCGTCAAATGAAAAAGTTTTCCATACAAGCACTTGACTCCGATGGTAAAAATTCTAAGTCAGCTATATGCTATAGTGATCCGATATCGGCGGTTCCGACAATGAGCAACTTCTTGGGGACTCAAAAACTGAGGAACTAGTTCGCGTATATACAGACAGCCGGATATAGGTAAGTCGACTCAGCTCTTCATGCTGATCCTTTAGACATATATTTTTAGGGTTTCCAACGTTTCCTTCTGGATGTTACAAACATCGTGGCAAACTTAATATACCCTATTCAGGGTATAAAAAGATCACCAATAGGAGGAGATGAGAGGAGATAAAAACTGCATCGAAGGAAGAGCTGAACAAGATCCAAAAAATTACTTTTTTAAGTGCTTTGAGGATTGGAAAAAACGCTAGCATAAGTGCATTATATCTAGGTGTGATTGCTTTAAAGGAGACAAATATATATTCATGAATAAATAAACACTTTCTTAAGATATACAAAGTTCGCGATACTTTTTAAACAAAATTCGTATTTTTAAATATATAAATATTAAGAATGCAACATAAACAAAGACCGATTCTGAAGTTAGGTATCACCGAGAATTCGTCTCTACACCCCCCCCATCCAAAAAAAAAAAATTTATAAAAAAAAAAAGATTTAAACAGCTTTCTAACTTTCTTTGTAAATAATGTATTTTTTTAAACACAATACATATATGTACTTATTTTATATCTATGAATGAATATTTATGTCATTATGATTACAATTCATATAAATTTAGTGTATAGATATAAATAAAAGATTTTTAAGTACAAATAGGCTTATTCAGTATAATTAATATAAAGGAGCAATAAATGTTGAAGAAAAAAATCTACGCGCGTAGTATGCGTGTATGAAATATACAAATTAGGACTATGAATAGACATGGCGTTGCATAAGGATATATTCGAAATATGCTTACATAAACTAACTCAATAATGGAATACTTTTACTTTTTAAAAACTTGTTAATTAATTAAATTAAATTCCTTCGTCACTTATTTCTTCAGTTTCGTCGTCCAGCAATAAGCTCGTCGAACCGTAATTACGGAGTCTGTGAATGGGAAAAAATAGTTTTATGTTTTGAAAATTTTACACATTTTAATACATGCATAGATATGTATGTACACAATAATTAGTAATACATGAAAAAAACCTACTTACCCTACATACATGTAACATACACACAAGCACAAAGAAAATTTATTTTTTACAAATCAAAATTGTGATTGGAATTTACATATGTAAGTACAAATTTCAACATAAAATTATAGAAATTATAGTTTGAAACCAATCGGAAACCATAAGTACGATATGTTATTGGTGCTACTTTGGAAGTGCTTACCTCGTCGTCGGATACTTTGAGACCATCTAAATTAATACTGTTCCTTGAATAACTGCCGCCAGCACATTGATTTGTGCTGGTGGCCCTAGCAGTGCCACCTATACCAACCACAACTACTTCACCAACGTTACCACCACCAGCACCACCAGTCTTGGAGGAATGCGAATGATCCTCTAGAAATAATTGGCGATTTACATCATCTTTACATGAGTTAGGATTTGAATTTGTGGCGCTGCCACTCCCATTCACGGTCATACCTAAACCCGAGCTGTTGGTCGTTTTTAACGGCAGTGCCAGATTAGAGCGATTACCGCTAGTCTGTTGCTGTTGTTGCTGGCCACTTCCAATAAATCTACCCGATGACCGTTCACGCTGCTCGCGCTGGTGGTGATGATGTTGGTGCTGTAGATGGGATGGATTATCAAACTTTTGTTTGGCCCGCTCAAATTCCAGATTGCGTGATTTCGACTCGAAAATATTTTCTTCCAAGTGCGATGGTTTCGCATCGAAAAATGTGCTTGTCTGCTGCATCAAAGTACGTTCCGTATGACTTGAGCGCTTTGGTATAGCAGATTCTGTACTACCTCCATTCGGTAAGCTGCTAGCTGCATTATGGCTATGACGGTTGCCAACAGGTTGATCATCAAAAATCTGACGTAGATCATTGATGTTGGGCAAGCATTCACTAGGAATTTCTACGGCGATCTTATTACGCAACTGTACACCGCCTACGGTGCGCATTTGAGGACTTGGTGCTCGTCTTACATTTTTTGTTTATGCATATGGTACATATTCACATATTAGCACATTCAAACATGTATGTATTTGTTAAATAGTACAGTATTAAATGTTCCGCAATTTAAAAAATATATCCATCAGAAGAAGCAGCAGTCCGAAAAGTTAATAATTAGTATGGTAGCTTTATTAATAGTTACCAGTTACAGAAGGAAGAAAACTCCATATTTCGTCTCCAAAGCAAACAGAAAAATATATAAAAATGCGACAAACCTGGTTTGCAAATGTTGAATTTGCACTTGCAGTCCTTCAGTTTGACCAACCAATTCATCATTGGACCTTTGTAAACGACGAACTTGATTTACAGCCGAGTCCAATTCGTCCTCTGCACTGGCCAATTCACGCTTCAATTCTTCCACCCGCTGTCGGAGTCGCTTCACCTAAAAGTAAAAGTCAAGACATTTATTTTTCAATTTATAGAAATTTTTAGGAAAATGGGTCATTCACGTCTCTTAACAATTTCTCAACATCCTTACTTGATACAATTCAGTTCCATGTGTTAATCAGGTTTGAGCATTGCAACTGAGTTTTATTACACATAAATCATATAAAACAAACATAAAAATTAAAATTAAAAATTAAATTTCCACCCACATGTACTTCATAGAATTTTCTGATTTCATGCAGAGTTGGATTATGTACTCCTGCTCTGGGACATTTCAATTTAAATTGGACAATAATATTTTATATGGAATTGCGCTCTCGAGAATAGCCTGTAGCCTGGTTTCATTTATCAAGTTTCATCAAAACATCTCAGTTTTTAATCTACTTATAGTTTTCTAGATTAGAAAAATGGGAAAATACACTTGAAAAACAAATCGTTTGGTTATTCTGGTTTCTTTGATGTATATAACTTTATACTGATTAGATTTAAGTGGTAGAAACAACCGTTAAGTGAAACATGTGGCGGGAAAATAAGAAACATGAAATTCGTAACATATAAACTATAGAATATGCATACAGTAAATTTTATTGTTGATTCAGACGGTAATTATTATAAAAATTATACCGTCATATGACATCCATTCCATTTTTTTACATAGTTATTTCAATCATTGTTCAAATCATCGAATTTCGACTGTACACACATGAACATATATACAAATATTTATACATATGCAGTATAATATCAAGTATAATGGTTCCAAGGAGAGAATCCATCATTAAGAAAGGAACAGAATACACACAACGAATCACAGTGAGAAAATAGTGTGACCGAACAATACCATATGTGCATGCATATACACATATACACACAAATAAAGTTAACTGATAAAAAGCAATGAGCGCATTTAGACAATATCGCCTCTTTCATTCATATCGTTTCTCCGGTTATAATAGAAATGTTGTTCAAATTAATGATTTAAAGTAAAAATAATAAATAAAGTAAATGAAATTAATACCCTACAGATCCCACATGTACTACTTAATAGGAGTTGAATGTGACTTTTGATTTTTGCATTACTAATAAATTATTGATTAATGATTGAGAAAACTTAGGCAAATGGTCCTAAACAAAAACATCGATCTTTTTTCATACATGCATATATTTTTCAACGCAAGTAGTAATCACTTCTATAGTATACATATTTGTATATAAGTCCATACTTACAAATGTTCATTTGTTGTCTCTCCTGTTCTCTCACTTTGTGTATTGAGAATCATAAAATATACTCGTATGTGTGATACTTTTGATTATGCTTTCGGAAACCACATTCTCAGGTAAGTGAAAAATTACAGTACAACTTAATCCAAAAATTTCTAAAATACTTTTATACTGGAATACAATAACATTAGTGCACAGTCGTACAAGAGCGCGCGAACGAGGAGGTTTTATTCTAATAACACGTAAGTAAACAACATAAATACCTAAGTAGTTTCCTAAATAATAGATACAAGATTTTAAACAGATAAACATCGTTACTAAAAATGATTGTGAGATACCTCTTATCAACATTTCGCCCAACATCACAAATCTGTACAAAAGCAGTTTTTGCAAAACAATTCGCTACAACAACTGAATCATCGAAATTCAATTGGCAAGATCCACTCAATTTAGAATCACAGCTCACAGAAGAGGAGATCGCCATACGTGACGCATTTCGAAGTTACTGTAAAACGAGTCTACTGCCGCGCATCACTGCTGCGAATCGTAATGAAGTATTCCATAAGGAAATTATGGAGGAAATCGGCAATCTTGGTGCATTAGGTTGTACAATTAATGGTTACGGTTGTGCCGGTATATCGAATGTCGCATACGGTTTGTTAGCCAGAGAAATCGAGCGGGTAGATTCGGCTTATCGCTCTGCTTTGAGCGTGCAGAGTTCGCTGGCTATGGGAGCGATATTCGATTATGGTTCCGCAATTCAGAAAGAAACATATCTACCTCGAATGGCTCAAGGCAAATTGATTGGTAAGTGATTCAAACACATATAAGGCCACGATCTTTTTAAATTATAATTATTAAAAAATATATGTACGAAAAGGACTACATATACATATATAATAATTACATATGTACGATAAGCACTATTATGTTTGATGTTTAAAACTTATATATAAATTGTGCGATATACGAGTATAGTATATTTTCTTTTTATAGGAGCATTTGGTTTAACCGAACCAAACCATGGTAGTGACCCAGCCGGCATGGAAACACGGGCCAAATATGTCAGCATTAGCAAGGAGTACATTCTGAATGGCTCTAAAACTTGGATTACCAACTCTCCGATAGCGGATGTCTTTATCATATGGGCAAAATGTGAAGATGGAAAGGTTCGAGGATTCATAGTGGATCGGGCGCAATCGGTCAAAGGCTTATCCACACCAAAAATAGAAGGGAAATTTTCTCTACGCGCATCTACCACCGGAATGATATTAATGGACGATTTACATGTGCCCGAAGCTAATCTATTACCAAATGTTGAGGGCTTCAGAGGACCTTTCGGTTGTTTGAACAACGCACGCTATGGAATTGCGTGGGGTGCCTTAGGAGCGGCAGAAGCATGCTTGCAAATCGCACGCCAGTATACACTTGATCGGAAACAATTCAAACGACCATTGGCAGCAAATCAATTGATACAAAAGAAGTTTGCTGATGCACAAACTGACATAGCATTAGGTTTACAAGCATGCCTTCAAGTAGGACGGCTTAAGGATCAGAAGTTACATACCCCCGAAATGATTTCACTAATTAAACGAAATAATTCAGGGAAAGCATTGGATATTGCACGGAATATGCGTGATGTTCTTGGTGGCAACGGCATATCGGATGAATATCATGTTATACGCCATTCCATGAATTTGGAAGCTGTGAACACGTATGAAGGCACACACGACATTCATGCGCTCATTCTTGGCCGTGCTATTACAGGAATATCAGCATTCGCCAATTAATTTAGTCCACGACTAATATTTTATGATTTTTTAATTTAAATTGCTTTTTTTTACATTGTATATTTTACTTAAAACGAAAGCTGCTACTATAAAAGGAAAATTTCTCATAAAAATAAAATTAATTCGAAATTTTAAATCAGCTGAGATGGTTGCACTTACCTCCGCTTCGTATTGTTCTGCTCGCCGAACAGCATGTCCTAGCTCTGTATTTGTTTCGGCTAACAGTTTCTTCAATTTGGAATGGGATAGTTTAATCTCGCTTATATCTTTATTTCGATCAGCAAGTTCCTGTTGCAGTGCACGTACCTCAACATCATTCGCCTGCAATGGCCTACCTTTGCGGTCAGAACGCTCTTGATAGTCGCGAACTTCAGCTCGCAACTTTTTGTTGTCGCGTTCCAAAGCAAGCTTTTCTGTTTCGAGACGTTCTCTCTTACCCCATTCTGATGCATTTTCGGCCTGAAGACGTTCCAACTGTAAAAAATGTGAAATTAATTTTAATTATGATATTTATTAGAGTTAGACTAAATACGAGTATTGGCAGCAAATCAATTGATACAAAAGAAGTTTGCTGATACACAAACTGACATAGCATTAGGTTTACAAGCATATATATATTCACCTCAGTACGCAGTTCTGCTAAGCGTCTTTCGAGATTTTCCCGTGATGCAGTTTCTTCCTGCAATGAGTTATTTATTATGCGCATTTCAGCCCGATGTTGTTCTTGTAGGGTTAGCAATTCTCGAACAGCTTCCTATAAAATTTTCGTATTATTCAATTCATAATTAGCTAGCTTAGACTACTGGTTTATCAATTTTATATAGTATGTTCAGTCACACCAAGTAAATATTTTATCATTTTCCTTTAAAACACGGACAATCTATTCATCTATCTTTGCTGGAAAATAAAGCAAAACTTTGCGCACTTCATAATTAAGGTGATACGGAAAGTTAACCCATCTACGAAAGTGCCAAAATTAGATATTGTGAATTAATAGTGCAATTCAGAAAAGGAATATTAATCCATCATAAATATATATTCTATCTCTTTTTGTAAAAAGCTCAATCAATTCTAATCGGTTTCATGCGAATATAGTCATCAAATGCTATATTATTGAAGTTCTGATGTGTTCCTTACCTGTTTAGCCAGGCGGAGCTCTTCCTGGCGATCATGTACTTCTTGTATTTCCAATGTTAACTTTTCGATTGTTTTATGTAGGATATTTTTTTCCCTGGAAATACGGACAATGTTGTATATTTTTTTTACATGAAATATTACCATTTCCCGTATTTAATATATTATTTAAAATTAAATTAAGAATTGGTAAATGTATCGACAAGTCACAACTTAAACAGATGCTTATATAAAGTTACTCGGATAATAAAAGTAAAAATCCCTATTTTCTTTTTCTTACTGTTGTAAGCATTGCTTTTTTTTAATTTAAATGAAGTTATGAAACCTAATTTCAAGGGCCAATATTAATATCTCTTAAACCTTATATGCTTGTATAGGAATTCTTTAATAGATTTTTCATTTAATTGTCTTTTTATTTATATATACATATATTTATTTATTAAAGGAAATACAGTTATAAATAATTATACTACCTATAAAATATAACAGCAGTAGCGACAAGGCCTTCAGCTGTATATACATATATAGATGTAGAAAAAGTACTCACTCTCTTTCTGCTTGTACAGTCTTTTGTGCTTCATCTAAACGCAATTGAAGCATTGAGATTTTTTGAAGCAAATATTCCTCGTCAAAGTCGTCTTTTGATAATTGTTGTATTAAACGCTTTTCTTCAGCTGATACCTCATCTGTCAATATTGCTTTTACTACATCATTACTATTTTTAATATTTAAAAAACTTACCCGTTTCGTTAACATTTTTAGTTACGGCACCTTTAAGAGCAAATTCTTCAATATCCAAATCTTTCAAATCATTACAAATCGCTTTAGTAACCTGCGGTATTTAATTTGTATACAATAACATATACAATAACATATGTCTATCAAAAATTACCAATCCGTCTTCACTGTTCACATTTTTTAAGCCATCAGATGAAATATCAGGTGAGCAATTAGTATCACGCCCATTTGCTTCAGTATCTTCAGAAGCATCACACATTCTAAGAGATTATTACAACTTTGAAAAAGAAGTTAATATATTAATACGACTAACCCTGTTTTGTGAAATTGATCGGCATGTTTCATCATTAATGTATGCACCTTTTCCATTTCTTTTTTAAGTTGAGAAATCTGTACCTCGAGATCATTTTTTTCCCGTTTATAAGAATTAGCTTCTTTCATAGATATATCGAGATTGGCACGCAACTGCTTAGATTCTTCCCTTGCTTTATTCCGTTCTGTTCGAACCTGATACCAATAAAAATATAAATAATGAATATTTTGTATGAATATCGATTAAACAAATTCCTTTTTCCAAATTACTATGACTCGTATCTACGACAAGTTATATCAGATGTGTCATGTGTACACACCTTACTCCATTTTTCGCGCCAATTAGCCGTACAATCCGACCACCACTTCATCGTCTTTTCCATTTGAGCAGCACGCGCCCGTGCTTCATCCAACTCACGTTGCCTTTGTGCCTGAATCAAATTAGAATTTTTACTCATATGTACCCTTAAATTATGGGTTTAATGTGAAGTTTTCATTTACTTCTCGAGCCTCCCACTCTGTAGCATCCCCAAATCTTGGAGTCTCCGTAGTTCCACCGCGTCGTTGCACTGGCGCCGCACTTTGAGACATGTTTCAGAGGCTAACAAACCAGTCCACAGATGGAAAATAAAATGTTATAAATATTTGCAAAAAAAAAGAACTGCTCTACAGTGTTTTTTCCAAAAAAGCTTGTTTAATTCCTTTATTCTTTCAGAAACTGAAAATATTTATTTTCATTTTACTTTCGATGATTTCGTATACACAAAATTTTGACATTTTATTCTGCCCATCTTCTCGACGTCGATTTGACGTCTTCTGAGTTCTCTGACTACGGTCAGAGAATGTTGAAGAGTAGAGCAGGAGCAAATGTTAAATGAAAACTTTTTGAGTACTAATTTGTAGTTCCAGATGAGGGAGCATCGAAAAATATAACTTCGAAAAAGAAAAATACACCACACAATGTGCGAAATGCTATAAATAGACACAACGAATATTCCTATATGAAAAATCGTTGCGCATACCTATTTAGATTTATGTTTTCAATTTCTATGATATGACAAATTTATAATTATGAAAAGCCTTCTGAATTAAAAATCTGTATTACCGGTAAAAACCCCAGAATTCATAATAAAATAAACATTTAATAGGCTATTTTTCCAACTTATGTATGTGCGTTATGTGAGCAATTGCTTATTAAACAAAGGATAACAATAAAACGGTGGCTAAGCGGCCACATTTCCACTTTTGTGGTGGCTGAGGTCGTAAGCGGGAAGGGGTTAAGCACAATCCGAATACGAACCTATACGTTCGAATCCTAAAACTCATGAAACTGAAATTTTCTTTAATTTTTATTTTATTAATTGGAATCTAAGCATATCATAATTCAATTACTTTAATAGCATATTTAACTTCCTGAGATAATTAAAATATATCAGGAAAATATGTTCATATGTTAAGGTTTATTGAATATTTCCTTATTATACGTATTTACACAAATGTGATAATCACACATACATTCTTAAATACATGTAGGCTGATGCTTGCTTCTTCCAGCCCCGCACAAGCAATGACTTTTGTCAGAGAACGTAAATGAATATTCTTCAACATTCTCTGGTACTAATTTGTAATTCCACAAGAGGGAACATCGAAAAGTATAACCAGAGAATGTTGATGAGTAGAGAAGGAGCAAATGTTAGCAGTACTAAAATGTTAATTGCTAAGAAGGAACATCGAAAACGCGCAAGCAGAGAATGTAAATGAGTAGAGAAGGAGCAAATGTTAAATGAAAACTTTTTGAGTACTAATTTGTAATTCCACATGAAGGAACATCGAAAAATATAACTTCGAAAAAGAAAAATACACCACACAATATGCGAAATGCTATAAATAGACACAACGAATATTCCTATATGAAAAATCGTTGCGCATACCTATTTAGATTTATGTTTTCAATTTCTATGATATGACAAATTTATAATTATGAAAAGCCTTCTGAATTAAAAATCTGTATTACCGGTAAAAACCCCAGAATTCATAATAAAATAAACATTTAATAGGCTATTTTTCCAACTTATGTATGTGCGTTATGTGAGCAATTGCTTATTAAACAAAGGATAACAATAAAACGGTGGCTAAGCGGCCACATTTCCACTTTTGTGGTGGCTGAGGTCGTAAGCGGGAAGGGGTTAAGCACAATCCGAATACGAACCTATACGTTCGAATCCTAAAACTCATGAAACTGAAATTTTCTTTAATTTTTATTTTATTAATTGGAATCTAAGCATATCATAATTCAATTACTTTAATAGCATATTTAACTTCCTGAGATAATTAAAATATATCAGGAAAATATGTTCATATGTTAAGGTTTATTGAATATTTCCTTATTATACGTATTTACACAAATGTGATAATCACACATACATTCTTAAATACATGTAGGCTGATGCTTGCTTCTTCCAGCCCCGCACAAGCAATGACTTTTGTCAGAGAACGTAAATGAATATTCTTCAACATTCTCTGGTACTAATTTGTAATTCCACAAGAGGGAACATCGAAAAGTATAACCAGAGAATGTTGATGAGTAGAGAAGGAGCAAATGTTAGCAGTACTAAAATGTTAATTGCTAAGAAGGAACATCGAAAACGCGCAAGTTCGAAAATAAAATGTCACCACACCTGTCAAATTACGCAACGAACTACACCACTCTATAAGCAAAATGTATATACATACATATGCAGAGATGTTCATTGGTATGCGTATTCTTCAACATTCTCTGTTCACACCAACTCAACAAAGGGAAAAATGTTACCGTTTAGCACACAGTCTTACCAAAAACCTTGCTTAAAAATTTGAGAAAACATGCATTTCATTTTTGACTCAGAAATCGCCAAATAAGTTGAAATTTTATTTTTAATGCTTTAAACACTTTATTTACATAAATTTGTAGTAAATTCATTATAATTGGATTGGAGTGGAGTATGAAAATATATATCGAATTTGCAATAATGGACCATACTGAAATTCGAATTTTATGGCAGCATTGGTGTAGTTACATTTCAGTGGTTGTCATGTCGCATTTCCTTCTTTTGACATTACTGCGTCAACGTGATTCGATCTTTTTCCGCTTTCAACTCTGAAGATGGCGGTCGGTAAAAATAAGGGTCTCTCTAAAGGAGGTAAAAAAGGTGGTAAGAAGAAGGTAGTAGATCCCTTCTCACGCAAAGATTGGTACGATGTAAAAGCACCAAATATGTTCGTGACCCGCCAGATAGGCAAAACTCTGGTTAACCGTACCCAGGGTCAGAGAATCGCCTCTGACTACTTGAAGGGCCGTGTGTTCGAGGTATCATTGGCTGATTTGCAAAACGACAACGATTCGGATCGTTCCTTCCGTAAGTTCCGTCTGATTGCTGAGGATGTTCAGGATCGCAATGTGCTCTGCAATTTTCACGGTATGGATTTGACTACAGACAAGTACAGGTACGATAATAAGTGAAAAGTGTTCATTGATTTTAAGTAAGCAAACCATAACTGCACATGCATACATATATACCATATGGTTCAGTACAAGACTTCATTTTAAATAGGATTTTGGTCCAAGTTTTATTATTTATTTATTTATTATTAATGCAAGAAAACTGAGATGGTATATATTTTGCAAACAACGGACGTATAATTCAGACAAAATATTTCACAACTGTGTTTTGTCTCTACGATGCTCCAAAATTAAATTTGCAAACGGCACCCTGGGGAACTGTTATCTACTTTCCCAATTAGGGATTAGTTTGTAAACATTTATACTAGCTGCAATTCCTAATATTTATGTTCAAGTTTCAAATATACATAGAGTTGATACTCATCAATGTTTCACTCATTTAGGTCAATGGTAAAAAAATGGCAGACACTTATTGAAGCCATTGTCGAGGCTAAGACCACTGATGGTTACATGCTACGCGTTTTCTGTATTGGCTTTACTGCTAAGGATCAACAATCACAGCGCAAAACTTGTTACGCTCAACAATCTCAAGTTCGTAATATTCGCTCAAAGATGACTGAAATCATTACCAACGATGTAACCAGCTCTGACCTGAAGCAATTGGTGAACAAGCTAGCACTCGACTCCATTGCTAAGGACATTGAGAAGAAGTGCCAACGCATTTATCCTCTGCATGATGTTTACATTCGTAAAGTAAAGGTTTTGAAGAAGCCGCGTTTCGATCTGTCCAAATTGTTAGAATTACACGGTGATGGCGGTGGCAAAGGTACTGACGCTGTTGTTTCTTCGGAAGGTGCTGTCGTCGAAAGGCCCGAAGGTTATGAACCTCCAGTACAGGAGTCTGTTTAATATAATAATTAATTAAACAACATTCATTTTATAATGTAGAAGATACAAAGGAAAGAAAAGCCAAAACTCGCACATAGGAGTTTTGTCAAAAAAACTTAATACTGAGTTTGTTTTAATTTCTTTAAAGTGGATAATATAAGGGAAGTCGTTTCGTTTTTGTTTTTTTTCTTTGCAGATTTTATTTTTGAAGTTCTCATTTCAAAATGGAAGCATTGTGTGCAGTTTACTAATATTACGAAGGTAAATAAGTAAGTGTTTTACATATTAAAGTGTGTGAAATAAGATAATGATGTTAATATTTTTCGTCGCTGACTATAAATTTATGATGTCAATGTTAAACTGATTTTCCACAAATTATAAAAAACTTTATTTCAATGAACAATTATTAATATCACATAATCTCTTTGCAGTGGTTTGATATTATGCATGGTGGAGCGGCCCAAATATCTACGATGTAAGTAGAAATTATTTAATAAAGTTCAAGTTTGTATTCTAGAATAATGATGTTTTCTAATTATTTGCTACTCTTGAAAAACTACTTTGATGTAAATGTATTCTGATTCAGTTTCACAATAAATTCTAATTAGATTGCTTATATTATATACATGTAGCTATAAATGTATTTTTTTTTTTAGGATTTGGGTATTCATTGCACTTATTAGTGGACTATATATGGTATAAAGGTTCGTATTATCTACTTTTTATTTTCTACTCAAAGAAAATGATGTTTTTGTATTATTTGCTACTCTTGAAAAAGATAATGATGTAAACATAATTCTGATTAAATTTCATTAATGTTATTGATTTGTATAAAATAAATATTATATGTATTTTTCTATATTACAGCTTTCTGTATTAGGAATTCACCTTGTAACTCATGTGGATTCTTTTGTTTGGTAAGCCTACTCTAAGCACTTATAAATTTAATACAAAATGTTTAAATTGATGAAAACTCTTAATGTAACTTGAAAAATGTATGAAAGTTTTACTAAAAATAGATAGTAGAACTGATTGGTATATTTCATTTCTTGTCATGCGTGTTTGTTGACTTCAGAAGTAAATATACATATGTTTTATTTCTTTATTTTCAGTTGTGACTTTGAAAGGCGATAATATACTAATCTGCAGAAATTGAACTTTTCCAGGTGAGCTCTAATTTTACACATACACCTTTAATTACATTCTGAATGATGAAACTTTTACCCAGCTCGCTTTGATAATTGTGAAGAAAACTGTTCCAATAACCAACGCAAATATTAACATCTGATAAAATACTCAAAAATTTTAATGAATTATTAAAATTCTTATAAATATACAAATACCATATTTAATTTTATACTCTTTGTTTTTCTTTTTTTTTTTTTTTTACAGATAACATATATTGAAAACGTGCAAAGAGAAATTGAATCCGTTTTCGAAATATTCAGGGCTATATAATATATACATCTGACATGTTGCCTCAACATAATTAAAACTTGTTTTTGAAGCCACATAAATTAAAAAGAGGTAAGTATAGCACTTACTTTCATATGGTATGACTAAAATGATGACATCTTACCCAGCTCGCTTTGAAATTACATTGAAGAAAACTGTTCCTTAACCAACGCAAACATATATTACTGATTTGGTTTTCTTAATGAATTTTAGTTTATAGCTTATATTTGTTCTTAATAAATATTTTTTCTGTTTTGTAGCTCGATTGTTCTAAAAAGATGAGGAAGGATTAAACTTTTTGATAAAAAACAGGTATTAAAATATGTTATAATATATAATATATTTTTATTAAATATACATACAATACCTTTTATTATGTTTATTAAATCCCTTCATATTTATATGATGAGATGTTTTCGGATTCCCCATCATTTGACTGTTAAATGACACAAAATCCTCTCGGATTGCATAACTTTAGATTTAAGATAGTTGTTTTTTTTTTACTATATCTAAGACTAAAGCCCATTTATGTTTTTATAGGTAGTGCAGCTGTTTATAGGGCACTGTCATAAATCAATACAATCTGGGCACTCACCTGGACCCTGTTTTAAAATGAGTCGGCGCGTACATACTCCATCGGCTTGTTTAGATATGAAGGTAGGTGGAAGATTTTCATTTTATATACACTGGTGGCCAATAATGAAAGACCCAATAAGAAATAACCTTGTTTTGGTTAGGGCCGATCACTTTATAAGCCAATGTTTTTCGACAAGAAAAATTCAGGCTTTGCTTTAAATACACTGAGTAAAATGTGAAAAAAAAAATAGTTAAGAGGCCACCAATGTATATTAATACTCGCATTACGGTTTGTAGCTCGACTCCAGCTTGAATTGAAGTTAAAACAATGCTACAGATTAACCAAACTCTTTTTCCGTCTTATGAACTACAACGAATTTCCATCAAAGTGTATTTGATGTTGTCAACATAAAAATTGAATATTTGATAGATAATTAAGCAACTGAAAACGTAAAAACGAAAAATTAAAATAATTCAATTTAGTTATTGCCACCAAGAGTAAATAAATAATAAAATGGACATTCGAACAGATTTAAATTCGAATGACAGAATGTTGTAGTCAAACTGCGCATACGAAAATGCCTTCGTGCCTTAATCACTCAAAACACTAGCAACATACGATATCTATTTTTGATAATGAAGTTTTGAATATTTTGGAACACCGTAAGTGTTTCTGTGCGCAGTGGATTAATATCCAAATTACTGAAGAGAAGCCAAACGCTTCGTAGATTGTATCGACTTGTGTTCACAACATTTCACACGAATCTCTTAATTTTATTTTTTTCTGTTTTCAAATTCCAGTTTCGACATTTTTCTCCACGAGTTCAACACATTTTTGTATTTGTACAAAATAACTGATTTAAATATAGTTTATTTACCTGTTTTTCATTTTCTATTAATATTTATCTGAAATAAATTGCACTTTGATATTCTAATCAACCGCACTGGCACAACGGCTTATACCACAATAAATGGAACTGAAGTTCGAAGTTTCTTTTGACAGATTGAGTTGATATAATACCGAATTTAAAAACTTCAACGAAAATGCAGTTGAGTTGGAAACCGTAATAGGGACTTAAGTGTTCCTAACTATATGATGAAACATTGACCCAGCTCGCTTCGATACACCATGAAGAGAACTGTCCCAATATCCAACGCAAACATATTTACTGATATAATAACTAAGTTTTCTTAATACTCGAAGCCTTAAATGCAAGTATATTAATTATCTTTATGTTCTTTACAGATGGGGCAAACGGATTAAATTGAAAATGTAAGTAATTAAGAGTAAAACGTTTTTTCATATGTATAACTTCTTTATGATGAGATATTTTCGGATTCCCCATCATTTGACTTATAAATGACACTAAATCCAAACTGAAACATAATTATAATATAATTTTTATTTTGATATTTCTATAAAGTAACGGCCCTCTTTTGTTTTGCAGATGAACTTGCTGTTGACTATTCATTAATAAGGTAAAAAAAAAGTTAAAATATCTATACAATTTTGTAAAATTTACTTATGTAAGGTACATGATGATACTCTGACCCAGCTCGCTTTGATTTTCTATGAAGAGAATTCGTCCCAATATCCAACGCAAATTAATTTTTCTGAACAATTTCTCAATAAATCGTTAACATATCTTTTAACATATCAGTCATTTCATTTCTATTTCTTTTAAATTTCAGGTATGTTACACGTCAACCCTGCGCAGCACTAGATCAACTCTTTGAAATTTGTTATTTTTTGACAATATGTCATTAAAATATATAATATTAAAATAAATTAAAATAAAACTTAAACAATGGTTTTAATTTTTTACGTATAGAAATAAAATAATAGGTTTTTTACTTAAGTGATGGATTTATTTTTTTTACAACAAAACGAAAATGAAAACTAAAACGGTTGCCATCAAAAAGTCATTCTACAATGAACAAATTTTAATTAACAACTTCCTTCTCTATTTGTAAATCTTTGCTGACGAATCGACTCCATTTGTTTGGCTTGTTCCCATGCATCCTTGTCAAGCATATTTTTGCCTCGTGCAATAGCCAATAGTCGAGTAAATACCAACAAATGATGTAACTCTTCGGCATCGCGAATGCTTTTATTTTTACGCATTTCTACAAAATCATTTTGAATCATTTCACTCTCAGCTGGATTCACATTAAATTCGGTGAGTTTAGCCATAGTCAGAAACCGCCTAAATTGATTCAATCGGGTTGGATTCAAATAGTGCCTAGCTGCCTTGAGCGACTCCTCAATTACTGCAACTGATTGGTCATCATACTCGATTGGTACAAATGTATCGTACTATAAACAAATATTTGTGTTATGAAAAACATATTTTAAACAAAACCTTACCGGCAAAATACTTTGCTTTTCACTGAAACACAATATTGGAATATCGACTTCATAATCAATTTCATAATACTGGAAATTGCATTTCAACTGCTGATGCTTCATAACATGTCCAAGAATTTGCATTGATATAATGCCATTGCTGTTAAGGCAATCAGATTTAGTAAATGTCTCATCTATCACAAGATGTGTTTGTGGAGCAAGCTGTAGCATTCCTGAGACTAACTTGTTGGTTTCATAATCCTTTCTATTAGTGTTATATAAGAAAATAAATAAATTTCGCCTTTAACTGTGGGAACTTACTTTGGTCCAAAAGTTGATTCGTTCATTGTCTCCGCTGTCATTGTAATATAATGGCTGGCTGGTATTATCAAGTCCAATAACTCGTAAACTTGTTTCGTATATTTTGGAATACGATTCTGTGGTATATTAAAGAGATTTAAGAGAAATCTTCCCAAACATCGAGATTCAGCTCTGCAATAACTGCGAATGTTTAAATATATACATATGTATATTCGTAAATATTTGTAAAATTATCATTTACAAACTACTTCTACTTACACTGTAGATATTAGGTGAGATAAGAGATATTCCGCAGCTAAATTGTCATTGAAAAGACATAGCTTTAAGAATATTCGAAATTCATTGCCTACAGATAACATGTTGAAACCATGTAAGCCTATACTATATGTCTGCGAATTCGACAGCAGTCTCTCATCCAATAAAGGATTTGGATGTGGCAAGCAATGTACCGCTATTGCATGAAGTCGGGGTATTAATGATGGTGGTGGGTTTTGCGCTTGAATCTCATTTATATTATCAAACGCATCCACGTCCATTGTTGTGGCGTCCAATACTGGATTAACCGAGAGAAAACCAACCACATCAATAATAGTGTTTAATTTAAACTTTTCGAAGTCGTTGTATATTTTAACCATACAAGCTTTACTAGGGCGACTTGGAATTGGCGAGTTTAAGTGGTATTCCATACCAATTACCGAATTTGAGGTGTGATTAACTTCATTGTTGTCAAATGCGTTATTTAATTTTTCTCCTATACGTTGTCGTTTATTAACATCATAATCAACAGCATGTCTGACAGTTGTATCGATTTCGACATGTATATCCTCTTCTTCCATAGGTGCGGAACGCTTTTTACCTCCTGTTTTTTCCGTTTCCACTGGCTTCGGAAAATTGTTACGACTACACTTTGATTCATATTCTTGGCACCAGTTATTTAAACCGGGTATGGAAATAACAAAAAAGGTACGACGCTCACCGTGAACATTTTCCTTAGCATCATGATTTACACGTTCGCCTTCATTTAACAACAAACAGTCTCTAAATTTACCTTCTTGGACTCTACAAGTATTATCTTCTTTAACAATTTCATAACGTTCCAAGTACATTTCAGGGTCTAGCATGTCTTGAATCATTCCTCTAAACCTCACAATATTCATGTCCTTCAAGTCATGCAATGCGGTGTAGTTAAGCAACGGAATTTCACTCCACAACTTCGGATCTTCTAAAGATGCAATGAAAACACCGCCTTCTTCACTTTTTAAGTGCTCTGGCAGAATATTTAAGCTCAAAGAAGTCATTTTCTAAGTTTTAGTTTAAAAACAATGATAAAAAAATGAAGTATACGACTAACAAAAAGAAAAAATCTGAAGCAGATACATACCATATGTTTTGTTTGTGTCGCTTGGATTTGGCGCCAAAAGATAAGTTCAAACTGGCAGCGCCTAAGGAAGTAAATCGATCAAACATATGTACATCAATCATTGAATTTACTACTTTTAAAGGACTCTTTATAAAGTAAACTAAAATATTTCATTATAAAGTGGACTGACACATTTTATATAATTTTTTAATAAATACCCTATTTCTGGTTTTTAAATTTTATAAACCCATGAAAAACATCAATTTACAATAATGCAGCTCATATATAAATCGTAAAAATCGACAGATTTGACTTTTAACTCGATCTATCGATATATTACTATCAATCCTATAATGCTTAATCTGAATGTATCTAAAATGCATTGTAGATATATGTAAGAAATGGTGTTGTGTTATAGTTCAACAATAAAATATAAATTAAAATATTTGAACGAATAAAATATTGATTGTAAATCTCAATATTATGATGGCAAGACGAGGTGGGAAGCGAATTCGAATGAATGATCCGCCTCCAGAGTACGAAGAACATGGGTAAATAAACTTAGTTTGAATTGGTTTGACTGTACATTCATGAAAAATTGTTAAAATTATAGAGAAGGGCTAAATGAAAGTACTTCAGATGGAGATAGTCCAATGAAACGTATGACTCGCCTTCGCGCTAGAGGAGGAATCCGTGATAAACCGCCAATAATAGACGACGATGAAGACGACTTTTTTGCTCCAGTTGCCCGCAAACGAAAGCAACCGGGTCCCCGTAAACCCCCAGGTGAACGCCGTGAACGTGTTGATAGACCAAGAAAGGAGCATATTGAAAAGGAACAGGAGAGGGTGGATATGGAAAGGGACGTCACTACTGATGAAAACAGTTTGTACTTCATTGTGCGACATTCAAAGTCAGCTATAGCGGTGAGTGAAAACAATAAAAATTCGAATACTAGGCTTACTTTCAAAATTGTTTTAGAGTATTGTTGATGATTGGATCGAAAAATACAAAGAAAACCGTGATTCTGCACTTATAGCTCTAATGCAATTTTTCATAAATGCAAGTGGTTGTAAGGGTAAAATATCTGAAGATATGCCTCATCCAATGGAACATACTGCGGTGATTCGAAAAATGACAGAGGAGTTTGACGAGGTTACATGAATATTATATATTATTGCATTAGGAATTATTTTAATTTCATTTTTATTTCAATACAATAGGAAAGCGGTGAATATCCTTTAATAATGCCTGGCCAACAATGGAAGAAATTTAAAATGAATTTTTGTGATTTTGTTCAAACTTTGGTTAAACAATGTCAATATTCCATTATATATGATCAATTTCTTATGGATAACGTAATATCGCTATTGACGGGCCTGTCTGATTCCCAAGTGCGCGCCTTTCGACATACAGCCACTTTGGCAGCAATGAAGTTAATGACAGCTTTGGTGGATGTAGCATTACTAGTATCTAATAACTTTGAAAATGCTGCTAAACAGTATGAAGCTGAACGTGTTAAGGTACGAAGTATTTGTATTTAGACATATTAAAAACGTTATTAAAATAAAACGTTTTTAGTCGCGAGACCGTCGGGCAACTGACCGGCTGGAGTCTTTGATGACAAAACGTGCTGAGCTTGAAGAGAATATGGATGAAATTAAGAATATGTTAACTTACATGTTTAAGTCCGTTTTCGTACATCGTTATAGGTACTTATAAAGTAATAGTTACAAAATTAGTAAGTTAATTTTTTAAAAAATTTTCTTTAGGGATACATTACCAGATATTCGAGCAATTTGTATGGCGGAAATTGGGGTATGGATGGAAAACTATCCGCAAAATTTTTTAGATGATTCTTATTTGAAATATATCGGTTGGACATTGCATGACAAAGTTGGCGAAGTCCGCCTTCGTTGCTTACAAGCCCTGTTACCTTTATATGATAAAGAAGAATTGAAAGGGAAATTGGAGCTATTTACATCAAAATTTAAAGACCGAATTGTCGCCATGACATTGGATAAAGAATTTGAAGTAGCAGTTCATGCAGTGAAATTGGTTATCAGTATTTTAAAGTAAATTATTTATTTTGTTCTTGAATAATTTATTTCATGAATGCAAATTAACTTTTTAGAATACATCCTGACATATTGGCAGATAAAGATTGTGAAATTGTATATGAACTTGTTTATTCTTCTCATCGCGGAGTAGCGCAAGCTGCGGCAGAGTTTTTGAATGTACGTCTTTTCCATTTAACGACGGATATGGAGGAAACCAAGACTAGGCGCGGAAAAATACGTCTACCCAATACGCCTTTGATACGAGATTTAGTGCAGTTCTTCATCGAGTCAGAATTGCATGAACATGGCGCCTATCTGGTGGACTCTTTCATAGACAACAATGCCATGGTCAAAGATTGGGAATGTATGACTGATTTACTGCTCGAAGAACCCGGAATTAACGAAGAGGTATTGGATAATAAGCAAGAATCCACTCTTATTGAGATAATGGTAAGCAGTGTGAAACAGTCGGCGACAGGTGAGGCTCCTGTTGGACGTGCGAGTAACCGTAAAATAACATTGAGTTCAAAGGAACTAAAAGCTATTCAAGATGAAAAAGTACGGTTAACGGAACATTTTATTTTAACACTTCCTCCTTTGTTGGAGAAATACCAAGCAGACAGTGAGAAATTAGCAAACCTTCTGGCTGTACCGCAATACTTTGAGTTGGATATATATACTACAAATCGACAAGAATCTAACTTACAGGCACTGTTGGATAAAATGAGTTATATTATGTTTGTACATACGGACCGTGAAGTGCTTGAAACTTGTGCCAAAACACTTGAGTACTTATGCACCGAGGGTAGTGCCACCTACACCCGGTGTGATGTAGCGCGTTCAAATATTATCGACAATGCGGTCAACAAATATAAAGACGCTATCGATGACTGGCGTAACTTAATAGCAGGTGAGTAAATAAATTGCAAATTTGCGTCAAAAGAGTCTTAGTTAATTAAATTATTATATTCAGGCGACGAACTACCCAACGAAGATGAAATCTATAATGTTACAATTTCGCTAAAAGTTATATCCATTCTCTACGCCTCACACAATCTTAACCCTTGGAACTTATTCGAATCAATTTTCCAAGACGTGGAAGAATGTCAATCTAAAGAAAATCCTGGTCGTACATTGCCCAATGAAGCGCTAATATATTGCATCGAAGCATGTTATTTCTCCATAAGTTGGGGTCTATACTTTGTTGAAAACCAATGCGAGAGTAATAACGTCGTCATGGTAAGCGCTGAACTGCGCGATAACTTGGTAAAATATATGGCAGCTTGTTTTGAATTAACTAGGGACGGGCCAACGGAGCAAATCCAAGAATCGGTTGGTTATTTTTTACTTGTTTACCATGTACTAATATTTATAAATGTTTTCATTATCTTTGCTTCTAATTAATAGGCTTACCAGTCAATATGTGATATTTTGATTGTATTTTCTGATCAGCTTTCGAAAAACGAGAATGAAAATTTACGCTCTCTGGAGTATAAGTCAACACTAGACGAACAGCTAATTTTAAATAACTTTGTTCAACATTACGTTTTTACAATCAAACAAGAAGGTATCTAAGAGCTCTTTATATTTTTTAAGTTAAAGTGCGTATATTTCATTGCAGTTGTTCAAGACGAGACACGAATTGAGGAATTACACAAAAAGCGCAACTTTCTGGCTTCATTTTGCAAACTAATTGTTTATAATATTATACCCACAAAGAGTGCGGCAGGAATGTTTAAACACTATGTGAAGGTAAGTAAACCCTGGTGGCCCGTGTTAATGAACGATGTTGGTATTAGTTTTTATTAAATTTATTTCAATTCGAATTATGAATCTCGTTTCAGTGTTATAATGAGTACGGCGACATTATTAAAGCTACCCTTGGGAAGGCACGCGAAATAAATAAAATAAACTTCGCCTTGACACTGCTCCTTAGCTTGATAGCAGTGTTCAAAGAATTGTTGCAGCAGTCTGAAAATGGTATAATTTCCAAAAGCTCGCATGATTTTTCCGACTTAAAGGAATTAGCAAAGCGTTTCGCCTTGACATTTGGCTTTGATGCAATTAAGAATCGCGAACCGGTGATCGCTCTACATCGAGCTGGTATACTTTTTGCCGTCGGTGATGTTCCTGAAGATCCAGTTGCGGCACCTACACGACTTTTATTTCTTGAGGTGTTAAACGAATTTAACAATAAATTGTTAAAGCAGGATAAAAAAGTAATACTGAGTTTTCTTGATCGACGCATATCACCGGCTATGCCATCGAGCAGAGCTGAAGAATGGCAACCACTTGTTCTCTATAGAAACTCGCTGCTGCACGGCGAAACCGATCAAGCACCAGTAGCAAAGCGAGCTTATGCGAGGAAGCGAAGAGAACATGGTACTAAAACTTAGCTGTTGCTTTTTGTTTTCTTCAATAATTATGACTATGTTTTCTGATATTTTTTAGATGACGAATACGATGATTACGAATATGAAGAGGATCATAACGATGTTTAACTTTTAGCTTAAATAATCCTATTTTTAAGTTAATGTTTAGGACGTTTTCCTTAGAGAAACGTTCTTGTGTTATTTATTAGAAGTGGAAAAAATTGTAAATGCAATGTTTAAAATATAAAACGAAATATCGCTGAATATTTATTTACACCCGAAAATGTTTTCATTAGAATATTTTATCCTAATTTTTATGAAATAGTAAAACAGCGAATATAATAATAACCCTGTGAAGTATTTTTATGTGCAATGCTTTTAAGGTTTTGAAGAAATTTTTTTTTTTTTGGTTTTATTTCTATGAAATACACAACGTATTTGATCCATCTCCACGGATAACCAAAATACCATATATTATTTTACACTTAATAGGAAATATTTTTGTGTGGCATGGATATATTCCAGAGATCCTTAATAAGAAGTCTGAGATTAGGAGTAGCTCTTGGAGAAACCGAATATTTCGTTACTCAAGCACTATGCGTTCATTTTTGTAAACTTATAAAGCGATTGTGATTCGAAATTCACAATTCAGAGGTATTACATTTAAGTTCCAATTCTCTCATATTTACTATACAAAGCGCTGAACATCCATACAAAATAATAAGTTTACTCATAACTCAAATTCAGAAAACAAAAAATTTGCACATGTAATTTTTTTACTGAAGTGTGTTTTTTTTTTTGAGTTTGTAAAGCTAAAATCACAACAAAAGGTGTTGAGAGGCGAAAGTCTGTGCCCTGGCGATGGCTTCCTCTAACTGTTCTTCGAATAAAGTGGACACTTTTCTGCCTTTCATGTTGCATACTTCTGCAGAGTTTTGACCCTTTGGTGCTGAAACTTGCGATTTAAAAACCACTGCGAATTCATTTAGCCATTGTTCGGCATCAAAATGATCGCTGACAAATTTCTGTAATTATAAATAACACATTCATATATGTACACAAATGCTTTGTTGAAAAATAAAACGGTTCTTAATTGGTTGCAATACCTTGGGCACACAACAACGCGCTTTAACGATGCTATCACACATGCTAGCTACAAGTATCGGACGGTCGGTACAAAGTTTTGTAGCCCTTTGCAGTGGCACCTCCTCGACCAGTGCTGAGCTTGTGATGTAATGCACAATGAAGGGATGACTTTTAATAGATTTTTCTTGTAATAACGTTCTCATTTCGACCTCGACAAATTCTCTGCAATATTTTATCATAATGGAAAAATAGAAATGCTATGTAATGAATACAAAATAATTTGCCTACTTTAAAGTTGTCCGGGTTGTTTCCTTAAGCTTTTTGAGCATGTCATTAATGCGTGCTATGGTGTTAAGCTTAAAAACGTATGGTAACGCAACTTCCATATGTATCAAATTGTGGCGTATCTTTTGCAGTTCAATCTCAGTGGCATTTGTAACTTTATCAGTCTTAAACTGTTCATCAAGCATGTCTACGCGGTGTTGTAAGAGAGCTGCTATTCTTAATGCCTATAAAACACGACTGATTTTGTACCGTTAAATTTAAAAAATTTTGAATACTCATCATCTAAGCCTTGACATACATTTTCTGCGGGTCCTCCTGCAACTGCTGTAAAAGAAAATCGTGCACGATTCGTTTGTCTAAGGTTCGTGATGCAAAAATATTCTATTTCTTGTGTATTTGTCACATGAGTTCCGCAACACAACTCCTTGGAAAACAATTGAGGGTTCTCACATTTTATGCTTATCAATCGTAGTCCAGACTCAGGATATATTTCCCCAGGTACCATTGTAATATCGTCCTGTTGTAATACGTCACTGGCGTTTATGATCTTCACATCCACTGGCACTTTTGAGTTTATGGTACCTCTATTTGTATAAACCCGAACACGCTTGGTTTAAAAAATTTTATTTTGGATTTAGTTTCTTACTTACACAATCATGTCTTCCAGCTGTGTAATATCCTCCTTTTTAATGCGTTTACCAATTAGACCTACTTCAAGCTTGAAGTTATCAGTCGTAACGGCACTGGAGACTTGATACGTGACCTTTTTGAACAGCGAACGGATGGCAGCATTTAACAAATGGATTGCTAGATAATAAATGGATTCACAAACTTTACTCTTAAAATCGAATTTAAACAAAATTAATTAATCAAGAGAAATCGATGAAATTCAATTTGATCACCACTGCAACTATGTTTATATTTAAGCATTACAACTACATGCAGTGCTTCCAAAGCTCAGCCCAGTTATAATTTCTCCAAAATTAATTCCAATCGACATCACTTGATTACAATGTATTCGGAAAAGGAGTAGTGTCTATATGCAACTTCTATTTCGGTCCAAGCACTTTGATTAAGATACATATATGCATATATGTTAACTGATAGGGAATATCACTAGCAATTTTCTTATTGTCAATCATAAAGGCTATTATATTCTGCTTAAATCAAATGATTTTATCATGACTAGATATATCTAAATATATATGTACATTTGTATTTGTGGCTACATACCTGTGTGATGACATGTTGTCAGCTGACGGCGATTAGCATCTACTAAGAGCTTTATATGAGCATCTGTTTTCAATATAAAATCCTTTTCAACATTCGACAAATCACATACATGTATAATACAATTATTCATAGCTTTAACTTCTCTGACAGGCAACTCAAGTATTTCGCCATTTGTTTCAGATGTTAAAAGCATGGTGCCAATATCAGCTTGCTGTCCACCAGACTCATGATAAAAGTTTGTGATGTCTGTCGCCACATATAATAATTCGGATTGTGAGTTATTCAATAACACTGTGTTTGATTCTTTGCCTTGAAATACCATACCAGTAACTCGGGCCGAAACACAAGGAATATTATACCGTTTTTTATCTATATCATAACTATAATTATATTTCGTACTATTATCTGTGTAATTCAGTTTCTGCGTAAGAAGTAGGAGTGCTTCGTTTATCTGATGTTGATTTTCTAGCTTGTTTTCACTGCCACCATCGTTTAAGTAAGCTTTGGATCTTAGCTTTGCTTTCGCTATTTCCTTCAAGTAACCATTGAAATCACATTCCATATTCTCTAATTCAGCAAGTCTTTTGAAATTTTCCTCAGTTAAACCGTAAGTATCCGTAAGTTTGAACAGAAATTTACCGGGTAATATATTGTTATTAAATGTTTCCCGTTGAATTTGAAAATCTCGATAAGCTGACACAAAGCCGGGACATTCCATTAAATCAACTTCTTCCAGGTTGGGGTATTTCACTAGGATCTCAGCAAATGCCCTCGAAGAGCTTTCTCGCAATGCCTTGAATATTTCGCGTTCATGAGCTATTAACTCGAGTATGGAACTCTGCTTATTATACAATTCCGGATACGCCATACCTATTGTATCTATTACTAAAGGAATAAGTTGTGATACCAACTCCTCATATTTAAATATATTTTCACTTATGGTAAATGCTTTGCGTAAAACCCGTCGTAGTTTTTGGCTAAAATAATGATTAGGAAATTTAGATATTAATTTGATTTCTTGTGTAAAGGATATACTTTTGATCCGGTAACATTCCATCACCTAAACAAATCGATATCATACGAGTATGATCTGCTAGAATTCTATATCCAGTGTCCAGTGTAGCGTCTTCTAGTGGGGTTGGGAATTTACTACCATAATGGGGTGCGTGTGTTATCTAACAAGAACCAAGTATTTTAAACATATGTACATATATGATTACTAAATTATAAATCATCAAGAACACACTTTTTGAATGGCGTTGAAAATTGGCATGAAAAGATCTGTATCGTAGTTGGATGATTTATTTTGTAAAATGGCAGTTAGTCTTTCGAATCCCATGCCTGTATCTACATGTTGTGCGGGTAATTGTGTTACAGATCCATTTTCGTTTCTAAATCGAAATCCTGATTATATAACATTTTCGAAAAATTTAAAATAAAATGAATTTACCGATAGTATTGTATGAAAACCAAATTCCACAATTCGGTTAAATCTGATCTGTCAGTGTTAACGAACTTCGCCCGTTCATGACCTTTTGTTGGACAATGATCGATATGAATTTCTGTACAGGGACCACATGGGCCAGTCGCACCCATTTCCCAAAAATTTTCGTTACAACCAAATGGTAATATTCTTTCAACGGGAAAACTGTTTAGAAATTATTATGTAACAAAATATGATACCAACTTAAATTATAATTTTGATGTACCCTAAACTACGCCATATTTCGTAACATTCCAAATCCGCTGGCAAACCAAGTATCTTATCGCCTGCAAAATATGTTACATATAATCTACTTGGATCGATGTTATACGGACCACGTAAAAGTTCTAGGGCTAGTTCACAGGCTTCACGCTGTTTCAATAAAATTGTTAATTATAGAAGAAAAAAACCTTTATTATATTTTATTATATGTACCTTAAAATAATCTCCAAAAGACCAATTTCCTAACATTTCAAAAAAAGTATGATGATAGCTATCCTGGCCGACAATAGAAAGATCATTGTGTTTACCACCAACTCGAACACATTTTTGCGAATTGGTTACTCGGGGATAAGGCGGTTGAGCTTTACCCAGGAAAACTGACTTGAACTAGATATATACATTAAAACAACTGTTATGCTTTATATCATAACATTACACTTACTTGATTCATACCAGCGTTAACGAATGCCACGGTCGGGTCACAGAATGGCACTACCGGACTGGACCGCACAAATTTATGGTCATGGTTTATTTTAAAATAGTCAATGAATGTCTTACGGATTTCCTGTGAGGATAACACTCGTTGTAACTTTTTGGCAGAAGAATACATTGCGCTTACAAAGCGCAAATAACAAATTAATTACAATAACTTGTTTATATTGTTTGCCCAATTCTATTATCGTATATCGGCCATTGTCGAAATCTAGGATTATACAATGATATCGGCAACTATTGTTTGTCCTAAAAGCCGGACTAGGGATGGCAAACTCGATTCCGATTCAACTCCGAAATCGATTTTTCGGAAATGGCCTTTACCTTCCGAAATCGATCAAGAATAGACTCTTGACATTCGATTTTCCAGTGGGCGATTAGTTTCAAGTTCTACATACTGTAACATATTTCTCGATAAAACGTCTACCTTGTAACTCACTCTAGAGTTCGATCACTGGATAGTTAAATAAAAGTCACAATTTAATGGCTATACACTAATCTTTATTTCTAATCCAAACAACATAACACTTATTACTCGTCATTCGAGTTTACAACTTATTGCTTATAGATCAACTGCTCTTTACATGGCAACACTCTAATTAGAACTATGTCTGCTGCACAGTCCGGCAGCGCTTATATAGTAGATCCTTAAGTGCCGTTTCAGACAGGGACTCAAAAGAGTCGCATTTTTTTCAAATTTTCTTTTGGTGTCGCTCTGGGCATTCACACGGCCAAAAAGAGTCCAGCAACTCGAGTCTAGTTTTTCTGCATTCCTTTTCACAAAATGTTCGTAAATATTTTCGACTGCGCAACACCGCGCAACACTGCGTGCTGCGTATTTCATTTGTATGTTGAGATGATGGTCACACATTTTGCTTGCAATGAATTACCATGAATATGGTAGAACAATATGCATAATACAAGTACCTACCCGCTAAATAGTTTCAAAAAAATACTAAAGACGGGAATTCCCTAATCCACAAGAATGTATTGAATATCCGCTACTAATATTTTCAAGGCCAAATTTATAATAGGAATTTCCTAATCTTTAAGTATTAAAAACTCATAATTTCTTTACTCCGTATTAAAAATTCATAATTTCTTTACTCCATAATCTATATCTTAATTTTCTCCTTATTTACAATTTGTCATAATATTTCTTTTATTCTATGCATACATATTTGCATATACATACAAAAATAGATAACAGAACTCAAATTTGCGATCGAATTCATTTGAAACCGAGCGCTCTTGCAACCATTCAAAGAATTTGAAAGTGAAAAGGAATGCTGAGTTGCGTATCAGCGAGCTGTTACGAACAAGAACACAAAGCGTGCCACCCGAACACGAGTGGCACGGTCCCTTCGTCTTTCCTCGTCGTCCCCTCGCCCACAATAAACTGGTTTGAGACTCTTTTGCGTCCCAATGTGAAACGGCTCTAACAAAGCTTCGCCAGGAAGACCATTCTGAGATCTACGAATTTCGCTATCTAGTTGGTTCTAGAAGTTTATCGTTAATTCTATTTTGTTCTGGCATTCGTGTTCGCAACAATACTATTATTATATCATAACAAATCGTGTGATAAAAAGAGAACTTAAGTTGCTTCTTCACGACAATGCTAAAAATCAGAAATTGAAAAATTTGTCCCTTCAGAAAGGAGAATTGGCAACATGGGCCTATTAGCTCCTTAAAATATTATTTTAATATATTTCATAATATGCTCTATATATGGCATATTTTTATATATTTTTTACGACTTCTGGTCTTCAGATATTGGAGATAATCCCATTATATAATAACTGTCATTAGTAAAAAAAACCTATTCAAAGAGAGTATATACTTTGGCCCATAAATTCAGACTCATTGAATATCGAAAGCATCACATTTCCATAAGAGAAAATATCAGTGAAAATGTGGGAACTTTAATGAGCCGACCAGGACTGCTAGATTTGAAAACATTTGAGTTTAAATAGTGCCAGTTCTCACACGGATTCTTTTGTCGCCCAAACCGGTTTATTGTGGGCGAAGGGACCTTTTGTGTTTTTGCTTGTAACAGGTTGCTGCTGCCTATTTTCTTTTCATGGCTGCAAAAGCGCTGGGGTTCAAATGAATATATATAACTTTTGTATATTTACTTAAATTCCCGTCATAAATGGCCTTGAAAATATTAATATATTCTGATGGATTAGGGAATTCCCGTCGTTTTTCCTTGAAAATATTAATAGCGGTTATTCTAAATATTGTTCTATTACATTCACGTAATTCCTTGCAAACAAAATCTGAGACCAGTATCCCAATTGAGCAATTTCGTTCTGGATACTGTAGCAGGGTAAATTCCTATTTATCCAGAATCGACCCCGACATACCCAATATATGTCCTGCATGCAATGAGTCTCCGCATGACACTACTACTGAACCCCACTCATCTAACACCCATTTCCCTATTTATGAAAAGAAGAAAGAAAAACTCGGTTTTAGCTGCTGGACTCTTTTCGCTCATGTGTGCGACAAAAGAATCTCCATGTGAACGCCGAGATATGTAACGTTAAGTTTGTTTAAGGTAAGTAAAGTATTTAACTTTAATAAATAAAGGAACAAATGTGTATATACAAATATGTGTGAATTTCCATACTAACATAATCTAATAATAATGAAATAAAACTCATCTTAATTTACATATATATAATAACTTCTTTATAGTTGAATAATATTTATATATACAGTGAAATATTTACATTACTTACTGAAAACTACATAAGTATATATATAAATTTATATATGTAATAATTATTACGACTAGTCTAATATGATTGAATATAATATTAAAAACGGAATGCTTGATCAATCCACAGCAATACATGAAACATCATTATGATAAAAATACTAATTTAGTATTGAATAAATACAGAGACTACTTATTTCGAGACCACGCGTTTTATTACTATTTGCGATTCATTCGCAACTTGAATTCAGTTTGCTTACGCAATTCACATAATCCAATTGCGTGTTCGATAAATATGATAGCTTTCTTCCAAATAATGTGTGTATAGCCAAAGTGAATCTCAGATCCATATATCGACCTTATACTTAACTTTATTTGCATTTTAATAGTCCGTTTCTCGAATAGTTAAAATCATAAATCATGGTTTTATTTGTGCATAATGGAAATGTATGCATTGTATGTGTTGTCGTTTATAGTTAAAATTCATATAAAAATCTAATATTTGATAGAAGCTTTATTATAGTTTCTATTTCAACTATACACAAGTAAATTTGTTCTTTTATGAAAATATTGGAAAATCAGTTGATGCTTTAATTTGAATGCAAGTGATGGATATATACAAGTTTCATAACGAGTTAAGCCTCATGCCAATTCTTTATATTAGATTAGATTAACTTGTAACATAGTAATTACTTCTTATAAACACATATTAATTTTCACTATTATATTATTATATTTGAAACGAAATATTTGGCTAAAACTTCCTTATATGCTATTTCAAAAAATTGATCATTTCTATTATTTTGTTGCGATTGTTGTGCATATAAGCTTTTGAATGCCATAACATATTTATTAATTTCTGATCATCTTTTTCATCCATGGCAATGTCTTCATAGAGTTGTGGGTTGAATCTATAATGGTATGAAGTAATAACTATATTTGATAAGAAATAAAATGTACCGAAGTAGCAATACCTGAAATACGGAACACCGATAGTGCTGCACCAGGCGCGTGCGCGATCGACAACGCGTCCATCAGAAGCTGTCGCTTGATCCACAAGCAAGTTACCTATCCATTTTATTATAAAGATAGTATAGCAAATTATATGCGTTCAAGAACGTGCAAGTACCTTCACTTACCAATTGTTGAGAACCCGTAAGCTAATTTAGCGGTATCCCATATGCTTTCAGGGCGAAACAAATCAATATCCTTAAGCGCTGTTACTGGTATCAAACCGGTGCCTAAAGAAACAACGATTGAAACCTATACAAGATAAAATGATAAAAAAGTTAATAACAAATACAAAAATTAATTAAAATAAGCATTTACCGGGACAGCCTCTTTTTCACGACCCACACTGCGTAATGCCATATTGTACTCATGTATTTCAGTCATAGCGTCTAATGTTGGATTATTTGCGATTAAGCCGCCGTCAAGGAAATGCCCAAAAGCACTACAGAGATCAAGCGAGTATATAATCAATTTACTTACGGAAGCATTTCCGTTCAAAATTTTTTAATCTTTAATTAATTTAATCCAAATAAGTAGAAGCAATGCAAAATTATATACATATCTTCAAATTTAAAATATATTGAAATCCAAAAATTGCTAAACAAATTTCTTTTATAATTAAATATATAAACGGGAATACGACTCACGAACTTAATGTTTGTTGTTTAGAATATTTGTAGATAGCGTTTAAAAATAGAACAATAATTATGATTCTAGGCTTTTGATGAATACTAGATATAATAAATAATACGTGACAAAGAATCTCAAGTCGAATTTTGCAATATATGGCGCAAAAATCTACTAACCGGAAATATGATGGTGCTGCTCCTGTGGCTCGAGCTGCGCGCCAAACTAGTTGTTCTTCTGGCGGTGGTGGAGGCACACGCCGATTGTCTATCAAATATTATGTATACATAAGTAAGGATAATATTATATAAAAAATAAAATATTATTTACTAATAGGTGTAACAATTCCTAGAATATCGCTAGCGCTGTGGTAATTTCTAAAAAGATGCAAGTCCACTGGTTTACGATCAGCCATTACACCGGTTATCATTATTTTTGGGTGTTTGATATCTGTCATAACGGTGTACTCGCCCAACATGTCTTTTAATATTTTTTCGAACAATTCACTTGGATAGGGACGTGAACCAACGAAACATTGTTCTTTCAATCTCAAGTATACACCCAAGCATTGGCGCATTGTTTTACCACAACCAAGAGCAAGTGATAAAATACCGCCAGTGCTTGTGCCTGCAATCCAATCAAACATATGTACAATTGGGGTCTGAGAAAGTTTTTCGATTTCCAATAACATTTGCACGAGCACCAGACCACGAATGCCGCCACCATCTAGGCATAATAAGCGACCGCGACCGTATGGCTTTTCACCTATATTGCTAGAGCCACTAGAAGACCCTGGTGTTGTTGGAGTATTGGCTCCAGTAGCATCCCCACAACCATCGCCTTCTAAACTATTGGTGGGCGATACTTATTCGTATAGAAGATAAAATGTCGTTTAATTTCATTGAAATTGCCAGTTATGATTGTTCTTCTACCTTTTTTACTGTCGGTATTGACTTTCGTGGTAAACATCCCCAATAGGGCATCCATAATACTTTGACCTTTTTGTTCTTTCTCGGTATCAACGATAACAGTAGGTCTGTCAATTAGAAATGTATAAATGTAAATGTGAGAAACCAATTCTATAACTGTAGGTAAAACCTACTCCGGTGTAACCGCGCTACCATTAAACGATGTACCCAAAAAGCTATCCATTGCTTGACGACTAGTTGCAGCTAGCATATTCTCAATATGCTCCCGTTGCTCGACTGGCTCGGGAGACTCTGGTGGTATCCCATTGTAAGATCCTTTCGAGTTGCATCCTGCCGGGCACTTCGTGCTCGACACGGGGCACCTATTATATTATACACGTTGAAACATATAATATTGACTATAAATTCTAATTCTACATAGACTGTTTTCTTTGACTTCTTACCTCTTGGCACCAACTGAGTGCAAAATATAAAGAATTTCACTGTCTTTGCCGCCATTTGAATCAGTACCGACCATATGTCTTGGTGTTTTCCCATCTTTATTTTTCATATTTATATCGCAACCAAAGACAACAAGACATTGAACAATAGGTACCAATTTCTTTTCGATGGCTATATGTAAAGCTGTGTTCCCATCCTTATCAAATACATCAATATCAGCATCATGAGCCAGAAGCGTAACAACACATTCAAATCGGTTTCGAGCAATCTGAATATCAAGGTAAATCAATTATTCGTTCGTTAAAGAGTATTTAAATTCAATGTTACCATAACATGAAGAGCTGTGCGCCCATCGAAATTAGTAGCATTGACATCGCATCCCTGCATGATGAGAGCATGTAATGTTTCACGAGATGAACACCAATGCAGTGGAGTACCACCATACTTCATATCCTGCGTGTATAGCTTATTGGCATTCGTTTTAAGAAATTCAGCAACTGAAGTCGGTGTACTAGATTTGTATATTTTACTCATATTTTTGGCATTTAAATTAACATCTGCCCCAGCTAATAATAAAGCCTTAACGCACTCTGGTTTGTCCGATAAACACGCTAAATGTAACGGCGGATAACCATCGGAATTGATGTGATTGAGATGTTCAGTGCTTCTTGAGGTTAGCAACTTAAAAAATGGAAATATAAATAATTATAATATTGGAAAATATTGTAATAATAATGTTTTTGCGATTAAAATACACATATTCATTATTGTGTGATTGCAGTTGTGAATGCCCGTTAGATCGAGTAAAATATTCTCGAAACACCGTTATTTACTGACACATTTCTGCAATTATATTGCATAAACACACATTATTGGATATCAAGGAGCAAAAAAAGTAGGATTCAAAGTTGAAACAGTGTTTCGAAAGAAACTGAGTGTCAGGTTTCAAGTGTAATAGTAGTATCACTTGCACCAAACCCCCAAAGTCATTCATCAGTACTAAAACTGATTTAATACTACTTACAAGTTAACCTTGTTGATACTACTTCGAAAAACAATATAAAGAATACTTTTTAACAATTACTTTGTTCCTTTCATTATATCCATTACGAAGAAAAAGTTAAATATTGGTTTTACTTACATTTATAATTTCTTTTGTTGTGCTAGCGGCATAATGGAAAATAGAATTGCTGTTGCTATCCAAATGTTCCATTTTACAAAGTGGCATCAATGTCTTAACCATTTCAATATTGCCGGTTTTGATTGCAAGCTAAATATATTTTAGTAATAGTAAATAAACAAGGAAAGAAAGCTAAGTTCGGGTGTAACCGAACATTTTATACTCAAATAGAAAATTATTTCAGGTGATGGCAACACTTTATACTTTTAAATATTACGAAAGTCGTCATTATTCGTTATTCGACATTATGAATGGATTATAGTTAATAATTTTCAACATAACCGTTTTATGGGGAGTGGACGTGGTTATTATTCGAATTCACCCATTTTCACACTGTTTATAGAGGCGAAGATGTGTATCCAGTAAGTTTGGTTGATATAGCTTTAGAGGTTTGTGAGATATTTAAAAATTTTCAGCCCGCTGATGCCCCTCGCTAATACATTTCCCTGTACCAAATTACAGTTGTTTACCTTAATTTGGAGCTTACGTTATATCATTTTGTGGACGTGGCAATCTTCCTATTACGCCCATCTGCAACACCAATTTTACCGCAGTGCCAGGAATACGTTTAACCACGATATCTCAATTTTTACTCAAGTTATCGGGCGGACGGACACATACACATTCACCCGAAATTCAACTTGTCTCGTCATCCCGAACATTTATAAATACATCTCTGCCTTATTTAGTTTGAAGTGTTACAACCAACCGTTAGACGAACAAAACAAAAATATTTTAATGCTAGATGCTGTGATAGAACAATAAGTTATATATTACAAAAATAAAATGAAATGTTTTGTGAGGGATGTTTTTGTTAATATTACCTGAAATGGTGACATCAGGTGTACATGGTCAGAGTAATCGATGAATTCTAGGACTTTGGGATTGCTAACGTAGTCCACAAGATTAAAATAGGCCACTAAGTGGGCTAATGACCAGGACGGATTTTCTGCTAAGGCGTCACATACTCTTTGTATACCGTTAACATTGAAGAACTGGACGTTTTAAGCGATTATTAATTGTATAAATAAAATTAAAGTAAAATTTGATTTAAACATTTATGTAAGTTAGTTAGAAGTTATTACATTACCTCTTTGACGATAGAAACAAATACAGGTAGTCGATGTACAAAAGCATTGAATCGGTCTTCTGCTTCTTGCTGAAGAGGCGAACGAAATAAGCTGAAGCAAGTGTTAATGGGGTCATTAACATGGCGTTGGAGAACAATTTCGTAGCATGCCTTTTTGTCTGTTGAATTGAAGGGTGGTGAATAAAGGACCATGCCTTCATCTCGCCCTATTACTAATAAACTTCCTAGCGATTCGCCTTTAATTTCAAGCACTTTATTCGGTGGAGTGTCACCTCCTAATAATCGTTGAAGAACTAAATATATAAATTAAATAAAAAAATTAATCACGTATAAATAAGAAGACAATGTTTTTTTTTTTATTCCCTGAGAGTTTCTTTGTGAAACTGATTTAATCGTCCTATACAATTTTAATTTTAAAATGTCTTTTAAAGTTTTAGTACGAAAATATGGGGCTTATTCAATCAAACATTTTTTTTTAATATTATAATATACATATGTACATATATTGTGACAAATTCGGAGTTAAAAGAGGTCATCATCTCATTTGTTGTAGTTGCGCGTTGTGGTCTTGTCTCTATCGTCCTTGGTTAAAATAAACTGTATTTTCTGCAGTAAGTCATGTATTCAGAGATTAGAGTTTATATTTTAAGTGCAAAGATCAAAACGCTGATTACTGACTTATATATTTATATTTCAGACGGTTAAACTTCTGTTGCATATATGTACATGTTGTGTTTGCAATTATGTATGTATTTATATATTTTAAGCTCATATTTGGAAATCATTGAAAAGTGTCTGGAATTACTTCACACATGGAACAGCTTAAGGCGGTTTGTATTAATGTACGTATTAATTCTGATGGGTTTTTTTAAATCGAATATTCATGAAAACAAGTAAGGAAGGGCTAACTTCGGATGTAACCGAACCTTTTTTACTCTCGCAAAGTCAAATGGTATACTCGTTTGAGATTTCTTTGCGGATTGACCGATATTTTCGGTAGAAGGTTAACTATAGGCACTGGGGTCCTCATATTCAGTACCTAGGGACGTGAATAGTTTTGGTTCGATTTAGACAGTTTTTGGTCACAAGGTGGCATACTTTAAACGTATTATTCACGCAAAGTTTTACCCCGATTAAATCATTGTTGCTTGATTTGTATACTGGAAAGTGAAAAATTCAGATGAAATTTAAAATGGTGTTATATAGGAGAGGCCTAGTTGTAATCCGATTTCGCCCATTTTCGCACTATAACATAGAAATATGAGAAGAATATTATGTACCGAATTTGGTTGAAATCGCTTAAGCAGATCCTAAGATATGGCTTTTCACCTAAATGTGGGCGGTGCAACGCCCATTGTCTAATTTCGAACGCGGCTCCTATAAAGTCAGCTCTTACGATCCCTGTGTTAAAATTTAATGACTCTGGCGTGTTTAGGGCCTTGTATCAATTTATTTGTTTTTGAATAATGGCGTTTTGTGGGCGTGGCAGTGGTCCGATTACGCCCATCTGCAATACCAACCGTCTTACGGTATCAAGAAACATGTGTAGCAAGCTTCATAAAGATATCTCAATTTTTAATCAAGTTACAGCTTGCACAGATAGACGGACGGACGGACAGACGGGCGGACGGACGGACAGACGGGCGGACGGACGGACAGACGGGCGGACGGACGGACGGACAGACTGTCACCCGGATTTCAACTCGTCTCTTCATCCTGATAATTTATATATATATATAACCCTATATCTAACTCAATTAGTTTTAGGTGATACAAACAACCGTTAGGTGAACAAAACTATTATACTCTGTAGCAACATGTTGCGAGAGTATAAATATGATGATCGCGTACGTAGACCATAATTTGGCAATTACACGCATCAGCTGGTTCTACGTTACCGGAATTGATCCAAATTTTACCTTCACCTTTCCGATGAAGGGCTGTTATTCTAAACCTGTTTGAATTGGAAAATTGTAAGCTAACTAAACATTGCTTATGCTTGTGTTATTTGAAAAAAAAACTGATATAGTTAGAATTGATGTAATTATTGGTATGAGACTTTAGAAAGTGAGGACTTCCCCCAAGAGAACTTTTGTACATAAGTACATATATTTCCATCGTGTGTGTCACACTGTAATTGTAGAATTGACTTCATTTTCCGGCTTATTTTATGTAATTCTTTTATGAACAAAGAAATCAATAGAACGTACCATATTTACATACTTATATATACGCTGTTATATATTACACCAACAATTCGAAAATTTTGTTTGTGCTTAAATGAAAATTGTAAACTATAGAATAATACAAAATATATAACTACTTCTAACCATTAAACATAATGTGTCTTTCTGTTTACTGCAATTTCTTTTAAGATATTTTCTTTATTTTCAGTTCACGATGACTACTTTCTTTTTAACTTAAGAGTACATATAAAAGCAATTTTCTTAAATTCACTGTTCGCCAAAGTTACACTACTTTTAATTGTTTAAAGAATATTGTATCAAGAATCAGCTGCTTAAAGCAGTGTAGCTGTATATTAATTTTACTTAATAATAATAATAAGAGTTGCCAGCTCATTAGCAAATAAATTTGTAATTTGGCCTTATTGTGTTTGCCCACAAACATATTTTTACATTCATTTGGTTAACATATGAGAGTCAATAAAAATATATATAGGTACGTAAATTTCGCTTGATTATTAATAATAATCATTGGTTTTTCTTGTCGGCGAAGGTACTCCGTAATTCAGGTTCATTGAACATAATCTATACAATATTGTGGTTGAAGTTGGCACCACTTTATTCTATATTGTTTTGCTATTGGGTAAAATTTCCTACCTGGAATTTTACTTTTCAGCTGTCATATAGAACGGAATAACTAAAAATTCTTCCGTAATCGAAAAGTTTATAGGTACGCAAAATTAGTTTTTTTTGTTTTGTGACATTCTTAAGTCAAATATAAGTAGAAATTGTTTGTAATTCTTTTTCTTAGAGTGAGGGATTACACAGAATTAAAAAAAGTGAATCAAAAATAATGCAATAAAACCTACTTTTGTTTGGGTGGAGCGGATTTTAGAACAAATATTGTAATATAGCGAAAAGTAACTTATATATACATATATAAATAATTATATATACTAGTTTTAATTTCGGCGAAAAATCAAACATTGAACAAAATATGAAAAGTTCCAACAAAAAGATTTAAGAAGTTGTTTAAAGGTTCGACAGAAGTTAAAAGCAATGGGTTGTTAATATAACTAAAGTGGCTTGGACTATGAAAAGGGCTAATTAAGGATGCTATTAATCGCATTAATTTTTGCTGGAAATATTATGTTTTTTGACTATACTACATATATAAAATACATACATTTACATTCAATTATTTTAGTTTATTTATAGACTCTGTGTAATCGGAAAGTTTTTCGAATTAGTAGACCTAAAGCTTCAAATCAAAACTAAAGAGTCAAACGCATAAAAATGCAGGACTCGCCTGACGCCAAGAAACCTTGCAAGGGCATACTAAAAAATTCCAGCAGTTTTGATAAGCCTGGTGCCGCGAGGTGAGTGGAAGGCAAACGTCAATGTCAAATCAAATCCAATTAATTGTGATGTTTTATTTTTCCGATCTATCGTTTTTTATTTCTATTGTTCTTTTACTGCAGCTATCGCAAAAGTGCGAAGTTTGATGAATTAAATGTTTTGCAAACCTACCACCCACATGACAAAGATTATGGACATATGAAAATTGATGAGCCGAAAACGCCATACAATTATGTTATTCCAGATCTGGCACACACAGATGCGTTAGACGCAAATTTGTTGGCGGAGAAGTAACATAACTGGAGAATTATATTAATTCCAAAATACATAATTTGTATTATTGAATATTTACAGGTTGCGTATTGCTGCAAGTACTCAATCGCCTGCATTCGGTTCTGAAGACATTTCTGACGAAGAAAACATCGATGAAACACCGGAAGAAAAAGGTGCGCTCGTAATATGGTTATAAATTGAGATCAGTGAATAACATCAAAGAATTTGCCATACTAAAGTCTACCATTTACAATAGCTCATTAATTTTACTTAAAACCAAATGAAATTATCAATACCCTTAGTATACTATTTTATACTATATTTTTATTTTCAGTTCGTCGACTTGAGTTTGAACGCCGCAGAAAGGCGCATTACAATGAATTTGAAGCGGTTAGACTAGCGCGTAAATTGATTGAAGAAGAGCTGGGCGATGAAGATGATGAGAATGATATTTCATCTATTGGGGAGGATGTTAAATCGCTAACTTCTGCTGAAAAATCCAATAATGAAGAAATTGAAATTCAGAGTGAACACACAGAACAAGAAGTTTTGCCGGAAAGTGCAGTAGAGGAGGAAACGGGCACAACGGAACAAGACTCCGAACTTGATTCTTCCGATAGCAATCGGGCTTCAGCAACCAATATGGATGTTGACGCACAATTGCAACCCTCCCATCCTTGTTACGGAAGGGATTAGTATATATACAAATATATAATAATACAAAAATCATATATACATTACTCTTTGCTACATTAAAGAACGTAAAACACAATTTAAACAAAGAATATTTGAATCAACGACCAAAAGCATCACGTGATCGTTCGAAATATTAAATTTAATCTTGACAGTTACATAATTAATGAGAGGAATAAAACAAATAAAATAATATTAACAAACATTGCTATCTTTGCTTACATTGATGCGATGCAATAAAACAGTGTCAAATAAAAAAGATGTATGCTAAAGATAGTTTGAATTTGAAAAAAAAAAATAAAGCTTTGAAATAAATTATATTCTTGAAATAAATCTTCTGACGGCGCGATGACGAATAATTTCACGCGTTTAATGTTTTTGTTTGTTTAATAGTCCATAATCAAAACCTATATTAAAATAGATTTGAAGATTCTTGAGTGAAAATTATGAAATATGTTTAATTATACTGGTACAACAAAATGTAAATTGAATACCTATAATGTTTAATAATTTAAAAATACACAAACCTATTTTATCATATTAAATGGCGAAACTGTTATTAAGTAATTGGTTCGGAAGCTTACAAATAACAAATATTAAAAAATGCATGAAAATTGATATACAACAGTGAAAAATGGTTTTTGTGATTTTTTTGTTCAGAAAATAATATAATTATAATTAAATAAGTAAATCCTATACACAAATAACTGCAGCGTGCATACGTAGATTAATGTATTTGGAATGGCAATATTGTATAGTAGAAACAAACAAATGTCCTGATAGCGAATTTTTAATTTACGCAAAAAATTTCCAGAATTGAAAATTTTTAAATAATTTTGTTTATTAGAAACACGAATTAGCCATATAACTACTTCTTGCATTTAATTATGTATGCGTGTAAGAACATGTATATATTGATAAAGCTCTAATAAATGCACTATTAAAGGGCAGCTATTTGTTATCGTAATATAATCTTCACTTCCGTGCCAATCGAATACAATATGTCTGTCTCCAGTGAAAATTTATTCGAACTGATGGTCAATTATTGTTGCGCTGAATAAATAATGTATCAAGATCAATATGTCAATGCACTGAGCGGCTTGCAAATGTTTATATATACTACATGTAGTTGTTTGCTTTGCCCAATTGTGTGTAAATCAGAAGTGACGAATATAACTTCTACAATTAAAGACTACACATGAATGTATTTATGTGCAATGATTATTACTTATTTGAATTGTATATTCTTATTCTTAAGTCAAACATATTCTGCTTCGCGCACGTGGAATAGTGTTTATAAATTACAGCCTGTGATAAAAATTATTAAATATTAATGAGTGATCTTCATTTTGCGGATGTATTACTCTTACATACCTATGTATAATGCCTTCAAATCTGATGAATCTCCACCAACTTCACTTGGGTACGCGAATAGCTCGATGATTTTTATAACTAAAAACGGTAGTCATAGAAGTATTTTGAACTATTTAAGATGTCTGCAAAAATTCAAGTAGAGTCTAGCAGAAGGCTGATTTCCACTATTTTTGGCAATATACATATGTGTTATGCAGTAATATGTTAATTATAAAATATTTATTTTAATGTGAGATGTATTGTGACCGATAAATTAAAAATGAGATTTATACAGTTTTTCTTCGTGGTTTTTGTAGACTTTTTATGATTTGTATAATATATTTTTTGCTACTATTTGGACATGCAACGTGCTTAAATTTTTTTGAAAAGTGGACGTGTCCTCGCTCTTCTAAAAGTTTAATATACATACTGATGCTATATCAACCAGATTGGGTAATTGGTTGAAAAGGGAGATCACAAGAATTAAAGCGGCTATACTTAAGCTCATTCTATACTCGAATTTAGACTATACCGTTTTAAGCCCGAATAGCTGTACCGAATATGAGAACATGTAGCTGACTTTATACTGAAAATATTAGTAAATTTGAAATAAGGTGGTAACCTTTTCCTGATAGTAAAATTGTCAGATATTAAAATTGAATAAAATCGGTTCAAAAATAAAGATTTTTTTCTTTCCTGCAAAAGCCTTTGTATATATTGAATTTGAAGTAAATATTTCAGATATTAAGTAGAAATTGGACGTTATAAATTTAACATGAGTTCATCCGAAAAAAATTGATGAAATCGGACGATAACCAGGCGCACTTCCCCTTGGAGTGTTATATAAAAAACTACTAAAAGTGCGATAACTCACTAAATACCGTTATGTGAAGTCCCATATCTCAGGAACTATTCGACCAATTGCAAACAAATTTTGTGCATCGATTTCCTTTAATTTACAGTCGTATATAAATGAAGCACCAAGGGAGATATATACACATTTTTTTTGCATAGATAGTGTCTTCAGGGTATGCATTCAATGCCAAAAATGATCAAAATCGCGATATAACTTTTCAAGTCTCCAGATACCGAATATGTAGCATCCAGTGTCTATGACTGACTTTTTCTGAAAATATCAGTCAATCTGTGAGATATATTATTGAAATTTAGAGATAATATTTTTCTAATAATAGTGTGTTTTTGTGCCGAAAAAGTAAAAACGGGTCAATACTTCACCTAGCTCACATCTACCTAGTTAAAAAATTTTCGATTACTATATATGTATGTATATCGGTCACTCTGTGAGGTATCTTAATGAAAGTCATAGACCATCATTTTCTGCTAAAAACTATGTTGTGACACCACAAATGGATAACATCGGTTCAATAGTATCTCTAGGCTTTACAGTTTCGTCAAATAATGACTGTTGAATTTTTACGCAACATCTTTTAATACAAAGTTTGGTCAACGAACTTTGCGAACTTTTTTGTTTTTTAATTCTAGCCCTTCTTTCTTGTTTGCAATCAAATTTTTCAAACAACATACGTAAGGATTTGTATTGACGGTCAGGATTTCATTGACTTACCTAAAATCTGTCGCCAAAACGAAATGAAAAGTCTTTAATACTTCGGTTGGTCAGAGAGATGTACAAATTTACATTTATTTGATTTCATCAAGTTTTAATCTAATGTACATAGTTGTGTACCTTCTTAATCCATCAACTAATCACATCTTTTACAATGTACTGTTAATTGTCGAGTCAGATAATACAATATTATGAACATAAAATTTGGGGTTATCTATGCCAATTTAGCAAAACACTGAAATTTAGAACAGCTCTCAGGCGAGCTTTCAGTTTTTTTTAGTTAAATACACATTTATGACTGATTTTGCCAATTCGATATCAAGTGTGTATATATTTGGATAATAGTGTTTGCAGATGTATTATTGGCTTAATTTTGTATTTTTTTTTGTAATTTTCCGAGTTTTTCATATTGAATGATTTGGGGGTGAATACAAACCATTCTCTATGTGTGCGCACTTCGTCTTTATGTAAGTACGTCGTGTGATTTTCATTCAAATCATTGATTTTTTGTCATAATCGAGTCGTAAATCCAGTACGAATTTGCCGGTAGTCGGTTCGAGTTCTAATAATATACAAGTACATACATATGTTCGTATTCTATTCTATATGCATGTATGTATTTATATTCGCATAAATGGATAAATATCATAAATGATCAGTGCAATATCACATTGGTGCAACCACACGTGGCAACCTGAGACCAGCCGGCACCACCCAAAGACTATAATGGCATCCTCGGTGTTAAATAGTTATAGCCTGAGGGGCGAACGCCCACTTGCCTCGATTAACCAGGCTAATGGCACAAAGTGTGTCCACTGCGGTAAAGTGATTTCATGAATTATTCTTAATATTTATTGATAGATGCACATATGCATTTGTTACGTATCTTTCACAAGTTTCAGTATATCTTAGTGTTTTCGGATCATACAACGTTGTTTTTGGTGTATGAACATCCACTGCTCCTATTTTTACATTTTTGTACGGATATATATTTATATATATGTACATACTAAAATAATTTCATTTTGTATTTGGTTACTCTTACAACTAGGGTCTGCAACAGTTTGCTGTTGGTGTGACTGCTTCTATATATATATATATACGCTATGTATGCTCTTTTACTTAATAATAAATGGAGAAAACTAATATTTAATATATATTTCAATAATATATTAATTATTGTTTAAATAATTTTTTTTTTTTGTATTTTTCATGCAATAACAATTTTAAATGAAACAAAATTAAAAATATGTTGCAAGTTTATGCAACTAAATTAATTAACATATTATCAAATAATATAAATTAAAACTTCTTTGCTTTCGAAGAAGAATTTGTTTAAATTAAAGTTAAAATGTTTCCGTTTTGTCAAAATCGTATAACCATCATCAATATGCCGTAGTTTGCATCAGAATTTTTTTAGATTGCTTGATTGTAGTTTTCAGTTTGGTATTTTCATATGATTTAGTTTGAAAACTCATTTCAGCGTCGGGATTTCGTGTAACACTTTTGTAGTTCTTCGCCAACGTGCTAAGATGGAGTTCATCTTACGACGGTTTCCAAGTATTTATGTATACAAAACTAATTTACATCGTGTGGGCGTCGTTTTTCACTTACAACTAAAAATTAAATTTTTCATATAAATCAATTCTCTCTTGCCCCATTCCACACATGTGCGGATGAATGGTTCCAGTGAATTAATTCGATTGAAGATTAAAATGAAATAAAACTACTTTAACAAAAAATTGTTACATACACAGAAACGTTCATTTGCTTATGTGTATGTAAGTACATAGAGTTTTTAATGCATTGGCCGCTCGGTTCTCGCTATCACGTTCGTGTTCAAAGACCAGTGGCACGCGTAGTTGTTATAGCTGTAGAGTACCGTGTATCATTTTGCAGTTTTTAACGTACCCCCGCTTCGTTGAGCACAAACGAACAGCCGTCAAACTCGTAGACTCACACACTTCCAAGCATTTCGTTTTGTCTAAAGGTCTACTCTATCCCTACTCATCTCGATTATCCATGCACAGATTTGAGAACAAAATTCGTTAGTGTAAATTTGATGTAGTATATTTTTTTTTGCTTTTCAATGCTCCGTTTGGTTAGTTCGTGATTAGTTGAAGTTTCATGTCGTTATAATGTACAATTAGTTACATTTTTTCGTTATTTTCCAATGTCATTGTATTTTTTTTTGCATTTTTTGTGTAATATTTTTTTTTTTGCGAAATTGCTTCATTTACTTGTATCCAGGGTCCAGCAATCTGGTTTTAGTGATCATACCTTTTAGGCCAACATGTGTTGTGTACCTGGTGGTATCTTGTAGCTGGGGTAATAGCTATTCAGCGCGTTTTTGGCGAAGAATGTTGTGTAATCCTGCTAATTGAAAACGGGGTTGATTAACTATTTGTTATATTAAATGTTAAAAATTCATCAAAGTAATAAAAATTAAAAATAAGGAAATATGAAAGTTTGGGTGGAGCCGAACATTCAATATTCGCGCACATTATTAAGCTTAACTACACAAGTGATCGCGATGTCAACTTTATTATTTGATGGTAAAGTTGACCAGACTATGGACTAAGAAAACGCATACGTGCCATGGACTGGTAGATTCCTCATCTGTATCGTACTCGTGCTCGGCGACCATAACGATGAGCGAAGGAATGACCTGTCGGCCGATTGCCTTATACGTCCCTTGTCTTTCCGCCTGCTTTTGGACGACTTGTATTTCCGATTTCGTGGTAAAAGGTAATAGGTCTTGATGTAGCCAAGTTTGGTTTAAAGCGGACGAACGGATGGACGGAATGGCAAATAGACATTAATCAATTGGTCTCTGTGTCATAACTATTTACTACAATAGTATATTTTACATATGTTTGTGTAACCTTATAACATACATTTCGAGTGGTACAAACAACCGTTAGATGGCTAAAATAATAAAAGTATATAGTAATAGTTTGCAAATAAGTCCACTTGTGCCATATGAAGACATCAGTTCGGCAAGTGTCATACATATGTATGTCTACGATACACTCGCATAGAAAGCGTTAAGGTAATTGCATAGCAGTATTTTTTATTAAATACTAATTCAGTGAGCTTACGCGATTGACTTTCCGTGGACGGCAAACCGGTCCCTGGGCCAGTTTGCGTCGTTCTTCATTTTCACGTATTGCGGCTTCTTTATATTCTGGCGGTGGCCACTTCAAGTCTCCGCGCATGTTGCTGCCTCCTGTTTGTGATGAGAAAGTTATTTGTTGTTGTTATTTCTTATGAGTGTTGAAAGACTACGTTACCTTGAAAGCTAACGGCCGCTGGTTGGGCGTTATAAACAGGGGTTGGCTTTTGCGTAACGGGCGCTTCCTTGCGCAGAGTTATAATTCCGGGACTTCCGCCGCGGTAAACTTGCGGCAAATTCTGTGCTTGGTGTTGTTGCACTGTTGCTTGGTGATCGGGTTGATCCAGACCAACGTGTTGAGGCTGTGGATAAGAATTATATTGATTGGATTGTGGTACAGTCGAATATTGTTGTGGTTGTTGTTGTTGAGGAGGAGACTGATGATATGCTTGCGATTGATAATTAGATGGCGGAGCTGCCTGATATTGTTGCTGCTGCGGTTGTGGAGGTCCCTGTTGATAAGGCGCCTGAGGTGGTTGATATTGTTGGATAGGTTGATTATGCGCCCAAGACGGTTGTTGCTGTTGTTGCGGCTGAGAGTAGTGCTGCTGGGCATAAGGAGGTTGTGACCCCTGGTGTGGCTGATATTTTTGTGCCTGTGGTGGAGCTTGATATTGATCGTATGATGTCGCACGATACTGTTTTATATTGTGTTCGATTCAATATTTTTCGGACGATAACGTTTTTGTCGAAATTCAGTATATTCCCAAAATTCATTTATTTTGTTGTACATAAATGTACATAAATATGTGGTGGGCAGATGGGATGTCGTATAGAAATGTTGCAAGGTTTCGTTTTCGTTGTTGCATGCATTTAATTGTTTGTGGAAGTTTCATATTTACGTACATTTGCCACGAACCAAAGTAAATACATATATAATCACACAAACAAATAGAATATTCGGGATGTTTTATAGTTTATAGTAAGAGAGAGAGAGCATGATGGTCCATAAAAATTTAAGGGGAAAAAGAAGATGATAAAACATTTAATTAGAAAAGTTTCTGGGGACTGAAATAATCGCAAAAGTGTTACTGGGTTAACGTAGATTAAGACTCTATAAGCAACAATATGGGTACTTAAAAATAATGCGTGTGAGAGCGCGTTTTTAACTACGTGCGTTTTATAAGCTGAAATTTGCGAGAGATAAAGAAAAGCTTTGTTAGCATACTTAGATTACAATTAATATATTTTTGTTATCAGCACGAGTTAATGTTTGAATATATATGTAAATCAGTATGTGTTATGAATGTGTGTATTTGGCATTAGTGAATGGTAAACTACTAAATACCGTAAGCTTTAGGGGTGAGTAAACTTACAGATATTAAATTCTTGTATTTATGACTTATTTTTTCCATTTTGCCTATAAATATATTAATCAACATCAACTGATCTAATTTTGTCGGTATTATGATGGAAACTGCCTGCATAACAGGAAAAGGAAACTCACTGAAAAAGCCATAAGTGCCAAAGGCCATTCAGCTTATGCAAACATGCCCAGAGCGCATTAAGAAGCTAATGAAGAAGAAGAGAGAGCAAATAAGCTGCCACACACATAAACATATGTATATAAATTCGACACTAGTCATTTCGCGCATTTAGCAAATGTGCAGGTACATTTGTTCCAGTACCTGTGGAGTAGATGGATCTTGATGGCCCTGGCTAGGATAAAATGGCGTGCCATCTACAGGATTTGATAGAAATTCACTTTGAGCTTTAGGCACAGGCGGACGTATAGGTCTCCAAACAGATGAGGAATTCGGTTCATATTGTTGCTCGGGTTGTTGCTGTTCAATAGGGTAGTGTGGGGTTGGCTTCTGCTGTCCGTAATGGTCGTTTAAATGTTGCCCATATGGTGGACCAGCTGGCTCATGTGAGGGTTGGCGGTTAAATTGAGCTTGGATATATTGTATGGGTTGTTGGAGTATTTCATGTTGTTGTTGTTCCGACTGTCGATATTCTTGTGGTTGTATATAAGGATGAGATGAGTTATCGCGAACAGCACGGCTGACGTTATTATAAATGATACCCTAAAAATATGCAATTGAGTTGCAATAGCGAAAATAACAAAACACTATATACATAATTTATGTATGAAAACCCAATTAAATTAATTTCATTACTAATTTTTTCCTCCGCATAATTTTTCAACTCTTTTTTATGTTTATCTGCATGTTACTCCCGCTAGCATATTGCAACAAGACTTACTTTCTTTTAAAAAACATCAGCGCAATTACTCATGAAGATGTGGGAAATACACGAAATCGTTCAATAAATCTGGCAAAACTCATACAAACTAAAGTGGAAACTTGGCAAAAATACAGTCTTTGGATTAAGTATTTAATATTATTGGTTAAATTGGGAAATGTCCTTTATAATTTGTTACAATCTCATAATTTTATACAAAGGTAAGGCAGAAGGGAGAAGGAAAGTTTCATTCATACTGAACAATACGATTTCCAAATACAATGCAATGAATCAATTGACTAATTACATATATGTACATATGTATAATATCAATTATTTATATTTATGTATAAGTAAGGTATAAAAGCTATGATACTTTTGGCGAAGTTTGTTTAATCGGTTTTCTTCCACCATTAAGGATGATCTTAATTTTTATTGTTCGTGTCAAGTTTAATTTTAAAGCGGAAAAAAGAGAAAACCATTTTCATGCTGTAAATAGCTAATTGGATTGCCTCGGGTGGTTGTATGTCACACATATGTATACATACAATTATTAATCGGTGGGCCGATGGGGGCAATTTTATAAGGCTTTTATCAGCTTCACCTGTATGTTTGTGTGCTTGTAACTTTTTTAAATGGTACTAAAAAGCTTTTAGATATATTGTGGCTTAATAATAAATATGGTTCAAAAAACTAAAAAACACGCTTTAAAAGCACATAAAACTAAAAAGTGAAAATAATTCTTAATATAGACTGACAAAAAGAACCCTCCGCTTTTCTCACAATAATACAAGTATTTTTCGGTCAATATTAACGTTTTGCAACATGTGGCTACAGAGTATAATAGTTTTGTTCACCTAATGGTTGTTTATATCACCTAATAATAATTGAGTTAGATATATATAGTTATATAGGTATATATAAATGATGAGACGAGTTGAAATTCGAGTGATTGTCTGTCCGTCCGTGCAAGCGATAACTTGAGAAAATTTAAATATCTTAATGTAACTTGGTACTCGTTTAATTTTTTACAACGAAACGCAATAATGATGGGCACTTGTGGTTTGAAAATCTTTAAAAAGTGGGCGTGGGCCGCTTCCTAATAGGTTCAATGTATATATGATTTTTTCATTTTTTAGTATACAAACCAGGCACTAATTATTATATCGGTCTCAGGTCTAAAAATTATCAAAATCGGACCATAACTATTCAAGCCCCCTATGGCTGATTTTTTGCCGAAAATATCGGCCAATCTGTGAGATATATTATTGAAATTCGTGAAAAAGGTTTTTGTAAAAAATAGGTTGAATCGGATCAATACTTCCCTTAGCCCAAATGTGCTAGTTATTTTAATGAAATTGATAAAGCGTGTTTTTCTAATAACATTATATCTTTGTGCCTAAAATGGATAAAATCGGGCGAAAATTTGCCCTAGGCCCCATATAACTGATATTCACGATTTTGAAACTTCCCACTGACTTTACTCCATATACATATATGTTTACAAATATTTATAAAAATACTTGAAAATAAGTTCTCCAGTATACCCGAGCAATGTTAAAAATTAATGCAATCAGCCCTTCCATTTCTATGCCCCCAATGATTTTAGTATAACTTTCGCTAACGGGAAGTAAAATATAGTAATAAAACTAAATGAGTCAACGAAAATAAATTAATAAGATACCAAATTTGATTGTAATCCAGTCACCATTTCGTCGAACAATGAAGTTGCACATTTTCGCTACATTTCTTAATATAAAGCTTTGCCAACATCTGAACATCACCGGCTTTGATACTTGCAAGTTACACCCGAACTTAGACCTTCCTTACATGTTGAAACTATATTTATTTGTTCATAATTGTATATATTGTAGCTGCGGTACTGTGAATTGCGGCCTAACACAAGCACGCATACATACATGCCATTCTCATGCATTGCAACTCTCTTGTGAATTCACCAACTAATGCAACGCTTTGACACTATGAGCAATTGAATTAAATTTAATAATGCGTTATGATTTTAATAGTCCCCTGTTTAGTGCAATATTTTTTATAGTTGCACACGCATGTTTGGAATTATACAAGTACACACTAATGATGCTTAATATGCTCTCTGCCGTAGAGGTTAACTAAGCATAAGTTGGACTTGCGAATTCAAGTACTTTTGGGTTCAGTTTAAAAGCATATTTGTATTAGGAAAATTATAATTTTTGAAATGCAATTAAAATTCACATACAAAAATATTTGGATAAAACAATGCTCTCGAACATTTAACCAAGCCTGAGAGAGCGAGTGAGACAAACAATTCGGTTGAGCTGAGTGTTAATAATGTCAAATAAATTAGTATAATTATGAAGTTCAAGTGGACAAAGCTTTTAAAATTACCTAACCTAATCCTTTAATTATGGAATTTTTTTTATAGACTCACTTTATCTTGATTGGAAACAGTTTTTGGTTATTATGCTTGCGAATTTTAACTCAATTTGTGTTCGCGTGCAGCATGAAACTTTCTCGCACAGGGCTTTAAAAGCGCAGTTACACTGTATAGTAGGAAATCATTTTATTGCATTAAAATAACTTCAGGAAAAAACTGTTTCCACTATTACGTAATTTACAACAAGGAGATTTACTCTACAACTTTTTGCATGCGATCTAAACACAGGCATTAATGTACCCATACATTACCTATAAAAAGTACGTAGGCAATGATTGCAAATCTACCAAGACACGCTATGTTTATCACCCACTCGCTAGAAAAAAAGCCGCAATATTAACTGGCTGAATATCAAAAATTGTCGTTTATTACTCACACAGATAACGATCTTATGTTGGCTATAGTAAAAGAAACAAGTTTGCACGTGTGTTTGCGCATTTATGGGTATTTGATTTTATGTGACTTTGCAATGTTTTACGACGAGGAAGGCACATAAAAACTCGTCTCTCTTATGTTACACTTTGTCTGCATGTAACAGTCAATGACAACAAAAAACGGGTATTGAAGTGTAAGCTTTGGCGCATACTTATCTGCAAAATGGGCACACATTGACATTTCGTGCATAGAATTAGAAGAATCCATGTACCAAATGAGACATCGCACTTGAGAAAGAAGAATATTTCACAAGGATTTCAGTTTAAATCTCTTCAAGGGAACTTTGCTATGAAAGTCAGATAAATCTATTTATTCTAAAGCAGAATTTACGAATATAAGGTCAACTTTCCCTAATTTGTATGACTTTTCTAATTTCCGAATATTTGATTTGGGTGTTTCATCCAATTCGAGATGATTTTACAGAGAAATATTAAAATTACTTAAACAAACTGCTTTTCAGCCAAATAAGTAGTATTTACATACATATCTGTTGAGGGTTGAAGTAAACGTAGAAGTCACTTTAGGGAAGATACAAACACGCGAAAGCTCTTGCAAAAGCGTCACAGGCAATGCCTAGCCTTAAGCCGTTCATTCTTTGCCAGATTGCAATGTTTTTGTTGCCAAAAAATGTCTCGCCCTGGAATAACATTTTCCATTGTTTGCCCGTATTTGTGCTTGTGTGTGTTTGTTTGTCCGTGTTGTGATTCTTACATTTTTACGGCATTCAGTTCAGCCACACGTGCGCATCGCTTACATATTATACATATGTAAGTATTTGTGTTTTGCAATTGTTTTTGTGGTTGTTGTTTTCTGTTCAAACGACAGTTTGTTTGCAATGGTGTCATTATTATTGTACGGCACATCTTCACTTCTCTTTTTATTTGACTGCATTATTTGCTCGTTCGTACTTGTATTGCTATTGTTGCACGAACTATTATTATGTATACAATTTTTCTGATCGAAAATTATGATTGCGAACAATAAACGTGAAAAAATGGCCAAAGTGGAAAAGCCTTGACAGCTCGCAATGCCATCTCGGTTATGCAATATATTTTATGTTCGCTTGATAGGACAATAGCATGCAGCGATGGTGGCGTCGTATGGCGCTCGCCGAGGGCGGCGACAACTCATGCCTTATATTTTTTGAAGCCGGAACCGACTCTAATTCTTCAATGCCGCATTGAGACGACTGGGAACGCAGCTAAGCCCCTCCTCAGCGCTCACACTGCTACATTAGCAATTTTGCGACAATTCCGAAGGTGTCCTTTCCAATTGTCAACAAGGACAAACAAAAAGGTTCACTGTACCTTGCTTTTATTTTGATTCTTCTTCCCTTGGTATTTGACATTTTTGTCGTTTGTAGCGCCTTTATTGGTCGAGCGGTTCATTGGAAGAGAGTTACAAAGCATTCAAAGACAAACGTCACAAAGCGTTCAAACTTTTTTATTGCCAATATATTGCCTCATAGAATGAGTAAATTCCATATTCTGTTACTTACTTAATGTATTTTGGTTAGAGCTGACGCTTCATTAGGTGCATTACCTCACCTTAATAACTTCCGCACCAACGACCATTCGAATTTTTAGGTATAGCGTGAAAGCTTTCGGGGTAGTAGTGCAGAGTGCTTTGTGATGGTCGTGGTTCCTCGTGTTAACCCCATCAATGAAAGTTCAGGAAAAGGCCACTTACATACATTGTTTGGGCTCCGGACAGATAAGTCTAAAACGTATTTTTCAATCACCAAAGCAGATTTCGTCACTAGCATTATTTAGCCTTGAGCTGGCAAAAATCTACTCTGTAACAGTAACTTCCGGTAAAAACTGCAGTTGCGTTCGTGAAGTATGTATTTACATCTGTATGTGTGTTGTTTTAAAGAGTAACATGAAATCGGCTTTGGGCGCAATAATAATTGCATTTCGACTCTTCAATTATTTCTCAGTTATAATGTGGGTAATTTTCATTGCATAATAACAC